TCGCCTACAAGAACACAAATCGGCCACTCGGAGGTTAGACCCTAACTCTCAACTAGCAACACACATTTGATGAAGGGGGCATAATTTTGACCTTCAGAGAGCCACCATCTTAGGTCGAGGCAACACAAAAACAGAACGGCTAACTCTCGAGGCGTGGTTCTCCGATGCTCACTTCATCAACAGGCATCTGGACCTTCCTGCAGCTTGCAAAGTTCTACGTCATCACAATCGTAGAGCTCAGAACCAAACAAGCACACTGGACTTAAAAAGACCGTATGGAGATAGCCTGAGGCTGAGTTTACTCGGTGAGGAAGAACAAGAACCGCCAGGCCGACCGCTTGATAAAAGTCCAATCAGCTCCCCTCGACGGAGTGGTGACGCATGAAGAATAGAGTCAAAACGCCCGTCAACCATCTCCCGAAAGGCCGAGACAGCGAGAGGCGATAAAAATATATCAGCATGAGGCCGACCAACACAACATGCCACTTTAAATTAAATTTCTGATCGATTAAGTGCATTTTACGCTTTTACAATGAAGAGTCGACCCAGGTTTTTAAAACGTCAGCTCTTAAATAAACCTTTTCCGGAAAGCCTATCTTCATCTTCAAATAAATAACCCGGATATCTCAACTTTGCCAATCTGTTTCGCACTCTGTAGAGAACTTTAACGACGGGTGTGCACTAGTAAACATTTTAACCAGGGCTTCGTTGTCGGTGGTAAGATCCATCAGGGAGAAAATAGCGTCCCCGTACCGACCGTAAAAGTCAAGATTGTTAATAGTGTCTTGTAACTTTGTATGACCAGCTTTGTCTATAAAAACATTTTAGTGGAAAGGATCAAGTGGTCGGCCAATTGCTACGCCATCTCTTTGCCTGAATAGTTGACCATTAGAGCGAAACTGGGTACTTTGTGCGCAAAGTTTCAGTCATTGTTTTAATGTTTTTACTGACATGCTCATCGAGTTTTTCGTATCGCAGACAACTTCACAGAGGAAGATTATTGTTTCTGCCATGGGCACGTTAGTGAACAGTGATGTTTCATCTTACGATAGCATCCTCCGTCCGTCAATGTTTATATTCCTGGTAGCCTCTACAGACTCAAGGGAGTACTTCAAACTTCAAACTTTTAGTCTCTCCACCTGCCATAGGGGGAATTCCTCACATCCAAGATTGGACATAGAGGTAGCCCCTGTTTGTGAATTTATGGGACGCCGTTCATTCTGAGTATCTTTGTGCCAAGAGGTCTTGGTCACTCATATTCTTTGTTAGACAGATGATCTTCTTTGCGGAGAAAATATGTGCTTGCGACGATTGCCTTCCACTCAGCAGATGGATGAACGAAAGCTTTTTACACCGCACCTGCTGTGCGCTTGAGACCATTCGTTGGAAGGTTTTAGCATTGCTCTTGTGAGTTCATGGAAATAATTTGGGGACATATGCTGTGAAAGCAGTTCAGTGGTCTTATCTGGTCCTCACAGCAGTGGCTCCCCCCACCCACCTAATAGAATCACGTGATATCTACGATCATCCCCACCTACACAGACACGCTTTGAGATCAGCCTGATACGGTTTTGTTACGCCATTTTCTCCCCCATCAGTGTTGCGCTAATTATCGCATTCCATTCGACTTGATATTTACAACATCAACGACATAGGCTGTTGTCCTCGGCATTAAAACACTGAGGCTCTTTTACTCACCCTCTCCTCCGCAAATTTAATTATGACGATGGCTGACAAAGTTTGTTTACGGATGAAACACTGAATTCGTGAGAATATTAATTGTTACCTGCAGCATTGGTGAGAGAATTTGTATTTCAGTTTAATTCTAAGACCTTCGGCAGAGGAAAGCTTTTGCATTCTAGTTTTGCGCATGCGTGTACTGGTTAAAGAAGTGCACTAAAAAGGGACTGCTGTGAAGTCGCAGAGTTCTCACGTTGGTATTCTTAAGTTAACCCGGACAATGTGATAGGCTCCGCTCAAACCTCAATCAAAAGATTATCAGCTCCCGCCAAAATACATTTTTTCGTAATGAAAAATCTGTATTGGAGCGATGGGTGGTTTGTGGATGGCTGAAGTTTTACATACGAAAACAGTTTTACGTATTTAGTATTTTGGTGTATACAACATTTGTTTTAAGTTGCATGGCACGATTCCTGTGGACAGGACTTAGCCATCAAACCCCGAACCCTCGAGCGGTCTAAACGCGAAGTAGTCAAGCAACTAACCGCCAAAGCCGGTCGGGTTATGCCACACAAAGCAGGTAAGTGAGGCAAACTTTCTCATATTTAATTCGTAGAGATCTTAATCACCATTTGCTTTCTCAGAATTGATCGGCCCAAACGCCGACCTTCCAAGGGAGCCTCGAAAATGGGAGAGTAGTTTAGCAGTGACAAATAACACCTTATGGTAGAAATCTGACTGCTTAGTTTAGGGTACTTTGAATATTGCTCAGTTTTTGCTCTTCATGACTGTCCTTTTAGGAGTATTTCGACCAAAAGCGAACATACAATATTCTGCAATTAATTAGGGACACTGAAACCCGATAACAAATCAAAGAGGGTAGGAAATTTGACGAATTTCTTCGTCATCAATGTACACAGAAATTCTGAAGAAGAAAATCACATGCTCGTAATTACATCAGCTAAGCATATTCTAATTTCTTAATACTTTGACTGTCTCTCGACACGTGATTCTACGAAAGTATCTCGTCCTGTGACGTCCATATCCAAAAAAATAGGAGTAATTATTTTTGTCGTGGTCGGCAACATCTTGAGCAATGAAAGTACAGAAAAAAATACGTTGTATATTCCTGGAGGTATTCTGAAACACATCAACAATCATCAACCCTTCAAGCGTCCATCAAACTGCATACTACACCATGCAGTGGAGGATATGTGCACAAGGATCATCCAAAAACTTTTAAAACATTTTTTTCCTTCTGCTGTTTTATTTATTTAGTTGCTTACATTCACAGGCTTATCCCACTTCAAGGAAGTAAGTTTACTTGTCCGACACGGCTTTCCGAGATTTCGCTATTTCAGCCTTCATTTAGGTAATTCTTACTTCTTGTCTAACGAAATACCACTTTCAGCAGCCCCCTTGATTGTTCATTCAAACCAATAATCCCCTATAAGAATTGGAGGTTTTGGTAGGTGAATTAGGGTTGGCTGCCGACTGATTAGTAGTTTTTCCGCGAATTCACCCATATTTCCTGCGAAACGCCTCCCTACCGCTTTGCTGGAGCCCGTTGTGGTCGCGTTTATAAAATCAAAAACGTCAGCCGAAAAATCAACGTAAATTACTGTCCGGTGGCTGGCTGATCAGGCTAGAAGGGCCTTTCCCAGTATTGTTTAAGCGAATGGCTTTCCAGATACCACTCCAGCTACACAACTGCACTTTAAAGAAAAGTACATATTTAATAGACAAGTCCGATGAGATGTAGGTGGCTTTTTTACGAAAATAGATCTATATTGCTCGTTATTCAGCGCCTCTTCTTCCTGGCTGTCAGGTCAGACCGCGCCTAGCGCGCATCAATGGCTTCTGTGGGGCGTTTTAACCTGGCATAATTTTTCGGTGCCTGTTCAAGCATTTGAGACATGTCTGGCTCACTCTTCATCAAGGAAAAAACAAAATAAAGGCAACACCTGTCCCCATCTTTGCTGACGTCGGTCACCAGGCAGACGTCGTTGCCGCTGACCAGAGGAATTCAGAGAATGCTCTTTTGGGTTGCATGATTATTCGGACCTTTGATTGAGCTGCGTTTTGACCTTGTTCTCTGTACTGTCGAAAATGCTGCTGTTATGCCTTCGGGTACACTTTCGGTGTTTACTCTCTCGGGTTCTGTCTTATCATCTCCACTAGCTGTTTCCACCATGGCGAGGTCGAAGGCACCTGGTACAGGTATAAATATAACTGTCCCTTCTACAGTCGTTACACAGAGGAGGGAGTTTTTTCATATTTGCTTCTTTCATCCGGCGGTGTATGTCCGGCTCTCCCACCACTCCCGAAAACTGGATGTGACTGGGTACTGCAAGGGCTGGGCTGCTGAATTCCGCTAGCAGTACCATAAATTAGACAGTGAGTCCAAGACAAAGACTAATAGGTCAGAACAACAAGCGCATTCTCCGATACATAGAAACTTCTTCAGGTTTTCAACAGATGCTCGTTAGAAGCACTTTTTTCATGGAGTTCTAGGTATTTATACGAAATATTGCGTTAGCAATGCATCCTGTTCGTCTGAAGGCAATATCTTCATTATGTCTTATCAGAGGATGATTGAAAACCACGAACGTATACTAAGCTAACGTTACCCATTATAGTTTTGGCAGCAGAGATAAAAATATCACGAGCACGATGCCAGCTGCTGGTTTATAGACCCGCCCATTCGCATTTCTACGGCGGTTGGCTGCAAGTTATACGTAACCTTCTTTCACAATATTTGGATTAAGCCCACCCAGCCTGATTTCTGAGCAGAATTGCTTCTCAAACAATGATGATATGAAGTTATGATGATGATTATTGTTTGTTATCTAGTGATGAATAGTCATTAAGTTGACCGGTTAAGAACCGAAAGTTCAGTTCTGAAGTAGACTGGTTTTTCACAAATATGTTGTATATACAGCCCTAACCTCACAGCTGAGCCATGCACTTTGTTAACTTATCTCAGAGAGGAAGAAGTAAGGTGACCACGTATATATATGGGCGCTGGTATTTGTTTACCAACATATGGTTGTGCACTATATAGGTGTGTGCGCGTATAAAGGACAACAAATAAACAGTAACACATCAAAACAACATTGATCTCTGAACAAAAAGTAACGGCCCAGTGATGACATACAAGTGCCCAGGCGTATCTATCACAACATAACGCTTTAGAATGGCAGATAGATTTGAAATTGGAGAGTGCCCCAACTGCAGCTGTCCGATCTCAGCCAAAGAACCGGTACGGTACAGAGTTTTAAATTCTGACCACCTATTGAGGTGCAGCTTCAGGCAAATCATCAGCCGTTGGTTGCACCTCTCGAAGAACCGGCCACAGGGGTAATGTTTGTCGTGCTGGAAACAAAATTGTCCGGTAGACTGTCTTCTTTCTTGTTGGCCTGTTCCATGAAGGGACCTGGACGCGTAGGTGAGGGCCTAGGGGTGTCCAAAATCAGGGGCACCTGATCGTAGTCAAGAAGAGCCGGCTCCACTCCTGTTGTTACTTCTGTCCCCTTGAGACTGCGTGGGATTTCGCTCGGTTCAAAATCGTCGTCCTCCTTGGCAGTTTTGCAAGAAAAAAGCGCTTAGTTGCCCGGACAGAGAATGCGGATAAACGACTTGCGCTCTGACTAAGAGGCCAAAAAATAACCTGATTCTTAGGCTCAATAAGAGACGAAAACGCAATAGTCCTGCCTCCCTTGCTCTCGACTCATTTCAACAAAACGTTTCTGTGCTAGCGGGCACACCAACTTAGGTGCAAAACATTTCCGCGTCTAGCCCCTAGAAATGGTAAGTACGCTGGCCATTGATGGCTGTAAGCGTCGTTGTTCATTTCAGTAGTTTTCAGATTTTTCCCGAAATGTCTATAATTAGGAAGGCCAGAAAGGTGTGGCTATGCAGCTGCACCTGCTAGACAAAACACCGTTAGGGTTTAGGGTCCGTGCTATGGGTTAGGCGTTAGGGGGTTAGGGTTAGGAATTAAGGCAACTATTTTTTTAACCACTCAAAATACAACTGCGCATTCCCAATAGATTTTCTTTTGCATAAAATTACTTGACCTCGTCACCTGCTCGTTCCCCGGCCCCGTCTGCAAATTACCTATCACCTCCCGATCTCGTATTACAGGCGGCTGGGTTTTGTTTACCTCAGTTGCGGCTACATAATCAAATCGGACCGCAAGGCCGTATATATGAGGTAGTTTTGCGTTAAAACAGGTACGGTCTCTACGCTGGATACTTCGCGTGTGTTCATATAGTAGTGGACGTATTGGGAAGATAGCTTCTTGAAGGGAATATATTCAGTACAATACATCAATGAACACTAATCATAGGCTGGCCGTAGTCAGTATTTGCGTAAGTAATGAAAAGCGCCAACGCTTAGTGCTCACTTAGCTGGCTAGAACGCAAGGCCAAAGAACTTGCGCATGAAGCGACGATCGTCGCAATCGACCGCACATCGAGGACACTAGATTAGCGAATGTCACTTCTTTTTAATTTGCAAGATTCGCGATTAGGGCCTACTTGGCCTGGATAATGGCTCGACCAGTCAGGTGAAACGTCCAATGACCAACTGAACAGAGGGTAAACTTGTAGCAGGCTGATGGCGACAAATTATCTGGAGACGCAATCGCGGTCTCCTTTTTCCCGTTAAACTCCTTGATGATGAGATAGATCTGCTGTGCTCAGTGCCTTACATTTAAAAGGTTTGCGTTGAAATTTCTACGCTTCCAGAGAACAGAATTAGCCTGGTTTAACCCTATATTGTTTCCAAGCGGTTTCAGCAAACTGGCCGTCTGCTGTGCCAACACGGCAAATACAGAGGTATGGTGCCTAGATGGTGATCGCCGAAAACTGGGCACCAATAGGGTTTTATTGCTCAGTTAATATGCGTAAAACCTAAGTACGGAAGGCGGACTAACTCAAGAAATGTAAACCGAAATTTCGAAATGTGTTCTCGTTTCGGAAAGATTAAACAAGTAAGGATGTAAAACTTATCATCATAAAGCATGATCCTCGGGGTGTCGGCTTTTGAAAGAAGTTACAGTATTGTGCTAACTCATGAACTGTCAACCAAAATTTCGAAACGAGTTCTCGTTCCGAAAAGATAAATTAAGTAGTGTTCTAAAACTTATCATGATGCAGCACAAATCTATAATGATACATTTACCTCAGGATGTCTGCTTTCGAAAGAACTTATTTTCGACAGTATGCAAGAACTATGCTCTGAAAAAATGATTACTTAATTCGAATTCAATTTTCTCATTTATTTTCGATTTCCTTAAAATTTCCATTATATTTTATGGAAAACATGCATAAAACTGTTCACGCTTCTACTTATTCGATAGCAAATGACATCTTCCGATTTTATGCTTAAAAGAAAAGTATAATCCGCTTTTAAAAAATTTTTTTATTCTCGACCCGACCTTGAACCCGACCTTCTGTTACATTTGCATTCAGGGTTACAAAACTACAAGCTGTATATTTTCGTGTATTAAAAACCATGCATTTGTCTGCGGTGTTAAGAGAAGACCATATGAGGTTCATAAAATTAAGCAGTGACTTTGAGCAATATTGTTAATTTTACAAGCCACATGCGTAAACGCAGATACATGACGTTATGAACGGCCATTTAACGATATTAGAAAAGCCCACAATTATGAAAGTTTTTTAGAACCGATTTATACTCTTTTTTTGAATATGCAATTGGAAGAAGACGTGATTTTCTACTGAATACGTAAAAGAATGGACATTTTTAGGCATTTTTCCATGACATAAATTTGAATTTTCAAGGGCATTGAAAATAAATGGAAAAATCGCATTCTAATTAAGTAATCTTCTCTTCAGAACATAGGTCTTGCATACAGTCGAAAATAATTTCATTCGAAAGCCGATACCCCGCGGAACTGGATCATCATAGAATTGTACTGCAGACTGTTTAGTTTTCCAACCCTACTCAACTATTCTTTTCGAAACGTGAACGCATTTCGAAATTTTGGTTGACATTTTATGAGGTGGCCCACCTATTGTACTTGTTCTGCTGAGGTTGCCAGATGTGGGGTGGCGAGACGGTGATGAACTTTGTCCCACCGAAGTTGCTATGATCTATCTGATGGACCTGTATATTTATATGGCCATTGAAATAATGAACCGAAAAATACGGCCAAATAGATAATAATGTTGTATCTCGGGTCTACGGGGGGAGAGTGAATAACCAAAAATACTGTTAGCGTCAGGGAGAAGGTGGACACCCCAGAACGGTAATTATATGCGGATGACTGGCTTGGTGTCCTTCGGCCATGGCAACAGTGGGACCTGTATAAAGTTTTTCTGTGCACAAACGACTGTTTTGTGTACCCTGATTGCAGTCGGCTCTTCCTTTGTCAACATACGTTCTGCAATCCATTTTGGACAGCTTGACAGAACTTTGCGAAACACTCGCAAGACCACACTAGAGTCTATACGATGGTCTGCTTATACCATGTGCGCGAGGATAGAGCTTTTAACGTTCTTCGTATGACCCTTGCCTAGTCATGCTGGAAAATGTTTTTTACATTTTTGGACAAACACCAGCTCGTGTTATCAATATATTCTATTCCACAGGAGCTGGTGAAGAAGTAAATAGACACAGAGATGGTTTGAGCTGTTCGTTTGTCCTTGGCCCCTCCATATAGGATAGGACTACTAGCGAAGAGTATACGGGCGCCAGCTGCCGGAAAGGTCCTTGGCACAGCTTGAATTATGTTTCTTCTTAAAAGTTCACTTGGCCCGTCCCCTTGAAATTGGACCCTGATAATAAGCCCTTCTTTTGACCATGTTCTTAGCAATAAATCGATCAGGACATCCGTTCTGGGGAAAACGACTTCCGATCACCCTAAGCTCTATTCCATCAGGTAAACAGATCCTTCTTAATGGTAGGGGACGCTCTCCGATCGTTCTTATGGAACTCAATCGTTCCGTGATGCCTTATGGGCTCTCACATGAGCCCAAACAACAGCCGCACAGCGGCGCATGACACGGGCAGAATGTTACTACCGACAAAGGCAAGGGGGAGTGGAGTGGCCATTTCTGGCTTATTAGCCGTCGTCAGCCAGTTATACCCAACTCCGAAGTGTGGAACACCCTGGGCTCAAACTTGCGGCCTGTTGGTTAGATCCTTCTTACACTTTTTTGTACAGCTGATTAAGTTATATTTAGAATTAAGCCGTACGAATCACCCTTCCCTGACCCCCAACTTCTTCCTGACTGCGACTGGAATTTTGGCGTTTTACTTTTCATACCCCCATCAATCCCCAGCTACAGCGTAATTATCTACTTGCCCATATTTTTGATTCATTATTTCAATAGCTATATAAATGCGCTAGCCTGAACAGAATTTATCGAAGCCAGATGTATTTTAGTCAAATAAGCTTTTGTATTTTTTAAAGGAAAATTTTCGAAGCTTTTGGAAATATCATTTAAAAAGCTATTAGATTCTCAAATTTGGATTCGACAGACAGGACCCCAAAAAGCATGCACAGATTAACATCTATGCATTTCCGCCAGCCCAATAAGACATCTTACACTTTCATCCTCATCGCTCTCATCACTGGTCCACTCTGAGCCGGCGTTCAGTGTTTTTCTCACCGCCAACAGGGGATTTAGAATAAAATGGACCTGTCTACTTGGCTTATCCATCACAGTTGCCAGTTTCAACAGATTCTCATCCTTCAGGGTCTCTGTCGACGGACTGGTTTCCCGTCTCACTGGAATCCACACGTTCTCATCTCCATCCTCATCCTTCTCATCCGGTTTCGCTGGCGACCTTGACGTCCCGGCGACCGGGGCCTGCATGTCCGGACTGCCAGCGTCACGAAGCCAGGTCTCTTCGTCGAAACCGCAGTGTGGATTTGCGGCCACGAAAGATCGCATGAGAACTTTGTGTGAGTATGCGGGCGAGCGACGCTTTCGGGACTGCACACGCACCCACACAAAACCTGTTATGATGCTCACAAAGGCCATCACGAGAATGACCAGTGCAGCCCAATAACCGGGATTGTACTAAAAAATGAAGAAAAAGAGCCTACTGCGTAACAGTTAGTAGCGTGATTACAATGCATAACAGTAGATACTTCAGGCTGATAAGCGCACCTTTCGGTTGCGTTTGGCCCCACCATGCAGTTGAAAGGTGGACTTGAGAGAACTTGGTCGAGGAGACGATGGTAAACCGGCGTGTATGGTTAGGTGTTGCCCCAGATCCCGTGAGTCGTTTGACTCGGCAAACGAAGAACCATATTGGGAATCCGGCGAGTCCACCAGCTCCAGCTGAAATTCCAGACATATAGACACACATGTGCGGAGATATATCGAGTTCTGAGTAAAACTTCAGCTTCTTTAACCAACTTCTCCGTGAATACACGCTTACCTGACCAAGACTAATAAAACAGCATGGAAGCAAGATTTTTCATATGTTTGGTGATAAAACTAACTGTTGATACTGCGTAATGAAAATTGCAATAGGAAACCCTACTGCGTGATGGCAAATGATATTCCAGTCTTCGCTTATGAAAGGAGCCTAGCTGAGACCAAAAGAATTTTAATTTCGTAATTTTAAACAATGCACTTTCATCGGAGGAAGACAGTTCGTCGAAATGAACAACAGTTTAATGTACCACAGTATATTTGAGGGAATCAAGCAAACGCTTTGGAGACATACAGAGAACAAAGGAGGGACGTCGTCTAGGCATTGACACTCCGGTGTGCTTAAAATACTTATTCTTTTCGCGCATCCCTTTAGGAAGAATAGTTGTATAACAAGTTGCTTGACAGTCGCTTTTTGATTTTCTTTGAAATTAACTGCTAATTTGAAGTAATTCAGTTTATACCAGGGTCTACAGGCGCAGACAGGGATTTAATTTATGAAAATTTGTGCAGAAGTTTATCAGATACAGCGGAATGACCGCGTAATATCCATTAATTGCCGAAACACAGCTTTTAGTATATTTTTAGAGTTCTAGGACACCATACTAGCAGCATAGGTACTAGCGAAAAGTCCAGGCACGCATGCTTCGCCGATATTCTGCCGCTGCATGTCACAGCCGAAAAGGGCTCGGCACTTTACTGCTGTGAAGCGGTAGCTTATTGAGAACAAGAGAGTGTCCCGGCCTTCAGCCAGAATGGTATCCTCTACTGCTAAAATAAAAGCTTAATTTCAGTTGATTTATAGAAGTTGACGCTTGACTATGGTTTCTAGCATTTATTAGTCCATTGACTTTGCGATCATGGCGAAAATTCCTCTAAGCAGACATCGCGATGTCTGCGTTCCATGATATCATACCCACTACTTAATATTTTAAGTTAGTCCTTCACATTGGCGTGCCACCACACCCTACGGTATACAGCGTAAGGTCACCAGGGTAACAGGTAGCTCTGATCCCAGTAGTTGAAGGTGCAATATAGGCTACACTAAGAAGGAGGCATTGCAGCCTGGTTTTCAGCCCACGAGTACGCCACTACAGTCAAACTCGCTGGGCTGACTGTGGGGTCAGACTGAACCCGTCCCTTGCCACGGTTGTTAGCGCACCTTCAGGGCTTTATGATCGTTAAATTATCTAGAGTGAGAAACATACGCTGAGACCGTCGACCTCACTCGCGTTCAACCCCCCACTGTCCTAGGTGGTCAAACATCTGCTACTTGAAGTAGGCGCGGTGGCTAATAAAGCTATAGACCTCGACTCGTGGGTCGCACACACACACAACGACCTGACCGCCCACGTGAACACACAAATATTTCACACACGAGGAAGAGGAATGTTGGGATCTTACACACAGCAGACGAACCACATGAAAAAGGGAGCCGAAAAGCCAACTCTCTACTTAGCTGAGAGGTTCCAGTGATGAGACATGTTGTAGGGGATGTGTGTAGCGATGTGATTAGGTACGCGGTGATTTACCACAGTGTAATGATCAGGAGATGGCACCCAAATACACAAGGCCAGCCAAAGGTGCCTGTCTTACGGGGAATGTGGTAATAGGGATTTCATGGGCAGGGCATATGTATGAATAGAGGATTTGCCAAATAAATATAGAAAAATAGTAAGTTTGTTTTTCGGTTAGAAAATTTTTAACGCATTGACATGTAACAACCAAAATTAAGCAGGATATTAAAAAATAAACATTAAATTTTTGCAACGATCGCTTCTCAGCTCTCTGACATGAGATCAGTGTAGATAGTGCATCACACCGTCTACAACAGACGACCCAACCTTGAACGATGAAACATCAAACCAAAATAATCTTGTCGGACCTAAATCCACTTCAAAGATTAGGTATTCTTTGCATGCCACATATTTTTGGGGGCCTTAACTCGATCCATACCTACCACAGGTTTTCTTGAATGCACATGCGACCGAATAGGCTTATGCGATGGATTTATTCTCTTAACGTTTTTGCTTCATGCCAAAACCCAGCACCGTAGGCAGCATCGGATATAAGTACTTCGTGCACAAGGGGCTGCCGTATCTACAGCATGCAGTTGTTGTGATGTTGCACACCTATGAAAATTAACGCCTTCCCCACTCATCGAGGACAGTTGCCATTGGTGCGGTAATGGCGTGTTGGCCAGCGATCGAGTTGTTAATCGCTCCAACTTCATTACACGCGTTGGATGATGGCGTGATGAATATTAGGCTATCTGACTCACTGATACGGGCGTTGGAAACAGCGGTCGCATGCTTGCTTCGTTGTGACTGGTTGCATTGACTTTGTGGCATTATCCCGTAATATTTAGAATTTGCCCTGATATAGGCTTTTGAATGCTCCGCTTTTCGACATCCTACAAAAACCGCACTAGGCAAAAAGGACTAATAAGTTAGCACGTCTTTTTTAGGCTAATTGTTGATGGCCTTATAATTTCAAACATATTTTATAGAAAACATGCACAAAATATGCTCACATTTATTCGTTTGGTTAAAAATCAAGTTTTTTTTACCTGTTTCTATTTGAAAAAGGGCACATTTACGTTTTGAAAAAATTTCCCAATTCCCGAATAATTTTGTGTCTGATCAGCCGTTGCACAAGCATATAGCTATTTCAGTTCACAAACTGCACGCTTTCCGCGTAAGGAAAATGATATATATGCATTTAAAAGGGTACAATATAGAGTTCATAAAATTTTGCAGGGAATGTGGACTGTCTAGTACATTTAATAAGAAGCACTGGCAAATGGACACGTACGATGTCGTATAAGTGGACATGGTACTATCTTAAAAAATCTCATATGTAGAAACATTTTAAAACCTAAATAAACATAAAACGCAAAGACTACGCGCTTTTGCATGTTTTCTAGAAAATATATTTAAATTTATAAGACCACTGAAAATAAATGGAAAAATTCATACTACATTTAAAGCATTTTTAGCAAGTGCGGTCTCTACGGAGATTAAAAAAAGTACATTAAAAAGCCGACACCCTGGTTAGTACGAAATATTATAGCATGATGTCGCATGGTAATCAGTATTACATCCCTACTTAAGTAATCCATCCTAACTAAAAGCTCATTTTAGAATATCAGCGAACATTTCATGAGATCGGTCACTCGCCGTACATTGCCCAGGTAAAGTCACAGCAGAGAATATGGAAGGCGGAGGTTATCACGCCTGGAACCAGACCGGGGCCAGCGGCCAATGACAAAAGCAGCTCACCATCCACGCGGTTGTCACATCTAGCGAAAGAATTTCGGCCTCATCAAACTTGAACGTGGTACCAGGGTCCTGACCAATGAACTATGACTTAGACGTTAGGATATTTGCATTCCTGTCACTTGTTCGACTATTCGCGTTCGATACAATCTTACACTTTATCCCGACGTAGTTGCTTTGCCCGCAACTGCGCTCAATCCGATTATGAACAACAGACCTTACTAACCGTACCAGTGAGTCTATTGGTCTCAGTAGATAGTACCTGATGATTACTTTTGGTTAGTGTGAAACTCCAGATCCAAGTAGTACGCAAAGGCGTCCGACGGCCTCCGAAAAGTCCTTAGCCTAGAGCGATCGGGGCTCAGTATGGTTTGGCCTCTCGTCACGTTTGTGTGTGTACCGGATGACAGAGACGCAAGGGTAACCATTTGCTCCGAACACCCGTCGACCTGAACACGCTGTCAAATGAATTATTAGACAAACCATAAGACAGGGTTTTCGTTGCCCCGCTGCTAGTGCGGATGTAATGACGTATTCTAATTAATTTGTCAAATAATTGATGCATTAGTAGTATAAGTGCTTTGAAAGTACAGGCCCTTCGGGCAAAGTAGCTGCGCTTGTACGTTAAAAGGATTTTAGACGCAATGGTTAAGCGCGACCTGACTAGCAATTTATAATAAAAACAGATTGTCACCTGCGTTTATGTTTGGGGCAAACAACAGCGTGTACGCATTAACTCATCACCCTGCACTATCTGCTGAAAGTGTTTGATGAGCGTTTTTGTTTCAGTTTGTAAGTGGCTGCGACAACAATCGTACAAACATGACCTAACTTTACTTTTCCGGAATAAGATTATATCCCTGTGAATGTATTTCTGAATGCAACATAGAAATTACATCAAGACCTCACCTTGACGGCGATTTGGTTACTGCGATGGAAGGCAATGACACGGTTCATGTTGTCCTGGATGGTCGCCGTGCATTGGATCAAGAAACAGCGTCGCATATCATCACCGGGCATGCGATAGGAATAACTCCAGCCGAGATTGCGCAACAGCTGAGCGTACGTCTGGAGAGATGCCTTGCCCGAGATGCCCATTCCTTCGTTGTCTAACTCGGTGCTTATATTCAGGCGTTGAAGGCTGTTCTGGTCGAAGCCATGGAGACTGAGCTGTTCGGAATCCAGATGGAGGACGGTGTCGGAGGGCAAACAGGCACTTATGCTACAGCTGAGAACTAAACAAAAACACGTTAACGTTCTTTGTAAACAAAACCTCAAGACATTTTTGAAACGAAGAATATATTCAAAGTTCAGAGAGAGTAGATGGAGCTGAGATTTCCTGAAAAAGCAATTTATTCACAAGGCGTTTAAAAGCTTGTTAGCTAAATCCAACTTGACCAACAAAAAGAGAATCGAACGCAAATCTACAATAACTGTGATATTTGCTTGCTCGCGATGCACCTTGTGAACAGTCGTCAGGTCGACATGTCTTCTGGACGACCATCGTCCCTACTACTACTACTACTTATACTACTACTATTACTATAACTGCGATTGGCGCAGCATATGCCATCATAACCGACCTAAGATCGTCAAGCTTTCAAGGCGGAGAAATATGCTTTTTGAAGATACGTAGAAGACCGGGTGCATCAGTTGTCGGAAGCGTGGCCAGTTGCAATGGGTGAAACAGTATGTCACTCGCTTAACTAGCGTTGCATGAATCATCGGGGGGACATTAACCAATCAGACAGCAGGATGTGCTCATCCTGCTTAGATTAATCAGTAAAACCGCGAAAGTTGCATCCGCAGGGTATTCGTTAAATCGGTCGGATTGTATGACGCTCTATTGTCCATAATGAACTTTGGAGAATCTTCGATCGCCCGGTTACAGTATATACTTACATGTGCCAGTCCGCAAATATTCACAGTTTAAATGCGGGTTTTGAAGCTTAATTTTGTTGCCAATAGAAGGGCAGAGACGAGCCCCAGGAAGTAGTCTTGAAGAAGGAGACATGATCGCCGGGACAGGAGGTTTGTTATCCTGATTTTTCGGATTCCTACTCGAATCCATCATCAGAGACAAAAAACAGAAATGGGTGGTTGCTGCATAATGAGCTGCGGTATTTATAGGATGCAGTAGCCATGCTACCACATACATATGAACATTCACGGCTCCCTCCCCCCTTCATCCAGGATCGTCGCACTTGGTGTGATCGCTGCTTGATGGCCGACATTCGAGTCGATAATTGCTGCAATTGCATCACATGCGTTGGATGGTGGTGTGATGACTGCTCGACCATCTGACGCACCGACCCCGGTGTTGGGAAAATCTGTCACCTCTGCTCTCCCTTTATGGCTTGTTGTTCCGCCTAGGCAAAATTTTAGATCGGAGTATGGAGTGGGAAGATCGTTGCACTTTTTAAAGGACAGGGGGCCAGTAAACCATGATTCCAGTAGCTCCCGGCTCATGCGGTTGACACCTCTTGCGAGAATTTCGGCCTCATCGAATTTGAATGTGTGGCCGGATCTCGTCGAATGAGCCGCAACATGAGAGCTGACGTCATTTCTGCGCACCGCTGCCGCGTGTTCGGCCATTCTCGTTCGGAGCTGTCTTCCGGTTTTTCCGGCGTAGTTGCTTTGTCCGCAACTGCCCCAGATCCAGTAAACGACTCCAGGCGTTTCTTGCCGTGGAAGTGGGTCTTTCAGTTTCATCAACTGACGCCTGATAGTTGCCTCCGGCCTGTGTGCAACTCCAGCCCCAAGTGGTGCGAGAAGGCGGCCAACAGCTTCCGAAACGTTCTTGACATACGGAAGTGCCCGCCAAGACTTGGTGTCCGTGCGGTTAGGCCTTTGGTCCCTTTTGCGTATGCACCGGTCGACGAAGTTGCGCGGGTAGCCATTGGTTTTGAGGACCCGTCGGAAGTATTGTAGTTCAGCAATTTTGTCTTCCGGCTCACTGCAGTGCGTATCGACACGCCGATAGAACGTCCTTAAACGACTGCGTTTGTGGCTGATTGGGTGGTTACTGTTGAAGTTCAGTACTTGCATCGTATTTGTCGCTTTCCTGAACACTTTGGTTTTTAGTTCACTACAATCTTTGCGGCATACGAGGAATTCAAGAAGGCCAGCTGGTTGTTCTCTTCCTCCTCCATCGTAAATTGAATGTCCGGGAAGACGGCGTTGAGATATTCTTGGAATGTCAACAGCTGATCCCGTTCGATGACGACGAAGGTGTCATCCACATACCGGACCCAGAATTTCGGTCTGTGGTGTCGGAAGACAAGCGATTCTAACCGTTGCAGGACCGCCTCGGCGACGAATCCCGAAATCGGCGAACCCATTGGTATGCACTTCACCTGTTCGCAGATTGTCCCGTTGAACGTGAAGTACGTCCTGAGACAGAGCTTCAGGAGCTGAAGTATTTGGGCGTGTCCAAGATGGTTCTCCGTTTCATCGTATTTGATTTGTAGTAGAAGCACAGTTGTCTTGATCGCCAGGTCCTGGGAAATAGAAGTAAAAAGGGATGTAACATCAAAAGATACCATGACCTCATTTGGATGGATGCTGACCCCTTTGAGTTTCTCCAGGAATTGTGCTGACGAAGAGACCATGTTGTCTGACTCAGCGGCCAGTAACTTGAAACGCCGAAACAGCCACTTACCCAGTCCGTACGTTGGAGTACCTTTGAACGACACGATGGGTCGGAGAGGAGCGCCGTCTTTGTGCACCTTAGGGAGGCCATAGAATCGGGCCAAAGCCGTATCTTGAGGTCTCGCCATGCGTCTGTCGGTCGGTGTTATTGCACCTGAGTTCTCCAAGGCCAACAACGTAGCAATAATTTCGCGTGTCAGCGCCTTTAAAGGGTTCGTTGCACATGGGACATAGAACTGTCGGTCTTTCAGTAAACCTTTGGGTTTTTGAAGGTAGTCTGTCCTGTCCAGTACAATTGTGGCGCGTCCTTTGTCCGCTGGCACGATGACCAGGTTTTTGGTGGCCTTGAGTTCTCTAAGCGCATCACGTTCGACCTTAGAAAGCATTTCCTGAGACCTGTGGGCCATCAGGAGAGACGACACTTGGTGTCGGATGAGGTTCTTAGTCTCCTCCGTTGCCTCCGTCTGACAAAGGATTGATTCCACTGCTGCAATCATGTTAACACGTTTGCCGTCAGCCGTGTAAAATGAAGCTTCGTACCGAAAAATCTGCATCTGATCCTTCGTCAGATCCTTCGATGACAGGTTGTGCACCCGTTTGTCGTTTCTGGGCGACGTTGGATTGGGCAGTTTTCGAAATTTTTTCTCCAGTGCTGCGTCGCGTATCGTGCTCTTTTCGTGGGCTTGTTCGACTATCCTCCGCAGGAGCAGATTCGCACCGATTTCACCCATGAACTCACAGCATCTGGTCTTTTCTTGGTCAATCGTTTGACGGTACTTACGAAGTCTCGCGTGGCAATCTTGGAGGAGCACTGGAATCATCCTTCTGTTGTGCTGAAATACTGCTCGTCTCGCCAAATCCGTGTTAACCGGTGGCTTGTATGAAACACATTTCGGTAACACATTATTGTCGAGACACCTGTGCAGAAACCGGATCTGCGAATACGTAGAGGCCTCCCGAAGGACGAAGGTTCCCCATCGCCGGGCTGATCGGAGCGCATCGCGCCCAAATACATTGCCAATAGAAGCGAAGATACGAGTTCCAGGAAGTAGTTCAGAAGAAAGAGACACGATCGTCGGGACAAGAGCTTTATTAGCCGTTTGTTTCTTTGTCTCTGATGATGGATTCGAGTAGGAATCCGAAACATCAGGCTAATAAATCTATTGTCCCGGCAATCGTATCTTTTTTTTCAAGCTTTATTTTATGTCAAATGCACTGCTATAAAGTAAAAAGCATTTTAAGCGAGCAATATAACAGGGAAAACAAATTCTCGCATAAAGCGGCGCCAGTGACTTATTTAAACATGACATTGAGGCATGCAAGAAAAACGCGCAGGAAGAGAATTCTCGAAATCTTTGAGGCAAACTGCGCAGAAACATGCTTATTCATGCCAGTCGGCGTTACTCAGAGAAGTTTTTAAAAGAGGCTATCGTGGCACGTCACGCAACGAAAAACCGCTCTGAGCATAGAGAAAGACATAAAAAGTATTTCGAGAAAACTAAAGCAAGCACATAAGAATGAGTAGAGAGCTGACAGTTTTTGGTTTTATTTTTAAGATGGCTCAAATCTTAAAGTACATGACCGCACAACTTTTAGCCAAAAGAAGGAAAGCCTGCACAAACGTCGAAAATAGTATTTTTATTTGTTTCGACGCCCTATGGTCAGTTATCAAACCATCCGAAAATGGAGATACCACTAAGATACTCCTATGCGCGTTCTTTTAGTGTTTGATACCAAGAGCCAATTTTAAGTAGGTGGTTAATAAATTTACCATGAAAATGCAGACACACCGATAGAATTCTGTCGTCTGAATATTGTCCGTATAGTAAAAATTGAAGCTGACATTTATAACACCAGAAAATCATAGTGCCGTAAGCTAATTAACTCGAACGTTAGGAAAACTGCGACAGAATGCGTGTGTCACAATCTATAGACTGGACTTTGAGGAACGCTTAGCAGATGGGCGTGTTTGCCATTTTCTTGACGGGGTAACCGGCACGGATGCCGGCGGGAACTAAAACGAAATCGGCTGCGAAATAAACAGTCACTCGAGCTTGATCAGGCGGCGCAGCATACCATAAGACAGTTCTAATTTTGCGTATGGATGGAAACTTATTTTGTAAGTCCGTTTCTAATAAAAAGGACTGCAAACAACGGCATTTTATGATATGGCTAACTTTTCTCGCCCTCAAAATTGCAAAATCCACCCTGTGGCACAATCCTTTAAGACAGGATTTGGTGTTGTATCAATGCACATAGCAGTGCATTTTTGAATACAGGTAGTAAAAATAACTGGGTTTCCACCAGTTTGCCCTTTATAACTCCTGTTTGGTGTGCGACAACATAGACGAATTTGTTAGCAACCAACTAGCTATAACACACGTGTTTTGGTCGTCTATGTCGAGAGGTAATGGCGCCAGAAGAAAAGCTTCCTGCCCAACAACGCTTCCTGACGTGATTGCGCGACTTGATGAACGATCGTAAGACAAGGTCACCTGCGCTTGCTTTCACTATTAATGAATATGTCTGGGGCGGAATGGTAAAGTAAATCCAATGAATTATGTAAATGATTTAGTTTTCAAGTCTGTGTTTGTCGAACTGGCTGCTTTCAGTCTGCAGGGATGTGAACTCCAAACAACATCCACCACCGACTCAAAAGTATTCAAATGTTTGCTATCAGTAGCAGCAACGTATATTTCATGAAATGCCGCCTTTCGAAATATAAAATCAATCCGCCATGTGGCTTATGATTTCAAATGCTTGAAATGTAGGTTTTGCAAAGGGTGAAACAGTTGCGAGTCATTATAACGGAAGCTGTTCTAGTTCGCACAAACACTTTATAAAGGCTCAGTCTGCGTAAAACCGCCCCTTTCCAGGTGACCTTGCGCAAAATCCCAGAAGAAGCAAATGTTTCCGTGCCCTAAATCTGGCCCAAACAGCAGACTTACCCCAAACATTAACTTTTAACCTAAACATGGTTCCAAGACTAGCCCTTACCTAAAATTCGATTTTATTATTTAGACTCACCCTAATTTTTTTTAAACTTAATAGCAAAGTTCCCCGAAACGGGGGACGTGCCACTACCATTGAACTTTGTGCGGCCTTTCCCTGCACTTTTATATAGATGCCAATTATCGTCTCACCACATTTAACGTAATTTCGACGACTCAACGGGTTGTGTGCTTCCTTGAACCTATTTGGCTTATTCATTTAAGCTGTGTAAACACATTTTGCCGAGTATTTATGGAAACCATACCTTAAATTGAACACCACAACTCGGTTACTAATTCGTGTATAAAACATTCATTTTAGTTAATCTTCACAGTGAAGTCTAAAACTTAGCTGTGCTTATTAAGTCCGACCGGCCGGACTGTGTCGCATCAAAAATCGGTTTTATGTTTGAATTTTCGAGTAGATAAGCACACCACTTTCACCTTTGAGATGTAAAACGTGAGCTCTATAAATAGTAGATAATGCACACATTAAGGTACGTGTCATAAAGCTTCCATAAGACTGTTCCCCTGTATATTGTCACGAATGTTGCATTTTATATGATCTTCAGATATGATGTAAGAGCCCACAATTGTTTGTAGGTAGGTATGTTTTTGAAGATTAATTGTGAAAAACGCAATCAGTACTAAACCCAATAGGGAAAAAGGTCAAATACCAATCAATCAATCATTTTATTGACTTTGATGGAAGGCTCGTGACTAAGTGAGTCAGACTCTAACAGAATACTCCAATGTATAAGCTATATTCAGGTTAGTGTAACGCAACGTTCACAACTGTCAGAATCGTGTCCTTTTTAGCAAATTCCAGTAGCCCTAGTCCAGTATCCTTAATTTTATCCGCGTCTTGCTGAAGAGCACGCTCCTTAGCGTTACTCATGCCTAACGACTGTCAGCACGGCGTGCATTTCCACTAAATACTCATTGGGGTTTACCATCTGATGCTTCCGACTTCACAGACGGAGGACTGAAAAGCAGCAATTAACGCTACCGTTGGCATCTTCCCTCGCTTTTTAGTCTGACAAACCACTGTGATCGAAAATCAGAGATGAGAGCTCAAGACCAGCCAACGTATAAGAGAGTTAGGACAACCGTTCTGCAATGACACTGCGGGCTACTAAAAAGTTGGCTTTTAACTCCTCGTTTTGTGTAGCAAATACTCAGGTTGTTCATGCAAAACAATGCCCGGTTTTATTATCATAACATATGGCAGTTGCATCTCTCTCATAAGATCTCACTCAATATCCCAGTGGTGTTACTGAGAGTAAATGATTGACGATATTTAGAAGTGCTATACATTATTCTGTACGAGCCTAACAAAATCTTAATGCAGGTCTCAACTCACTGCAAACCTCTGCGCAAAATGTTTCTCATTGATTGAATCAACCGTCTTAGTACTTACAACCAAGTGTCTCGTTAAAGCCAGTTCTTACGTTCGTCTTAAATTAAATTTTCTTAAAATAAACAAAACAGGATGAGCAGTTTAAAACTAGAATCAATGTATTTTGAGATTTTCTACTAATAAAAAGTCCTTAAAGGGAAAAAATGATCCTGCCAGAGATGTCAATGGCGCCTTACTGTTGTGGACTAAGGTACAATTCTTTGCAGATTTAGCTCAATTAATGAAAGCACGGAGCGTCCAAAAATGATTCAGTAGCCCAGCAGTACAATCGCATTTACTATTAATTATAGTCGACTGCGAAACCTATTGTTGGATACGTTAAAATATACACGGTGGTGTCCATTTAACGGGATTTTAGAATAACTATGATCAAACGGCCTCAATGAAATTTACAGTAGGTGGGCTAACTATTAAAATGTCAGCCGAAATCTCGAACTGTGTTTTCGTTGCTAAAAGACTGATTAAGTAGGTTTGTAAAATTAATCGCCATAAAACATAATTTCATAAGAATTCAGTTACCTCATTATGCCGACTTTTGAAATAACGCATTTCGGACTGCATGCATAAACCATAGCCTGCAAAAATGTTTACTTAATTAGCATGCAATTTTCTCATTGATTTTTGATGCCCTTGAAAATGTAACTACATTTCATAGAAGGCACTCATAAAAATATTCATTTATTTATTCGGTAGAAAATCACGTCTAATTTCAATTTTATACTCGACAGGTGGGCATAATTTGGTTTCAATAAAGTTTCTAATTTTGAAATTTTTTAATACCGCGAAATGGCAGTTCATAGTCATGTGTCTGCATTTACAAACGTGTTAAATGTTAGAATATTGCTTAAATCCACTGCTTTATTTTATGACTCCCATCTGATCTCTCCTTAAAACTGTAGAGAAATGCATGGTTTTCCGTACACGAAAATACATGACTTGTAGTTTGGAAACCCTGAACGCAAATGTAGCGGCAGGGCGGGTCCAACATTATTCGGGAATTAGAAAAGTTTCTAAAAACCTAATTATCTCTTCTTTCGAGAATAAAATTGGATAAAGACGTGATTTCCCACCGAATATTTAAAAAAGTAAATATTTTTTCCATGTCTTCTAGTAAATATAGTTTAATTTTCCACGGCATCGAAAATCAATGAGAAAATTGCGTGCTACTTAAGTGGTATTTTTTGCAGATTATAGGTCTTGCATGCATTCAGAAATAAGTTCATTCAAAAGCGGATACCCTGAGGGAATTGGATCATTATAGAATTATGCTGCAAAATGATTAAATTCGAATCAAGAACACATTTCGAAATTTTAATTGATATTTCACGAGTTAGTCCACCTGCTGTACTCTCACACACTATGATAAGTTAGCTCTCTGGCTTGAAAAACTTCCGAAAAAGGACAGGGGAATAGACAGTTTGGAATGCCTTTCACTGCAATGCAGAGAGCGGAGTTGGAGTTATAATGTAAATTGAAAGTATTAGGTTTATGAGAGCTTTTTAGGTAGGGTTTAGGCGTATGGGGGTTGGAATAAAGGAGGCGGTAGAACACACGAATAGGCACTCCCTTTCTTTTAAATCAAAATTAAATCTGAGGGGAATATTTACTTCCGCCACCATTCATCGCTCCCAAACTGCCAAAATCACGTATATACTTTTATGAGGCCAGTACTTTTCACGTATGACTTAATGTGTCAGGTAGGTTGTTTAGTCATCAGTGTCTCGGAAGACCATAGAGGTGTCCCACTGTGCCCAATGTATTCCTAAAAAACGATAGAAGATATCCCGGGCAAAATCGGTTAGTATAAAAAACCCCTCACATTTCGAATCATTCTACAATTATCCTCTTTAACTATACGTTCTGAAATGGCTTTTGCACTGTCATTCACTCCTGTAGATTACACAGGTAATAAATAACGCTTATTTCCAGGTTATTAGAAAACTTATAGGGGATGATAATAGGAAAAAAAACCATTAAAAAGAGCTAACTTTGGGATCCCTCAGAGGTATTTTGACAGATAATGCACCAAAAGACTATTTGCAGAGGACAGGTCTTGTTTTGTCAGTTACCGTCACCTTGGAAAAACTGAGACAATTAAAATATGTCCCAAAGAAGAAGCTTGGAGGATATGGCTCGCAGACAAAATTTTCTAAATACGGATTGCGCTGGGCGAACTCCGCAGGAATGAAGCTAATTTCTGCCTAAATGTAACTTTCAACGGGCTGGACAACTGCAAATAAGAACTTATGGCCCCATATTAACCTTTTTAAATAAAGTGGTTTAGGTTAAACTGCGACAGGATTCAAAGTGGCCAAAACATTGTCTCTCTACCGCAGGTAAAAATAAAATTTGTGACCAGTGTACCACATGGTGAAGCAAGTTGTCCATTTGATATGGGCATTAAGTCCATTTTCCGAGATATAAACACCTAGAGCAAATGCGAGTTATGGAAAAAGATGCATGTAGCAGGACGTGAAAATGAAATAAAACCGGAAGTTAGAATGTTCTCTGGTATTAACACAAGCTCAGGACTAGAAGTAAAGTAAGTATCAACGATTCCCGCCTATCTGCGTGGCTGGCCAGTCACAGTTAGATCGCATTTGTTGCCAACGGTGTAGTTTGTGCCCAGGTGATCATAGAGCTCTAAAGTCAAACATTTAACCACTTCAACTGCCAGATTAATGCTTACCAACCTGCGGTCAGAAATAGGCAAGGTCGCTGGATCAGTAGCACTCATTTATTCACTTCTATTTTAGGACGAGAGACAGCGAAATTTCGATTTCGGATTGATAGCTTGGGCAACCATCTACCTAATATTCTCCCTCACCAAAAATCTGATTCGTTTTTCGCCCTTACTCGGGCCCTGGAGTGCGGTAACTAACAAAGTAACAAAGTGGCAGAAACCTCATCGAATCAGTGCCTTGGTAAAGCCTGTCACGATACCTGCTGTCATGAGGCATGTGACAGGGCGATAAGTACAAGGTTGGCTTAATTCTGTTTTCATCTCCAGTGAGCGTCCGAAAAATCCAAATGGAGGACCGTAAATAGTTCGACGTATGGTGTCCGATGAGTGTCAAATTCCTTCCGGTAGGCTTTTATGGATTACAGCTTAACTTTACCCCTTAATTCTTCCCCACAGATGAAGTATCGGTTTACGCAATGGCGTACAAATGCTTGACGCAGCACAAACCGTGACTTTTTTCTCCGCTCGTGATGAAGTCAAACAAATGGCAAACCCTGATTTTTACGTGAAATGCGAAATACTGCGACGACAGGTGGATAAGGAATTACGAGTTTCTTATGAAAGCAAGATTCTCATAGCAATCTTAGGGAACGTCAGAGCAACAAAGCGGTACTTAAAAAGAGCATAGAACGTAAAATAAAGACATTGGCTATCGGGAAAAAATACACAATTTATTAATAAGCGTGTACTTCCAAAATATTCTATAATATGAAGAGAAAAAATCACGAGAGTTAAGGGAATTATTTTAAGGTAAATGTCTAAATTTCTGAAACAAATAGAACTTGGTAGAAAAATACAGGCTATTTTCACATAATCGTTTTGCGAATGAGATCGAGTTGCGACTGGGAAATACGCACGGTCAACGGCCAAAAAATAAGAGGGAAGATGTTGTATTCCCCTTTATTCCTCAGCTGTATAAGCAATTTTGGGGTGTGCGACTCACGGATGCTCTGCATTTGGACCAGATGATCTACTCCAGACTTCAAATTATTTACTTTACTTTTGTAATTTTGAAACAGTAGCACATGTCACGTCTATCTCAACACGTTTAAATGATATCGACTTATATTTTTGAAAAATACCTAGAGGGACCTAGAAGTAAGTAAAACCAGTATAAAGGTTATTTTCATGCAGCTTAGCAGAAGCAGTCTAGACGGCGCGCTGTGAAAGATTATTTGGACACCCTGGCATCCCAGCAAGCAGCCGCAGGCTTTGAGCATGAGAGCTTATCTAACTTAAATCATAGCCTAGGTTTTCAGAGTCAATATACTTGCTTACTAAAGGAGGCCACCCAAGATGTCTGCCGGCTTAAAATTTCGGCAGACAGCAGGTACGCATTTGCGAGCAATGCATCCACCTTACTCTCCCCCGCTTGCTATGGGTTAGATTGTATATGATCTCACTTTTAGTTGCTGTGGCCTGGCTATCAAAGGCACCGCACAGCGCTCTGACCACCCAAGTCGAATGCTGCTCCGTAAGAAGAACCGTGATCATGGCTGCATCGAAGTTATCGTTGAGAATGATCGGGACATTGCTATTGGTAGCCACCGCAACGGACGGGAGTTTATTATGTGGACTGCTCGGCATTGGCCTGGCGACAACAGCCCAAAAGTGCCTTAAACCCTATGCGATCGCTAATTCCTGACTGTACTTTCCATGATGTCTTCGAGAGTGAAGCAGAAACTACCTTCAAGTTAAGTTCTGGGTGCAGCGGCTGACACTAATTCCTGTTTAAACAAAACCATTTGTTTATAGCCGAAACCTTTGTCAGAGTTCAAAAAGCCACTTTTTTTCTTTTCAGAATTAAACGATAATAAATCATGTCGACAATGAGTCATGCTAACGGTCAATCAATGAGACAGCTGACCTGCTTCAGGTTCTTTTCTACAAATTTTATTACTGTTTAAGTGCTTCTGGGCGCTTCGGAGAGCTGGAGCGCTCAAGTTAAAGATTCGCAGTTTGGTTCAGTGGTTTACAAAATTTAAAATCATATATTTTGTCTTCAAGGAAACCCTACTGGAGGGATGTTCAAAGACTGTCCCTAACAAGATAGATAAAGGTCATTTCATGAAAACATTTATTAACGACCCGAAAATCACCAGCCACCAGTTCGAAGAACTATTGCCCAGGCCTTCAGATGAGGCTAACATGGCCATCTTGTTCTCGGAAAGAGATCTGGCTGGTCGGTCTCTGAAGCATTTCCGACCGCTGCAAGTGCCGTCACGTCGATTTGTCTGAAAAGTCCTCATAGACTTGGATACATGAAAAAAACTTAATTTTTTTTTATCTTTTAATGACGACAAGAAAGCAACATCCCTGTACAATTGTAATAATCAGGTTTAGGGTCGTCACCAATGTATTACAGGCTCCACTGATTAATAAAAATGTGATGACCGCTGTTATTTTTTCTCGGACAAAAAAAACAGCCTTTGACCTGGACGGAGGTGAGTTAAAGGTGTCAGTTTGGTACACCGAAGTGCGCCAAGGTGAGATATGTTCTGACGTTGGTAGTTTATTCACAAGCTGGGACTGCATGACAACTAAAATTTGCGGTGACTTTCTTGGACAAAGATGAAACGAGTTTCGTTAAGTGAACACCTTCCTGGTCTGACCTCACGCCTCGGGATTTGCTTTCGCACACGGAAAAGGGTCTGTGCGGAAGGCAATAAGAGGCTGGTGAGTTTAATCTACCCTCGATTTGCGCAGAAATCGCAGAACTCCAAAAATTGGATGCTGAGGGGTTTGTTAATGGCCGGACTGATCATCTCAAATGTTGCACTGACATTAAATTCATTAAAGTTGACGCTCACAAACAGACGAAGATTTTAAGAAGAATATCCCCAACACTCTAAATATAAACTAAAAATACGGCCTTTAAAAAGCTTATCGCCATCCAGAGGAGGCTTCAAAGGTTTGGTTGCCAAAAAAGTTGAACATTGCACAGACCGATAGAAGCGAAGAGACGATTCTCAGGAAGCAGTCTTGAAGAAGGAGAGACGATCGCTGGTATAAGAGCTTTTTAAGCCCGACTTTTCGAATTCCTGCTTAAACCCATCATAAGAGACAAAAACAGATACGGGTGGTTCATGCACAAGGAGCTGCAACCAGCCATAACATCACATGCAACGATCCCTGAGGAAGGGTAGAGCCCTGAACATTCATAGGTATGCGGTAGCATGGCGACTGCACCCTATAAATACTGCAGCCCCTTGAGCATGAACCACCCGCATCTGCTTTTTTCTCTGATGATGGGTGCGAGCAGGAATTCGAAGCGTCAGACTAATAAAGCCCTTGTCGAAGCGATCATGTCTCCTTCTTTAACACTAGATAGACCCTTGAACTCCCCTCTACGTAATTGAAGATAAATACGCCAGTCAGAATCTGAGTTCGGGTCAGCAACCCAACCGGCCGTAATACTAGCAGTAACGTCATAGCGTAGACACTTTGCTTTGGCAGAACATTAAGGAGGGACCTCTTTCTGTTTCGCGCTCAGCTTGGCTGACTGCTCAATTTACAGCTCCGAAGCAGCGTCAGCCGTTAACTAAAAGTACTGTTTTGACCGCTCTTACGATCGATTGTTTGGAGTAGGAAACTTACACCGAACACTGAAGACAAATTTTCAGGCTGATCATCACTGAAGACCCACGTAAATCCTCTTATCCACCAATTTTTCCCATTTCCACCTTTTTGCCAACATTGGCGCTCATCTCGCCACTATAGACAACTCAGCAGGTAGCACGGCTTTCAGTCACCGACTCTTTCCTGCCCTCCCTACCAGTCCTTTTGACTAGATACGGACTCTCCGGTCAACTCCTCCTCAAGCCGACTTCTTCTGAACATGATGATGCAGCAATGGAGGTCAATCTCACCATTTATTTCATGCTCCTTTAAGATTTCTTGACAGCGCATCGAGTTGGCATCCCAGTAGAGCTCCATATCGGGCACAAGTAGTTGCCCATCTCCCGCACCTAGGCCTGTTACTCTGAGTGTTCGGCCGGCCTGGGAGTCAATGAGAGCACTGTACAGACGAAGGCGATACGCGCAGGGTTGATCGTCAATCAAGTCGGCTTCTCCAATCTCGTCTGCTCCATCTCCATTCTGCGTCAACTCGTGGTCCACGTCTTTTATCAGCGAATTAGCTTCAGGGAGGTTCCCTGACTGGAAAGGAATGAAGGTGGAGGGCTCCTCTTTTTCGAAAGCCCCAGTAGGACCCCTGTCATTTGAACGTGTGCCGGCGAGAGTAATTACTGTTGGTTTTGTGTGCAGAATTTCATCCGAGTTCTTGCAGCTGAAAAGAAACACAAGAATCGAGGTTTAAAATGGTGACTGCTGGCCGAATAATTTATTTAGAAAGAAAAACCGCCTGAAACCGATGGTCCTTGCGAGAGTTGGGGAGGAAGGGGGGAGTAATTAAACATTTCACCTGACATAAAGGCAATGCAAGTGCAATCACAAAAGAGGAAGTTTAATAATCTCCGGGAGAGCTTGAATGTTTCTCACATTTTGAGTGACTAAAACGTGCACTGGAAGCCTTGAAACGAACTTGCTCTACAAACGACACGAGATCGGTTTAGTGAAAATTTTTTCTCCTATCAAGGTCTCACTCATGTTGGTATTTTGACCACGCCGATGATGACTAACCCAGAAATAAATATTCTGCACTTTATTCCCTCCCACGGCAATACCTCTCAATTACTGGTTGATCTACGACTCCCTGAAAACTTCTGAGCGAAAGTAAAGCAATTCGGTGGACACATAAGAAATGACGAGGGCTGTTGCGATCAAAATAACTGCCGAATATACAGCACATAATCTAAGTAATATCACGTTAAGTTTAACGAATAACTAACTTTGGACTAAAAACACGAGCGTCTAGCGCCTTTGATTGAAGGTACGGACGGACATTAGCCACAACACATCGGAAAATATGCAGTCATTGTAACTAATACGCATTTAAGTATAATTGGTTCAGAACATGTAAACATTAACTGACGCTCCTAAAAAAACTAAAATTGGGTGGGATAGGAAGGTGTTACGAAACCTTACGAGAAAAATGATCATATGCTGTGGGCTGAATAAATTGCACTTATGTCGTCAAAAAGCATTACCCTATATCGATTTAATCTTTTGGACATCCAGTCAAACTCTAACAAACCCTATCGATCCTTACTTGCAAATGTTAAGCACACAAAAGATCGAAATGCCCTTTTTTAGCTTTAAAAAACCATTACGATTCTTACTTGTAAAAAGAATGCACACAATAGATCGACATGTCCCTCTTTTAGCCTAACTTCAAGTCTTCCATTAGATTATTCGGGCAAAAACACATACTCTTTTAATTATCCCTGTAAAAAACGCAATGTAAGTCAATGGCAGCAGGTTAATACTGTGTTTTGCCGGTAAAGATCAGAAATATTACCTAAATCAGAAGTGTATTAGTCAGTCGACTAACGGGGCATGTTCGTCCCGTCAAGGCATGCTGCGTAATTTGGAGGCCCCGCGGGCCATCGCAAAGGGACCACCAGTATAAACAGAAGTCCGTGCCGGGTTAGCAATGCTAGAGGACCAAAGAAAACGTATTCGAATCCTTTTAGCAGCACTGCTTGTCGTTAACTGCCTGTGAGGACTTTAGGTTAAGTCTCAGCGCTCTATAGGGACGAATACCTCCTGTCACCATGTCTGTCAAAGTAACCTCAAAACACCTATATGCATAAAATCACTTCATCGACCGGAATGTTATCAATACCTAGTCACGTGGTATTATCTAGTGCTGCAAATAGGCTATTTATTCATTCAAGGCACAGCATCCTACTGTCCTTTCAAAACAAGCAAAGTTCAACTGAGCAACAGAAATTCCGAAATCTGCCAAGTTGTCGACCAAGAGGTGCTGCATGAATCTATTGTAAAATGCTACCTTAGAAGGATAACGAGAAATGGGTAAACTAATAGGGGTATTTTCTTGTTGCCAGTAGTATACGCAGTTGCGTGACAAAAATATATCCAGACCAGAATTTGTTTAGCGTGGACATATGAGCAACATCAAAAAATTCAAATATCTTGTCTGCTACAACCCTGTCCCCTTTTGGAGCGGAAACTTGTGAAACGGACTCGTCAATAAATGAACCAAGTGTCTCGCTACACTAAATTGTCTGCATACGCTTGATATTAGTCCCTATTACTTGCATCGAATGATTAGCTAAGTTTTAAGTCTACCCTCTGGACACTTGGCGAGCCTTTTTGATCCAGCAATTCCCAAGAAACTACTAAGCTAAAAAAAACTTCTGATTGCCTGTAAAGTTGTAGTCAATGTTAGGGGATTTATTCACAAATTCGTTAAACATTTTACTGGAGTATGCTAGCATCTCCATGCCTTTCTGATACATAATCACGTCAATAGAGGCCCTTGCGTGTGTCAGTTAAGGCATCCCTGCGCGCAACCAACTAGTACACAGCGGGAGCGTCACCTTTAAGAGAATTTTGAGGGATAAACTTGTATATGTGAGCTCACCTTGGGCAGTGGCAGCCGTTTATACATTAAAGGTCGAAACGTTACTAAAGCCAAACATGCAAAGGAATGTTGTGTAAATCCGCATATCGAACTTGATGTCGCTTTTAAAAAGTCCGGTACTCATGTAATAAATGACAGCCTATCTAAACGAACTTTGGTCATATAAGGATCCCTCCTTAACGCAGACATGAGGTTAATATTAGTGAAAATCCGATTCCCAGGTGGCATATCAAAAGAAGAGTGGGCGTTCACCGGGAGGGGTTTATTTGATATCCGACGTTTCGGGTAGTTTACTCGTCTACCCATCTTCAGGGACTGAGAGGTCCTGTGCACAGCACTCCTTATTATGGCGCCCTTTGTCCAATGCGTGATCCGCCAATGCCGCCTGTGTGGCTGCATCCAACCCGCATGTCACCGTTACCTGAATCGCCCCCGTCGGCCGCGGTGATGACTGACGGCCCCGATTGTCCGGCGACGTGACTGTCCCCCGCTAAGAAGGTTCGTAAAGTCAGATAAGGGGGAGGCAAATTAATGTGGCGGTTGACAGAGCGGTCGGTGGACATCCAGGCTTCTTGCACTTGCCTTGCTGTGTGGTCGCCGCCCCGGCCCACAATCTCAACGGCGTCAAAGTTGAAGATGTGTCCCATTTGCGCGGCATGGGTTGCTACCTCCGACTTTGGGTCCAAACTTCGCACGGCCAACTTATGCTCGTGCATTCGCGTTTGCAGCCGTCGGCCGGTTTCCCAAACGTAGTCGCAACCTCCGCAGCTGCATTGGAGTCGGTAGACAACGGCCGAGGAGCACAGTCAGCCAAACTCGTGGCGGAGCATTCCGTACATTAAAGGGGTCTCCGAAGTCGTGGCTCGATCACTCGCGCCACTCGGAATAGGTGTTGCCCACAGGCCTGACTCAACAATCCGCCGGCAAGTGATGCGGCCGAAAGATCCGATCCCTAAGCAGGAGATGTCGGCCGTTGTCTACCGACTCCAATGCAGCTGCGGAGGTTGCGACTACGTTGGGGAAACCGGCCGACGGCTGCAAACGCGAATGCACGAGCATAAGTTGGCCGTGCGAAGGTTGGACCCAAAGTCGGAGGTAGCAACCCATGCCGCGCAAATGGGACACATCTTCAACTTTGACGCCGTTGAGATTGTGGGCCGGGGCGGCGACCACACAGCAAGGCAAGTGCAAGAAGCCTGGATGTCCACCGACCGCTCTGTCAACCGCCACATTAATTTGCCTCCCCCTTATCTGACTTTACGAACCTTCTTAGCGGGGGACAGTCACGTCGCCGGACAATCGGGGCCGTCAGTCATCACCGCGGCCGACGGGGGCGATTCAGGTAACGGTGACATGCGGGTTGGATGCAGCCACACAGGCGGCATTGGCGGATCACGCATTGGACAAAGGGCGCCATAATAAGGAGTGCTGTGCACAGGACCTCTCAGTCCCTGAAGATGGGTAGACGAGTAAACTACCCGAAACGTCGGATATCAAATAAACCCCTCCCGGTGAACGCCCACTCTTCTTTAGACATGAGGTTGTTATCGTTTTTAGTCGAGTATGAAAATACAGTCGTCTGGTAACGGCTTGGAGGAACAGCATTGAGAATCTATGGAACTAATTGTGCTGCTTTATTAAATAACTCATCCGATTCCGGACCAAATTCTATGGAATGTCTAGTCGTCTCAAATTTAGGCCGTATATAAATTTATGAAGTCCTTTTCAAGACTTAAAAAGCTGGAATTAGAAACACAGTCTAATAACCTCCTCATCAAACAAACGACCTTCAGCCATTTTATTTAGAGGGCGTGCAACAGCTCAAGTCCAAGTTACATCAAGGTATTCAAAATAACTTGAGCAAGACCTGTTAGATACGTCAGAGTTGGCTGCAATCTTTGTATGAATAGCAAGACTGTGCGCACAGAACTCAATAGGAGTTCCGCAGTTCCCATTTTCACAGCCACTAAGCCAGCCACCCGCATGTAACTGCCTTTCCTAGTGCCTCATCATTCCCCCGACGCCGACCGGCAATTTGATGTTCTACGCCCTCCCCTCTCCGAATGGGCCTTTAGCATAATTATCTACTTGCCTGTATCTGTTACTCCTTTTACAATAGCCTTATAGATATACCGGTCTAAAGAGAATTTATCGAAAGCAAACGTATGTCGACCAAGTCGTCTTTTAAATTTTTTAACGGGGTTTTTTGCAATTCTGTAATGCAAGTACATTTATCTGAAAACATAGACAGGAGTATCCTTTCCTTTACTCATTTGGTGGTAAATTGCACATTTTCCAAACCGTTTTCCTAAAGAAAATTGTGTGCGTTGTTTCTACAAAATATAATTGAGCCTATGAGGAGAAAACGAAACCACTAGTAAAAATGCATACTTCTTAAGCAGTAATATTTAACAGAATGCAGTTTACACAGAAAACAATAAGGAGCTCTTTCCGAAGGAGGCATTCTGGCATGAATAAAATACTTTGATGTTATGCCACACGATAATTTGCATTACAGCCCTACTAAACTGATCTTTTAAAGTCAAAAACACATTTTTAAATTTCAGTTAACATTTTTGAGATAGCAGATTAATTGTATGTAGAGAATGAAGTACAATAAAGACAAGGGAGATAAGGGCTACCCTCCTGCCTGCTTTCTCGTAAATTATGACTTATACTCATTGACCATTGTGGGTAAAGTAGTTCAACGCCCAACTATTGTGCCACGAATCCAGTGTCATATAATTTGACAACAAGAAAATAAATAATGGCGGAAGCCTGCATAGAAATAGGATTGCGGGCCGTGCTTGCTCGGCTGTACCGCGCAGGCAATTACAAAAAACCAGTTAGGATACAGAAAGGACTGTCGACAGAATTAGAAGAGATTGGCACGACTATTTCCGGCTCATTCGTAATGCGTCAAATTATTATCGTTCAACGACCGAAAAACTAGAGATCAAATCTCAAGTCGGCAACTATGGGACAGCCTGCAAGAAGCCGGAAGTACCACGGGACGACCCTGACCGAACGGTGCACCCTCCATCCATACGCATCCATACGCATAGTCGACATTTGAAATGCGTTTTAAATGGTAAGATGCTACTTGAGTAGAGTTGTAAAATTAAGTTTCTGTAGCACAATCCCAAGATATATTAGTCACGTCAGGATGGCGGTTTAGAAAGAAATTTCATTTGTTCATGAGGCTACCAACACATCCAATAAAAAACAATTACCTGGGTCGTATGACTTTAACGCATCAATTTTTGACTTTCCCATAAATCGAGATATACCTTTTAGAAATATGAACAATATATTCTTTCATTTACTCATTTTGTAGCAAATTACATATTTATTAAATATTGTACCTAAAGAAAGAGTGTCTTCCAGTTTGGAAAGTTTCCAATCATGAGATTTTTAAGCCCAATAAATTTTCATGCATAAAACATGATATCTTTGCATTTATTAGTGCTGCTTCCAAACAATATAATATGGTTCAAATCCGCTGCAAAATGGTATGAGGCACACATGATGTCTTTTCAACTACATGCAGAAATAGTTTACTTTCCTTATAAGCGAACTGTACAGTTTGTGGTTTAGAATCCTAAACGCAAGTACAAGAACAGATCGGAATCAAAATTATTCAGTGTTTGGAAAAGATTTTTGAACCTAAATAAAGCCTTTCTGTCGGGTATAAAGTTTAAAGGTGAAAAGAAAAATTCAAGCTACCTAAGTGGCCAATTTTACGAAGCACAACCCTTACTGCAGCAGGAAAGTGGTTCCTTCAAATGCCAAAATTCTGATACGACTGAAATATCTTGAAATTCCGTTGCACAATTATTACCGTTACAACATAATTTATTATCTTTTTGGATCGAAAACGCACTTTAGAATTTCAGTTCATACTTCTTGACGTAGCACATCTACAGAGTAATAGTATTTTTTTTTAAGGCGTACAGAACGTTGGATATTAATAACATACGTTATGTGAGTGGTCAGACGTAGCGCCGTTCGAGGCTCTCTGCTGGCCAGTCTGGATTCCAAGTTGAGGACGCGCAAACGACGAATCAGAAGCACTACTTGTTGAGAATCGAAGCTATCAATGAGAATATTATTAAACGGCATTTCCCAGACGACCCTCGTGTCCGGGCTGATGCCTCGAAATGCACCAGAGTCCAGACTGAAGCGGGCAGTACAGTCGACGAAACATTGTAGTTGCGCAGTGTCCAGAGCTTTTCCACGTATGAGTGTAAGGCCAGCAAGATCTCCCTTAATAAAGACAAAGAAAAACCAATTTCAAAGGCTCGCAGTATTTAAAACGTTCCAAAGCTGTTTATTTGTTATATCAATCAAGCTCAAAACAAGAAGATAAGTAAGAGCCACTTAAAATTCGATCCTTAGACAACTGCTATTAAGAATTGTCGTAAAACAGTTTGAACTGTGGCGGCCTCGATAATAGGTCTGTTAAGCTTTGGCGACCTTTTATTAAATTATTAAATATTTTCGAAATACGTCTTACCTTACACTCAAAGTAGGAAGACTAACTCATGAAATGTCAGCCAAAATCACAAAATGCGTTGTCAATTTGAAAATATAAGTTACGTGGGTTTGTAAAACTATTAAGCCTGCGGTTTAGGTCTATAAAAATTCAGTTCTTATAGGAGGGAGGTTTTTAAAAAAATTATTTACGGCAATAAACAAAAACAATTTTTTGTAAAAATTGACTTTAGGTGGCATGTATTTTCCCATTGATTTTAGATGCCCTTAAAAATTTAAATTATATTTCGTACAAAACATGCATGAAATGTGCATTCTTCTACTCATTTTTAGAACATTAGGTCGTCTTTCAATAAAATGCTTGAATGAAAGTTATAGATCGGTTCTAAATAAGTTTCTAATTGGGAGATTTTTTGATGCCGTGAGATAGACGTTCATAATGCTCATGTCTCTGAATTAAACAATTTGACTTCTTAAGTTCGCAATATGGCTATAATCCACCGGTAAAGTTTATGAACCCCGTATGGCGACAGAAATGTATGATTTTGCGTACGCGAAAAATATATGACCTGTAGTTTGGAAACCCAAAATGCAAGTGTAACGGCAGGTCGGAGTGCAAAGTAATTTGGGAATTGGAAAAGGTTTTAACGAAATATGCCCTTCCTTCGAGTATAAAATTAAAAGAACACATAATACTCTACCGATCGAGAAAGGGCATAAATTTATTCTATGTATGTTTTCCAGGAAATGTTATTGATTTTTTAAAAGCATTAAAAAATCCATGAAAACAATGCATGCTACATAAATAGCCACCTTTTACAGATTATAGGTTTTGAATGCAGCCAAAATAGTTCGTTCGAGGGCCAACATCCAAAGAAAACTGAATTACTATAGAATTACCCTGCGGAAAGATTGGTTTAACAACCCTACATACTTACCCTTTGCAAAACGATAACGAATTTCGGTTGGCATTTCATGCGTTAGCCAAACTACTATATATAGCACAAGGAAAGTTAGTTTTCAGCGTTCCGGCGACATTATGTGACTTTTTCCACCGCCACATTTTAAAGGACCGACTTGTTCTATGCAGGCACAGCTTCTCACTTCCGACGGTTCAGCGAAATGTAAATTTTCCCTCAGGGATTTGGTAGAGTGAACCGTGCACCGGAATGTGCAGATCGAGCGTGTGTGGCACGCGTATATGAGTTGCCAGACGTTGCATCCCATCCGACTTTTGATCGTCCTGACTTAGTCATGCCATAGAGTCCGGGAGGGTTGGCAGGATTTGCTGCCGCGGATGTTTTTCAAGTCGGTTATTACTACGTGCATTCAGCCTCCCTACGCCCACCTCGTCAAAGTGGACAAAGAATGAGCATTGTGAGTAGCCACGAGCATCAAATCCAATCCTAGATCAGTAATCTCGGTTTAACAACCTGCAGTAAATTCCTTGGCGAATGCGAAAGATAGATTTTTCCACCCCTTCGCGAAAGTACGACATGTGCACGTAAGAGGTACGCAGACCCCAATGCACAGGAAACGCTAACAGGGAACATGCACACCGCAGGCAGATTGACAAGTCCGCCCTTGTTGACTTGCAGTATTAAAAGGAAGATATTTTCTCTCTATTATGATGACTTTGCTTGCAATGAATTAATGCCTCCGGACTGCACCGGACTTTCAATAAATATTTTTTTTCAAACTTGCTGTAATTGTAAGAAAAACGCCGTTCTCGGCCTGAATATAAATCATAACAAAAGGACTTTTGGCATGACTACGGTAAAATGCCTGGAGATATTTTAGCCCGTAAACAAAATGGCAAAAATGGCTAGACGTTTAAAATGCATTATATTATGTGGCCGTTTTAGACAATAGGAAATTAAACTGAGATTTAAAATTTCCCATTTTTGTGCAAGTCTCACAAGGATATTGTGTATGGTCGGAGATAAGCAAAAGAGCGAACATCTAGGGACGCTGTGGCATCGCACATGTTGATCCTTAATATTAACGCCAATTAAGGGGGAACGCCATTTCTACCACTTAATTTGGACTACTCTTAAAATTAAGAAAATCCTTAGACACTTAATACTACAATCGAAAAATTAAATTGACAGGGTCACATGCTTCTGCAAAATAATCAGATGACTAGCTTAACATATTCAAAATGAACTAAAAATGCGCACTAATAGAGAAGCAATGCATTTTGCGAAACAAAGTAAACTAGGCTGGCTGGAAAAACTTACAATCAAATCTTACTTCATCAGCTTACAAACCTAGGTAGATGTTCTCATCTCTGTTAATCAATGCTCAACGGTCGCCTTAGTGGCATTATTCTCCTCCAGCAACTTCCTTTGGTGGCACCATGCACTCAAAAGCGTAAAAATCTGCGTGGGTGGTCGTTGCTCAAAATGTGACTGACTGTGCGATAAGGCTTACATGCCAGTCCCAACGGACAGGCTATAGCCGCGGACAAATTAGCTGACTGCGCAACTGCGAGGCGTTAATTCATCTTTTTGGGCAAATCCACCGGGATGAATCTAAACATAGACCGTCGTTGTTGGAAGAGGCGACTTTTAACATCTTTAGAGGAAATATAGGCAACTGCCGCAAGTCTGCTTAATCAATAAAATAAAACTACTAATAAGACACGCAGAACATCGACGGGACCCTGCAGAAGTGGTTTTGGTGTGCAAATACGGGTACTTTGCCATTTAAGTTGATACACGGTAGGTGGGCAACGCATGAACTGTTAACCAAAATTTTAAAATTCGTTTCCCTGTAGAAAAGTTTAATTAAGTAGATTTGTAAACTTAATCCTTTTGCGACACAATTCTATAATAATCCAGTTACCTCAAGGTGCCGGCTTTCGACAAAACTCTTTTTAGACTGCATGCATGAACTACAATCTGCAAATATGACTATCTACGTTACATGCATTTTCCTCATTAATTTTCGGAGCCCTTAAAACTTCAACCGCATTGCATAGAAATCACGCATAAAATTATTCATTCTTTTGCTCTTTTGGTAGAAATTGAGGTTTCCCTCCACGTCCATACTCAAAGAAAGGGTACAATTCAGTTTTCAAAAACTTTTCTGATTTCCGAAAAATTTTAAACCCCGACCTGCTGTTACACGCGCATTTAGGGTTTCCAAACTCTATGTCGTATACTTTTCGCGTACGGAAAACCACATATTTCTATACTGCATCAATAGGAGACCACCTGTTATTCATAAAATTAAGCAGTAGATTTAAGCCATATCGTTAACTTTACAAGGTACACTGGCGAATGCAGAGACATGACGTTCTATGAATGGCCATTACACGGCATTAAAACCTCGCACAATAAAAAAAACTATTTAAAACCGAATTATATACTATTTGAGTATAACATTCGAAAAAACGACATTTCCTACCGAATAAGCAAAAAACCAATATTTTTATGCATGCTTTTTGTGAAATATAATTTAAATTTAAAGGGTATCTAAAATTCATTGGACAATTGTATGCTTCTTAAGAAGTCCTTTTTTGCACAGTATGGTGTTTGCATGTAGTGAAAGAGAAATTTATTCGAAAGCCGGCACCCTGCTGTAACTATATTATTATGCAATTTTGTCGCATGATGATATATTTTACAACACTACCTAATTAATCTTTTTGAAAAGGGAAACGCATTTCGAAGTTTTGACTGACACCTCATGAGGTAGCGCCCCTAATTTAAGTTAGGTGGTTCAATTAACGAAAGAATCATTACCGGTGACACAAGTATTTCACAGATGAAGCCTAGCACGGCAATTTGGCTGAAGTTAGTGTGACTAGGGAGGAGCACCTTCCGGGTACTATAAGCGGCCTAACTCATAAAGTCTTAGTCGAAATAGAAAACTGTGTTTTCGATTCAAGAAGAGTACTAAAATACGGCTACACTATTAACAACCGTTTAACATAATCCCATTAATATTCAGTTACATCAGGACGTAGGCTTTCGAAGGAACTTTCTTTGGCCGGCTACAAAAATTACAAGCAGTGAAACAGGACTGCTTAAGTTGCACAATATTTTCTCACTGACGTTCGATGCCCTTACAAATTCAGCTATATTTCATGGAAAACATGCATGAAAGTACTCACTTTCTCATTCATCCGGTAGATTGTTTTGATTTATTTAACTTATACGCTTTTAAAAGGGTTTAAAGTGGTTCTTAAAAACATTTCTAACTATGAAATGTTTAAGGAAATCAAATACCCATTCACAAAATATTGTGTGTTTGCATTTGCCTAATTTGCTTCTAGATATTCTAGTAGGCTCGAATCTAAAGTTAAAATTTATAAACCACTTTACGGTTTCTTCTTAATATCGAAGAGCGACGTATGATTTTCCGTTAGGAAAAACATTAAACGTGTAGTTTAAAAACACCAAATGCAAGTGTAAGAGCACGTTAGTTTAAAAATTATTCGGAAAGTAGAACCTTTTTAGAACTGAATTATGCTCTTCCTCAGACTGTGAAATTTAATGAAAGCATAGCGTTCCACCAACAGCCTTAAAGAATGAACATTAGCATGCATCTTTTCCATGAAGTATGTTTGAATTTATAAGGGCGTCGAAAATCGATAAGAAAAGCTCATGTTACGTAAGCAGTCATTTTTTGCCGAGTGCATTTTTTGCAGGCGACCGAGAAGAAATTCATTCAAGAGCTGGCACCCTGAAGCAACCTAACTATTATGAGATTGTGCCGCATGGGTATTATTAGTACAACCCCACTTAAATTTTTGAGTCGAAAACGCAGTGCGCAATTTTAGTCAACATTTCATAGGTTAGCACATCTACTGTAAATTCTAATAAGGGCAACAATTACCACATCCCAGCCCTAAATCCAACATTTAACCTAACCCTTACCCTAATCCTCATCTCCCTGGGCATAAGCGCGAGACCATCTGCATTGCACAGGTCTCCACTACCACGTCCCATCTGGGTAGGTTTTAAGATAATAAAATAAAATGAAACATTTCGAGACAAAGTTCGAGTATGAACGTTGGCGAAATGCAAAAGATAGGATCTCCGCCAAAACACATTCAGAAAAAAAACAAATTGTTAGAACCAACTTTCCGTCTGTATCATCAAACCACAAAGGATAAAAGTGTCAGAAGAGAATTCCACTGCTATGTAGTTACGCAGGCTGATTAGTGTTCGTTAACTGACCCATTTGGTGCCGCATCCACAACAATTGTTGTCTCTCGCACCAAAGTAGATTTCTTGTTTGGGCTAGGTAAATGAATAGGGAGACTCAGTACCAAAGCTGAACTTGTACCAAATCCCACAGGAGCAACTAGTCCCTGACCTCAATCCAAAATTAGCCCTCCCCCCAACTCGCACCTGAACAATACAAAATCTAACCCCACCACTAAACATATCGCCAACATTAATCTTAACGCAAATCAAAATTTCAACCCTTATCGTCAACGCCAAACCAAAACACAACAGTTAGATGTTAGTGCAATTTATTAGTGTAAAGTCATTTGCAAAACGGCGGCCCTTTAGCCCCTTGACCTGACGACGTCCGGACTCTGTCTGTATCCAAACACTTGCTTACCTGACGTGAACTTTAACTAGACGCATAGCGTGTAAAATCACGCAAATATAACCGACATCTGTACACCATTATGGAGTTCTGTAATTTTCTGGCATCAGTACCAGGGGAACAAGAGTGACAGAGAAAGGTAGACGTGTGCGATATCTCAAGAAATTTTGACCGATGTCCTGAAACGCGTTTTTGAGTCGAATGATAAGTTAAGTAAGGTTGCAGGATCCGGACGAATTCCAAGATAACGTATCAATTGCAGGATGCCGATTTTCCAATAAAGTTATTTTCGGTCGCTGAAAAAACGGCATATGATGTAATTCAAATTTTTCTCATAGATTTTTGATGCCCTTAAAAATTAGTATATGTTTTATAGAAACCAGGCATAAAATTCTTCTTTTTTCACCTATTTATTAGCAAAATACGTTTTAATTAACTTTTTACATTGGAAAAAGAATATAATTGGGTTTTATAATTTTTTCTACATTTCAAAGTAATTCTGACCCCAAACTGCCGTTAGGCCTTTGTTCAGTGGTTCAAACTACACACTGTGTATTTTAAATGTAGAGAAGATCATATATCCCCAAATGCTTTAAAGAAGTAAGCACATAGGCTTTCATGGATTGCACAGTGAAGTTGAGCCGCATTGTCTGTTTTGCAAGCAATATTTATGAGCGTAGAGTTGCAATGTTTTATGAGCGGAAATATCAGAGTGTCAAAAACTCTCCTACGTAGAAACCTCAAAAAAGAAACATGATTTTTTCGAGAACAAAATTCAAAAGAGACATAAGACCCTACCAAGGGAGTTAAATAATGAGTGTTTTACGCATGCTTTCTATAAAATATATTTTGACTTATATGGACATCGAAAATCAGTTTGAACAGTTTATATGCACTGCAGTCATTTATATAGTCTAATTCTTTCAGACTTTTAAACAGGGGCCTATTCAAAACAAACATTCTCATGGGAGTAAACTATGCTAGAGTTATGCCGCATGGCAATTAATAAAACAACCCTATTTTAGTAATTGTTTCGAACTAAAATCGTCCTTCAGAATTTCGGTTGGCATTTCATAAGGCAGCACATCCGCTTCCATATGTGCGAGTCTTTGCATCAAAAACAAACGGCACTCGGTCCTCAGCCAACAATGGTAGGTATAATCTAAATATCCATCGCTCAATACATGCACGTTTGTTCAACAGACGATGGTCAGTCCCGTCTTCATTACATTTATTGAGAGGAATTATCAGTTGTTGATTTTTCGACCTCCTGAGAATTCGGTGTGAACAGACTGCATTTTCGAGGTCTGTCTTCCTGCTCGGTGTACGTCGCTCCAGGCCAAATATTACACACGCGAAAATGGGCTGGTCTTATTTCGTTTATCAGTGATGACAATCATTCAAGCGATAAGGCTTGCTTTACGCGGTCGAGGGATTGGCAGCCTGCGGTCGGACGACATGAAAGTAAACCGTGCAGGCAAGGCAGAAATGAGTCGTGTTTCGCGCACGCAACCAGTACTGCTCACAGCTACAGGGGAGAGGCTGGGAAAGAGGGGGACGGTAGGTTTGCTAACGTCACCATTTATACCATGGCGATTATTACCAGTTTCAGCGAAATCTGGCGAATTTATGTGATAATGTTAGTTAAATGCTCACGCCAACCGACCAACACATATGCAGGTAGATCGGTCAGGCAGATAAGCTGATGTGGGGGGATCAAGACTAAATCAGTAAGGGTAACGCCCAGGAAATTAAAATTGCGCATTCGGGTTGGCAGTTTGGATTGACTGAAATACATTTTGAAGGCAGAAACGAATTATAAAAACGTACTCTACTAGCAAAAGTGGAAAAATGGGTTATTTCACAAAATTGCAGATTTTCATTTCATATTGATCCGACTGTGAAAAACTCGGCACCTTGGTGGGATTCGAACCCACACAGTAAGGGGAAGGCTTCTATACACTCAACGCCCTAACCACTTCACCTACGAGGCCCCACCGGGCAACATGAGTTTAATCACATTTGGGTCTCGTTTACCCGCCCAACCTATTGCAACGTCTGAAATCCACCAAATCTGATACAGTAAGTTGACTGCTCAAACATTTGGGTCAAGTTACCCGCCCGCTTAGGCAGTCAACTTACTGTATCAGATTTCGTGGCTTCCAGACGTTGCCGTAGGCTGGGCGGGTAACTTGAACCAAACGTGATTAAACTCGCGTCGTCCGGCGAGGCCTCGTAGCTGAAGTGGTTACAGCGTTGGCGGCACTAAGACCTTCTCTTTAGTGCGTGGGTTCAACTCCCACCGAGGCGCCGTGTTTCCACTGTAGGGTCTATATGAATTATTCAAAATCTGCCAAAAAATCCAAGATTTTCATTTGTCTGCTAGCATTTTATTTACTTATCAATCCTACAATTTTTTGATTTCACTTTAGTAAGCGAAAAACAACCGATTTCGCCACGATGAGTTCTCGTTAAGGGTAAAGTTGCCGTTACTGAGGAAGCTATTTAGAATAAAGGGTCGAACCTTTTAAATATTGGCTTCCATGGTAGGATTTACGGCTAAAAATGTAAATACGGCCTTCGATAACTCGCACATTGGGGGTTTTTATGGCAGAATTAAGCACACCATGGGAGCATTGTAGTAGTTAGGGATTAATACGTTTTTTTCCGGTAATATTCGATGGAAAAAAAGTCGTCCTTAAGAAGGCACAACCACGCAGGTAGAACTTGCAGACTTTCATCAATCTCGCACACGAGACACAATTTATAACACTTTGAGCAGACAAAGGAAGAATTTTCTCTTAGTCTTATAAGTCCTTCGACGCGGCTAAGCTCCAAAGTTCTGATGATTATAGATTCGACTACGGATATGAGCGACATCCAGGTATCGAGGCAGGAAGACGGAACCCTCCAGATTGGTGTCTTTTAGAAAGTAACAAGCACATGCAAAATTTTTCACTACGACAGCAACCATTCCCTATCGCATGAAATCAGCTGCGTCCGGACACTTTTTAGCCTTATCAACACACACTGCTGCACAGAAGCCGAAATTCTGCGGGCGCGAAAAACCCTGTGGCACCTGTTCACTGCTGATTGATATCCGCGCAGTTTTGCAAACAAATGCTTATGCGAAGGTTACACGAGGGCCGTCGGTAAGAGCAAAGACCTGAAGTCTTTCGTGTTTGGCTTTACACTAGAAATGTCTCTTAAGCCACTGAGCGCATTTTGAGATCGCTAAGCGTGGGCGTTGGACACCTACCAAAGGCCACCATCCGCCGCTTACTCATAGAGCCTAAGGGCCGGCTACAACCTGCAGACACGTTAGGTGTCTGGTCAACTACCGCTGCATGATCGACAAACGACTGCGAACGAGCGTGCATGAACAATGTTTAGCCGTAAAGCGAAAAGATTACGATGGCAAGTCGCTATGCGCAGTGTAGAAAATAATATCATGTTCGACTTTGGCGGTGCCCAAGTGCTCGGCCGAGACGAAAGCAAACTGGCGAGAGAAGTAATCGACGGCTGGTAATCAGACGCCAACTCGATCAGCTGCAGTATAAACTAGAAGCGTAATACGAGGCCACTTACGTGCGAGAAGATAGCGGTACGACTTATCAGGTACGATCACAAATTTCCTTTTTAAAACATATATTCCTTATCTTGTCTATCACGAAGATGTGCTCGAGAACGAGTACGAAACGTCAGATGATCAAATCGTCTCTCCCTGAGATTGCTTAAATGTCTTCTTCTAAATTCGACAATGTATTCAAATGTCATTTTGTGACACAGTGTCAGTTCTTCAGTTCGATGTATTGCCTGCATTCGGCAGATTTTTTTGTCACCAGCACGCAAATACCACCATTGACTCCAATGCAGCTCCGTAAGTACCCCATCGCTCAAAAACTGAACCTAAGTTTCACATTTAATGCTTTATTTTCTAACTACAGAATACCGTCAGGGGTTTTTTAATGCACTTAAGCTTTCACCCTCAAGCTTGGCTCTAAGTATTTAGGTAAATAATTCATCGTCAAAGGGTGCGAAAATATTTACATTTTTGTAATCATTAAGGCACTTTTCATAAACATCTGACTTCTGTCAACAATTTGACGATGGACCATGTGTGTATTTTAAGAATATGTCTGATAAGCCACATAAGTAATAAGTAAATACTGGCAGAACGCAGCATAAACAGCAGCGTCAATTGTTAAAATTTATGAAATGTCAAAAATAAGTCGTATAAAGACATACACATAAATTTAAAATTTAAACAAGGGAGTGTTTCAACAATAAAATGACTTTGGGCCATTTTCCTGTTCTATTTTCTCAGTAAAAGATAAAACAGGGATGAACTTTCCTAAATATCTTAATAAAATAGCACCAGCTTAAAAGTGTAACTTATGCTACCTCCAGTTACTTTGCCTCTTTGAAAAAGACGATGTGTTTCCTGGATATTTACAAGTTTGCATATTTGTTTTTGTAAGCATGACAGCGTTTCTGACCTTCATAAAGCAGCGTCGAAGTAAGAAACGTGTTTGCTATCACATCGATGCTTGCGAGGCCGAAACAAGGAACTTTCATGTTGCCTCTTCCCATGAGAAAAAAATGATTGCTTTGCAGCTGGTTCAATTATTTGACAGTTATAGACACAAACATGTTGTAATTTCATTACCCTCTGTCAAGATACTCGTTTATCATATGTGTGTTTAAGTGTGAGACAGTGTGTAGATGTTTAATGCGTTTTGGGCAGGTCCGAGGTTTAATTTCCTCACAGGGGCATTTTGAAGCAAGCCCGCACGTTAACCGCTTGTTCCAAATCACATTTACATTAATCCCTACACTAAATTAAGCAGGTTTTGCACATTTTGTGGGAATAGGACATGAGCACAGTCATTAATTGAACCCACATCCCTATTCTGTTATTTTGTTTAAGCTGAACTAACTGCCTTCGAGATCCTTCAATTTGGTTTTACAGGCCTTTATCGCAAAAGATAATAATGAAATGAACATGTTCCGTTCTCCAGGCTGGGTCTTGTTTTCTTCTTCATTTTTGAGCTAAACGTATTCTGAAAGTAAACCCCGGATATATGACTATGTTTTTGCTTAACCCCAGTTAACCTAGCTCGGAGGCAGAAAATAGGTTTGCCTGTTTAAGAACCGTTTCCGAAGTCATTCCAACGTTCAATACAATTGAATTATGCTGAAAGTGCTACTCTTCTCATCATCCCTTTTCAAGTCCAACTGCACTCACATTATTTTCAGTATTGGGTTTTTTAAGAGCACATTTTCTAGTAGTTAATCGAATCTAACCGGACGGTTGAAAAAGAACGCTAAGAAAATTGACGGAATTCCACAGACGAGAGAGTCACTTTCGCAAAATGAATGAGAATCACATTTGGCAGATTAAGGTTTCACTTTTAAGTCAGACTTATTTTGATCGCGTTGTCGGAGGCAGTAAACAGAGCAACTTACGAAATCTGTTTATGCACTGAGGTCTTTTATTCATTCTGAAATCAATGGAACAATTTGGAGTAAATCCATTAAAGCAAACCTTTTTAGATTTGATCTGTGGATTAATACGGATATTTTATCCGAAATGCATCAGCTTTAGCGAAATGATCTTGCAATCTTCCCCTTCTATCTAAATATACGATTTCAGGTCAGATGTTGACACCAGCGTTTATCGGGATCAAAAAAGCTTGTGCCAACTAATATACGCCACATTTGCTTATTAACATCTGATTTTAGCAGAAGGTTTGTTGTTGACACCCATAACACAAATCAAATTGCCCAAGAGGCACACTTATGCGTCTATCTCCTCAAGGCTTCTTCTTGCTGAGGCATTTAACCATCTAAGAACGTATTTTGGCTTCTAATTAGTTTATTAATGACTCGTGTGGTTGGCGATGGGCATCAGAGTATTTCTCGACTCTGTCAGCACTCTTAATCTATATGCAGAAGGTGGGCGTACACATCAAATTTCAACCGGAATTTATAAATGAGTTTTCGTTTCGAAGATATTCATTGAGTAGAGTTGTAAAAACAATCAGCCTGCAGCGTATTTTTATAATAATTCGGCTACCTTAGGACGCCGGTTCTCGACCGAACTTCCTTTTGGCTGCATGCAAAAACCACGCACTGTAAAAAAGAATGGTCTATGTGGCATGCATAATCCTTATTGATTTTCAGTGCCCTTAAAGATTCAACCATATTGCTTAGAAAACAGGCAGAAAAATATTCATTATTTTGCTCATTCGGTAGGAATTGATGTCTTCTTCCAATTTTATACTCGAAGGATGGGAATAATTGGGTTTTCAAAAATAAGTTTTGATTTTTCGATAATTTTGAACCCCGACCTGCCGTTTCACTTGCATTTGGGGTTATTACTCCAGAAGTCGTATATTTTCCGCGTACGGAAAACCAAATATCATTAAAAGGAAACCATCCGGGATTCATAAAATTTGGCAACGGATTTAAGCTATGTTGTTAACTTTGCAAGTCACATTGGTAAATGTAGAGACGTGACTATTGTGAACGATTATTTTATGGTATTGAAAAATCTCCCAAAAGTAAACTTATTTAAAACAGATTTATACCCTTCTCTTGAGCAATAGTTAAAAGAAAACGTAATTTTTTTACCAATTCAGTAAAAGAACAAATATTTTATACAAATTTTTCCCATTAAGTATAATTACATTTTTAAGGGAATTGAAAATCAATGAGAAAAATGCATACCACTTAAGTAGTCACTTATTTAAAGATCATAGTTTTAGTATGCAGCAGGATAGAAGTTCCTTCGAAAGCCAGCATCCTGCGGTAACTGTATCATTATGGAATTATGCTACCCGACGATTTGTTTTGCAGTCCTACTTAACTAATCTTTTCTGGACAAAAACGTATTTAGTAATGTCGGTTGACATGTTGCGGCTCAGTCCACCTACAATGTATACATATATAATTGATATTCCGGATCACAACCAAAAGAAAAACGGGCCCGTGGCTCAATAGTGGAGTGTCATTCTCCATGACCAAAGATTCCGAGCTCGAATCTCAAGTGATCCACACTTGAGGTTGGGTAGGGCTGGCTGATGACGGCTAATAGGCCAGAAATGGCCATTCCGGTCTCCCTTGTCCTTTTCGCACCATTTCACCTACGTCTACTACTGGTCACTATGCAACTGCCTGCGAGGGTTTTATTATGAGCCCCAAGACCCAACGGAACGAGCATGTTCGTAACCTGTTCGGAAAGCGCCTACCATAATAACACATATATACATTTTCGCCTATATCCATATATATAGCAGCAAGGAGAGACAAGAGAGAATGCAGGTAGATTGAAATAATACTGTTTCGGGCTTATTGTGCCTTTATTTAGCCAGCCATAACCCTGGTCAACAGCTGTCACCAGAAGCACAAACATGCGCACAGACGCACCTATCGCAGTTGATCCAGCACTGGGGTCTACCAGATGGGTCATAAGCACTTCATCGAACTGAAGTTCATCAGTGCCTCGGCACCTATCATTCTCTGTCGTTTCTGATTGGGTATTACTTCAATCAGGAATGGGCGCACACTGATCTATTGGCTTCATGAAACAAACAAGCTCCGTATGGGTGACAAAATTCCCAAACAGGCAAACAAATAACAAGCCAAAGGCTGTGCGGAGCTTGTTTGCTTCGATGTGCGCACATTCTGAGGGAATACATATCCGATCTGCAGCGACAGAGGATGACAGGTGACAAGACACTGGTGGAATTCAGTTCGGTAAAGTGCTTATTTGACCCATCTGGTAGACCTCAGTGGTGGACCAACTGCGAAGGTATGCCTGTAAGCATTTTTGTGTTTCTGGCCTCAGCTGCTGATCAGGAGTATGATTGGTCGAGTAAAGACAAAATAAGTCCTATCAGGGCTGTTTCAATTTACCAGCATTCTCTGTCGTCCTTCCTGGCTGCTATTATGACCTAGCGGATTTCGGCCTGGTAGTTGATTGCCTGTTCATGAACTTTGCCGCCCATACGGGGCATGTTCTCTTCGGGAAGCTAACATGTTGATTTGCACCCATTCCAGATATATATGTATAAGAGAAAAGAAAAATGTTCTCCGGAAAAAACCGGGATGTGGTCTTTTGAGCTAGTGACACCAACCCGTCTTCAGACGAAATGAAAACAGCGGAGAAAGTTACTTTGTCACACTAGACTAGTTAGCGTGACAGGACAGACAGACTGTTAGTCAATGAGAGGGATTTCCGCGGAGTCATTTTAGGTCTCTGAGCAGGAGGAAGAGAAGGAGGAAAATTTACGTCTCCCTGTGCTGAAAGGGAAGGATGGATGGCGGATCGATTGGACTCTGGGTGGCTGGATTAGCGGCCGTTGCTGTGGGATAAGGGCAGGTGGTGGTAAGTCGTGATCAATGGGCGTCCAGGTCAACATGGCGATTGATACCACCAGCATTGGAGTACCAAGCCTCGAGAAATTCTCTTGCTTGTTTTCTGTCAGCCGTGACGAAGACCTCAGTGGCATCCCAATTGAATCGGTGGTCTCCCTCGAAGGTGTGAACAAAGACGAGGGACAGGGCGTCTCGTCGGTGGACAACTTCTTTGTATTCATTGATAAGGGTGCCCAGGCGTCCAGCCGTATGACCAACATACAGGCACGAGCAATTTGCGTACGGAGTGAGATAAATTACTTTTTTGCTCTTTGGGGAGGCCATCCTAGATTCGAGATATTGCTGCAACGACCGTTAATCCAGCCACACGGAGTCCAAACGATCCGCCAGCAATCCTTCCCCTTCAGCCGTAATTTTTCCTCCCCCTCTTCCCCCCGCTCAGTGACATACAATTAATCTGCATACATCCCTCTCATTGACTAACAGTCTGTCTGTCATTTAACGCTAACTGGTCTAGTGTGACAAAGTAACTTTCTCCGCTGTTTTCATTTCGTCTGAAGACGGGTTGGTGTCACCAGCTCGGAAGCAGACAACTCGAGTTTTCCAAAGAACCTCTTACTTTTTGATTATGTCGGCTCGGATTACACACCACCCCTGATCTACAATATATATATAAACTCGGGTTCGAATGTCATGTGCTCCGAAACGTGAGATAGAGTAAAGCTGGCTGACAACAACTAATAAGTTTCTTGCCCTTCTCAGTATCACCTATAGATGAATTGCGAATATCCGATGTGTAGATATTTTAGCGAATTAATCATTAGCATAGTGGTCGAACAGAAAAGGAGACGTATTCATGAACATTTCGGAAGCTTCCTTATTTCCATTACAGGGCACTGAGATGGCTGTTCAGGCCAGCCTTAATTTGCTCAGCCTCGCATCACTACCACGTCTGAGGCAAGGCCTTTCACCTGGATGATCGTTCCCAGCTGGCTGCGACCAGCCGACCGCTGGCGGGCTCACACGACCTCCATGCCTTTCGCGGCCGTCATAGCTGTAGCGAAATCGACGTGCCTGTTGGCCCTCCGGTCGTAGTCCGCAGACCGATCAGTTACCGGTTCGCGTGCGTATTTTTTGAGCGTATCGGTAAGCAAGTGTTAACTCTGCCCGCCCTTTCTCCCTTTTCCGCTTCTGTCAGCTGTTAGACCCGTGGAAATTCGTTCTCTTGTGCTGCCGGTCCTGTCCGAACTGATGCAAGTCTTGTGCTCAGCACTTGATCGGCCGGATACAATTACATAGCTCTGTTTCTTATAATGATCGAAGACCAACGGTCTGGCCATCTCGCCGAATCTATCTTGGCCCATGGCTATCTCAGAAACAAAAATATTTTTTAAAGAGTGAACGTGACCAAGAAGAACAAAGATAGTCTATCCCTCAGGTTGTCTGTACTTTTCGTCGGTGCGATGGTGGGCCATTTAGACCCACATACGTTGGACGGAGATTTGGGTAGGGTATGCAGTTAGGCCTCGCTTAATATATTTTATTATGTAATGTGATCTACTTGCCTACTGTCTAATCAAAAATACCGCTATATGGGTCACAACGGTCCGGGATGTTTTAGGGCGCCAGCAGTCGTCTCAGCAACTTTAAGTAGAGGATCGTGAGTCCTTATTTTGACTTTTTTCAATTCATCTGTTTTAACGTAGACTATTACAAACGCAGGCGGTGTAGGTGTGTGATTTCTTCCGCCTTCCACATGTCGTCGCAACATTGCGCTTAACAGTAAGGTAGAAGGATCATGACACAGTTCCATTTTTGGTCAACGATACATTTGTTGTTAGATTCGGAGATACTTTTGTTGCTCACTACGTGATTGTAGACTTTTGTCCTTAGTTGAAAGTCTACCATCAAGGAGGTGGAACGCATCGTCACCTTCGTCTTCCATTGTAAAATAAACTTCTATCAAGCTTACGTATTATGGTGACTTGAAGGCCTCCATGTCGGCTCCTCTAGTCACGACAAATGTATTGTCCACGTAAAAGTTCCAGAATTTCAGAAGTATAGACTGCAAGCCAGTCGGTCGAGTTCTGTAGAATCCTACTAGAAATCAGTTTTTACGAAGACGAATCTAGTGGTGTACGCTTTGTTTTCTCTCAAACTACTGAGGAGAAGTATCAGGAGTTGGACGAAATGCAGTCGTTCGGGCCGTCGGTTAATTCGTCATATTTGTTTTTGAGGAGATCGTCGGTAGTCGAGACGGATGACGAAAAGAGTAGGATTTCCTAGATGTTAGTACACGTAAATTCCTGTCCATGCTCTGAGTCTTCTATGTTATCTTCCTCCGAGATAAAATTAGTGATATAGATTCATTTAAGTTTATTTACAAGTAATTGATATCTTCATTAATTCAGCAAAATAAGCATCTATATGAAAATTCCCAAAGTGTCAGTATCAAATTAGCCAAGTGATTTTAGCCCCACCTTTAAGAAACCTGAAAATTGTCTCTTTTCTTCAGACCAAAAGGCGCCGACAAGGAGATGTTGGCCAACAGGAGTAGTCGAAAATGTCTCCACTTTTGTTTCTGTCGGGTATCGCCTGGACACCTGGCGTCCGTTCAAGAATACTTGCACCTGATTTCATAAAAATGACGAAAATATATCGTTATTTACAACTGCCAATATTCAGTCAAATGAGCATGCTGTCACGAAGTACCTAAGTACAAGAAATATACAATCTGGGAAAAGGCGCCTTCTATCGTAATGCTGAAGTTCCATCCGTGGTTCAAAGTAGACAAAATTTGATCAAAGGTCGAAATAAACCAGGACGTACCCTTTAAAGCAACTGGCCTTCCAAAAACAAACATGCAGAGTGTGCTTGATTCTAATCATTCAAGAAAAATGCTATGCTAAAGATTTTCTTGCAACAAAGGTAGGTCAGTAAAAACCAGGGAAAATGCGTCGCTTCGTGATAAGCCGGTGGAAATGCAGTCTTCATTCCTATGAAGTTTTAGAGGCCGAATTCCATTAAAATTTTATTAACGTCGATTGTTAGCTGGGAGCAATATTCACACAATGTATCTGTATCCACTGCGTTCAACTAATTGTTGAGTTTTCATAGGGTTTATTTCCAATTAAAAGAAATAATATGTATAATATGAATCAATAAATCAAGGACTTTAAGCAGCTGCATCAAAACTCAAGTTTTAATAAAAAATCGGTAGAAAAGCCAGTAATGAATCAGGGGATTTTAACAGTTGGTAAAGCTCGTTTTTTCAGACTTTCGTTTGTGTGGTTACAATGACTGCTTGTCTATGGCACGCAACGACCACTTTCTATATTATGGCCAAAATGTAACCGCCAAAACTAAGCATGTTATTTATATAAATTTAGGACGAAGCCAATAAGAGCACAGGGGGTTTTAACAAATTACCTTCTCATAAAACAGAGTTTACGTAAATTGAGGGTAAATCAAGTCCAATCCAAAAAAGAAGTTCAATGGACACGAAAAGTGTTAACAAATTGAGTCAGATCTAATTCAGGAAAAGACCCTTTTTCTTAAAAAAACAGTATTCTTCCCTCCCGCCTTTTACTCCACATCTGGGCGTTTCTCAAAGTATACGTCGCAGATTCCTTGGCGCAAGTAGCTCTTATTTTCATGTAATATATCAGTTTTAGGGCTCAGTTCACTGCTGATTGCAACCTACCTGGGAGATTTTCCAGTTTCTGAAATTATTTTGCAACTATCAATTAAAATCCTCGTCAAATGACACTTAATTTCCATTCCGAAATGAGCCAAATTGTTTGTGCGCACAGAGCCCACGCTGACGGCATGTTCCCTTAGGGAGTTACACCCAGACCGGTTGACTGTGTTTTCAATAAGCAAGCAAGATTTTATTTTTTCTGCAACTGATCCCATAATCCAAATAAAAATTCAATATTTGCTTCTCTGTATCATCCTCAATTCCTGGAACAAAACTCGAAAATTAAGCCCTTAACGTAGACATATTTGTCAAATTTTGGCAGCCGCCTAACTTACACAAAAGCACAAAAGTACTGATTTGTTCCAATCGGAATCTGCCTCAGGTTTGCTGGCGTACAGCTCCGTCGGATACATGCGTGTTATCATATGAAACTTAGAGCTCTGCAGTTGCGTGAAAGGACATCACCATGAATAAACAAAAAGTGCAGATTGAACTACGTTTTCTAATTACCCCTTTAAAAAAGCCAGTCAAACCCAAAGGCTGCAAATTCAACGTTTAGCACCGTGTGCTTTGATGCATTTAATGGGCTTCAGTCGTATTGTCATACGCCAGGAAGCAGGGACTTTACATTGAAGGTATGATCCACATATATAAGTGTTACCTGAAAAAACTTTTTAAATTTCGGATTGCTTTTTAAGCAATCCGTTTTTTTCTGTGCACGGTCTCCCACAAGCGTAACCAAAGCAAAGAAATACGAAAAATGCGAGGAACAAGAAAGACACTTACGACTTTCTCATATGCGAATGCTTCTTGCGAAATAAGTATTCAAGAGACGAAACCGATCTAGGTGTACGCCTAAACAGGACATGGACATAGGCACGTTCTGCACAGGTGATAAAGATGGAATCGCGGATAGTTCTAGAAGACGCAAAATATTTCCGTATGCGAACATTTACAATAACCCTTACATAGAATCAACGCGTTAGCCTAATTTTGAACTTAACTCAACCTTAAACCTTGACTCTGCCTTAAATCTAAAGTTGAGCCCTGCTTACGTTACCGTTAGCTTTAAGTCTTACCTTTAATCTAGCTCCTAACTTGATCCTAAACATCACTGTCAACATATTTCTAATTTCACTGGAAGTTGGGTTTAAGCCAGCTGTATTACAGTCGGTTCCTGTCCTCACGTCATGTTTGGACAGCCACGCAAGTCAGACTTCCGCATTTAGTTGACTTATATACCTCCAGTAGTTATTCGTGGCATATTTGGTTAATTTATGTAAGCCGATTCGACAGCAATAGGGTACACGACCCCCAACCAAATTGAGCTAGCCTGTGGACAGTGATAAAGGAAGTCTTACGGGTGGGGCAACACACAGAATAAAGAGCAAGAGAACACAGTAAACAGGTACATTTCTCAATCAGGAATAGGCGCACACCGATCTATTGGCTTCACAAAGCAAACAAGCTCCGTATGTGTGGCAAAGGTCACGAACAGGCAACCAATTACCAGGCCGAAGTCGGCCAAGTCATAATAGCAGCGAGGAGGGACGACAGAGAATGCGGGTAGATTGATACAGCACTGTTTCGGGCTTATTCTGCCTTCATTCAGCCAATCATAACCCTGACCACCAGCAGCTGCGACCAGAAACACAAACATGCGCACAGACGCACCTGGCGCAGTCGGTCCACCACTGAGGCCTACCAGATGGGTCATAAGCACTTCATCGAACCGACGTTCATCAGTGCCTCGCCACCTGTCATTTTCTGTCGCTGCAGATCGGGTATTTATCAATCAGGAATGGGCGCACACCGATCTATTGGCTTCAGTGGTGGACCGTCTGCGCCAGGTGCGTCTGTGCGAATGCTAGTGTTTCTCGTCCAAGCTGCTGGTGGTCAGGGTTATGATTGGCTGAATGAAGGCAGAATAAGCCCGAAACAGTGCTGTATCAATCTACCCGCATTCTCTGTCGTCCCTCCTCGCAGATACATTTCTGCCAATTGTCTCGTCGTACGCTGTCATCTGGCAAAAAAGTTGGCGCGATACTTAAAAATGGGCAAAAAGGGATTGTCTAAAAAATAACGGACTTTAAATAAAATGTCGCTGATAAGCGTCCATTTAGTCTAGAAAAGAAGGAGATTACAAACAATGGGAAGGGCGAACAGTAAGTGATGTTTAAAATAATGCTGAATTTTAGGGTCTGATTTTGGAATTGCCATTTACTTTTGGGTCCTACGTCCTATCGGTGTCGCCGCCTTTTAAAAGCACTGTAACTTTGATGGCGTTTAAATTCATGATTGCGAATGCACAGTTTTAGTACAGTCAAAATTAAGACGTTGGCCACGAGCCATGGGTTTGAGAGTATTTGAGTCAAGTTGCTCACGTTGATGCAACGTCAGTTGGATCTATTTTCTGATGTGGGTTTAGGTTCCGCTGTGGCCTCGAACATTTTTCCAATTAGGTCGGGTACCTTTCTCACTTTTATCGTGCATTAATGACTCTCGGCTAAACGGTGGTCAAAATTAACTTACTAAGTGAAGTGTATAATGTTCTCCCATAGACAGAATGATATTACCGACAAAGACAAGGGAGACTGGAATGGCCATTTCTGGCTTATTAGCCGTCGTCAGCCAGCCTTACCAAAGCCCGAAGTGTGGAACACCCGAGCCTCGAACTCGCGACCTGTTGGTTTAGAAATCAACGCCTCTACTCACCAGGCCACGAGCACGTTGCCCTGTCGGTTTTCGATCGGGAATATACAATGTTATGGGGCGCTCACCGATCTATCATACGGAACTCACTCGTTCCGTTGTGCCTTAAGGGATCTCTCTCGAGCGCAACCAGCAGCCGCACAGCGGCGCATGATATAATGTTCTCCCATAGACAGAATGATATTACCGACAAAGACAAGGGAGACTGGAATGGCCATTTCTGGCTTATTAGCCGTCCTCAGCCAGCCTTACCAAAGCCCGAAGTGTGGAACACCCGAGCCTCGAACTCGCGACCTGTTGGGTTAGAAGTCAGCGCCTCTACTCACCGGGCCACGAGCCCGTTGCCTTGTCTTTGTCGGTAATATCATTCTGCCTGTATATCATGCGCCGCTGTGCGGCTGCTGGTTGGGCTCGAGAGAGAGCCCTTAAGGCACAACGGAACGAGTGAGTTCCGTATGAACGATCGGTGAGCGCCCCATAACAATGTTCTCCCATATCTGGCGTTTGGAAGTTGAAACGGTCACATAATTCATTTTAAATCTCTCAAGCGTGATGCATCTGCTTCTGACATAACTGCCACGGCCGACATGTGTCTGATTGTCAAAAGTTGAAAAACCCGTTGCAATACCTGATGGCCCTTTATAACTGTTAGCTGTTGTGCACTAAGTTGAATCGTAAATAAGCCTGTGTTGAGGTACCGGACGAATTTACCTTTGACAATTTAGCCCCATTTTCTTTGACCGGATTGCTTCTTTCAATGTGACGAGAAACGACACACCTGTACAAGACACCTTGCTAGCGTGCTCCGTTGTCGCGCTCTGTTTTCAAGTTTTCTTAACGTTCAAAATCTCTATATGATTCACTGCTTTTAAGGCTAGGGACTCATAAGATATAACTCGTTAGTTAATGAAAACAATACTATCTAAGCCAAACCCACCTTTCCACAAAATACTGCTTAGGTCGGACACATTAATGCGAAAACTGACATATTAATATGTCAAAAATTATTTGACCTGTAAATCGACTGTTTTCGTTTGTTTAAAAGCAAATATTTCTCAGTGCAATGCGTTTTTGCTTGCGTAGACTTTACTGGTAATACAATTTGGAGATTAATTGTCGGTATAATATCTGCCTCCAATAAATTCTTCTAAAAACTGTTTATTTACGCAAGAAGAATAATCTGGGATCGAGTAATAAATCGGAGTTTCCATCCAATTGCGAATTTTATCTAAAAAAGGTGACAGCCACCAACCACCTTGTAGATAAGAGACAAGTATCTGTGTCTTCTAGAAAAATTGTAAAATTTAGAAGAGATTCAGTCTTGGAAACTTTTGAGTTGCAGGAATTTTACTCATTTGCACTGTCTTATCTTCGCGGATTTAGGGAGCTCTAATCAAAATGTCCGCCGACGTAGTCCGCTAGTTTTATAAAACTGCAAGATCTGCTTTAGAAAAGGAAAATAGATGCCGGGAATCTGGCTGTGTGCACGGACGCCAGCGAGGCCTTTCGAGGCATATTTGTTGACGAAATATTTGTTCACTACTGTGAACAAAAAAGTCATTTTGATTTGCTCAGAAACAGAAAAATGGCATAAAGGTTTTCGATTGGTTTGGCTACCTTAATTTTTAACATCTACAAATTTTGTTTCATGGAATTTGAAAAAAACTGGCGGGAAGGAGACGACAATTCAGTTAGCCAAGAAATGCCCTGAGTAACATAAATCAGAGAAACTTTAGTAACTATTTTATTACACATAAGTTCGCATCTCCGGGACGACTAACTGAACTAATTTGCATGGAAATTGGTTGTCGGATCTAGCGACTGATGTTACTCAAGCGTCTACTACATGTCTCGGTTAGACCAAAGAAGACTTAATCCGAGTGTAGTGGCTGGGTCTCCTTTCAAAAGAAAGTACTTAAGGCTACATCGGAAGTGACGACCACTGATCTGACATGATTGCAGAACGAAACAAGGGTTTCGCATTCGGATTTATAGCTCCACACAGAAATCTTAACAAGCAGTCGCAGAACAACTTATAACTCGGATAAGGTGAGGGGCGTATAATTCTCACTTACATGTCAGCAGCAGCAGCCAATCATATTACACTGTCGACAAGTTTCCGACATCATGATCGTCCAATAAAAGCCCTTTATAGCACCCAAACACGATGTGGATTTAATAAGTTTCGGATTTGCAGTCGAAGCTAGGCCAATTAGTTTTTTCAGGTGTCCTAGGATGTCAATCTTGCACGACTTATAAATGATAGAACCCATGCCAGTATGACAGTCAATAAAATGACACAAAACATTAGAGAAAAAAGTACTTCTTTCCTGAACTACATACTGGGACTTCTCGAAAACTCTCTCCATCCATACATTGAATGCTAACAGATTATTAGCGTAAAACGTGTTTTGCAGGCTTTGGAATCAAATCGGCGTCTAGGTTACGTAGAAAGGGCTCTGACTGATCTGGTCGCATTATTGGAAACTGCCCAGTCTCTTATACCTTGTGACAGCAAATGCAGTGGGTGACCGATCTCACAAAATGTTACGGGAAATTTAAAAATGCGTTTTCAATTAGGAAGGATTACTTAGGTGGGGTTTTAATACTTATTAACATGTGGCAGACTCCTATTATATTTCGGATTTGACAGGATGTCAGCTTTCGAAGGAACGTCTTTTAAATTTACTGTACAAACCACAATTGGTAAAAAACCGACTACTTATGTAGCATTCATTTTCCACACGGATTTTCTATGCACGTTTAAATTAAAACATGTTATACTATGGAAATAAGCGTGAATATATTTTAATTCACTTGCTTGATAGGACATCACATCATATTCATATTTTACACTCAAAAAAGGGGTAAAGTTTTGTTTTAAAAGTTTTACAATTCCCGAATAATTCGGAGCTTGATCCGCCGATGCATTAGCGAGTAGTGATTACAGTCTGCAAGGCGCATGCATTCCGCGTTAGGAAAATCAGGCATTCGTCTATGTTTTAAAAAGAAATTCTAAGGTATTTATAGAATTTTGCAATGGACGCGGACTATGTGGTACATTCTATGTGAAGTAGTGGTAAACCGAAAGGTACGATGCTGTATGAATGGACACTGCACGGTCCTTAAATTCTCAATATTAAAAACTTTGAAAAGCTGAGGTAGTGTGCATTCCGAGACAATATGATGAAAATAGAAGGCTCGTCGGAAAACATAGAGTTGTACAACTCGATGTTTTCCGAAGAGCCTTCTATCTTCATTAAAAACTTCTTTTAAAACCTAATACTACTCTTCTTTCGTGTTTAAAATATAGAAAGGCCATGAGTCTCTATCAAACAAATGAAAAGAAGCACATTTTCTTGTTTTTGAATGAAATAATTTTGAATTTATAAGACCATCAAAACCATATGTGAAAAATGCCTACTGCATAAGTGATCGCTTTTTACCAAGAAGGGTTTGTTAGGAGTTTGAAAAAAGTGCCTTCAAACACTGACACTCTGCCAACTCTAAAATATTATAGGATTATGCTTCTTAATAATCAGTATTATAACCCCGTCTTAGTTAGTCCTCCTAATCGAAAGCGCATTTGAAAATTTCGGATATTTTATGAGATTGGCCTTTCAGTGTATTTAGTTATGACGGGCATTTCAAAACCCCCAGTTTTCAGACGACTGCTTGACCTTGGAATACATAAAAACTTCTTGTCTTGTGTCCCTCTTATTTGCAGGTGTTCCTTCTGTATTTGCTTAAATGCCTATCACAAACAATGTTTAAAACATGTCCATCTATTATTGAAAATGTATGGTATTCTTGGTAGATGGGTTCCAAATTGACTGGTTGCTCGCAGTGGTCGGCACAAAGACATTTATGTTTCAAATTCTTACTGTTTCGATTATAAACACGCTTTGTAACGCCAGACACTTCTTTTTTCTAAAAGCACACGCACAACAATGACTTAAACCATTAAAAATGAAGCCTTCCTTTTTGCATGTTTCTCCCCTCATGCCTTACGATAACCACAAATTATCAATCCTGTCTGGTGAATTATAACGAAAGTTTTAGACAAATTAATAGAAAATAACATATGCCGTCGCCGCCAGCGGAAGAATCAAAATATGCGCAGAAGCGATTGGCCGGAGGCCAAGAATCGCACTTATAGTCATGCAGATAAACAGCCACTGCTCACGTCTGAGAATATGGTGTAATGACAAATTGCACTCATAGCAGGTAAAAAAAAGCATGCCTAGGCCATGGGCAATAGTTGCAATTGCATGAATTATATGTGTTCCTAAAAGATAGCGCACGTCTTAGAACTCAGCACTTTCAAAAAGGTAAGGAGATGAGGATGACTGTTTTCAATTTAGCGAAATGGCCACAACTAAAAGTAGGAACAATGCAGAATAATATTTGTCTAAAAATTGAGAAATTTCATAAGCCTTCGTCATCTTGAGCAGAAGCGATCGTTAATTGTTTAAACAATTATAATTACTTTATGCAGATGCCCTTGTAGGAGAGAGTCTTTAAGGCCTCGTAAAATTTCGCTTGCAAAATCGCTTGTGTCTTATAATGTGCTCTAGGAAAAGACACGTCGGAAGTAATTTGAATGCACTTAAAGTATTGGAGAAATCTAAAGAAATTCTGTGTCAAATATTACACATGTCTTTTAGCCAAAAGAACTCATATTCCACTGAATATTTTATTTCTTAAAACCAGTAAATGGATTTGGCGGAAAGAAATTTTCTAATTGTGGAAGAATGACTTTGAGGTTGTCTTTTGAGTATAAACATAAATGATACTACTCACGGAATGCATTTGCACTTTAAACATTCATGTCACTTTAGTGGCAAGCCATTTAAAAACCTTTTCGCTTAAATCAGCATAACAAATAACTGTCGGATACCATTTGGCATAAGTGCACACATACACGCGAAGACCAAAAAAGTAAACGTAAATGCCCGTGTTTCCCATTTCCTTTGAGTTAAATAAAGCGATGTAACTGAGAAACTTCGAAGAAAACTCTTCCATTCATCAGGATACGCTTGAGGATTAAAAATACTCAAATCGTGCAAACCAGTCTTTTTCTTACCCTTTCGAAAAAAGCACCATTTTACACGGATGATTTTACTCAATTGGCGAATTTTTATAACTGCAAACGCTGTCATAATGATACAAATAATAGCGAAATAGAATAAATATGACTTGCTATTCTTAAGTGTGTAACAAAACGTTCAAAAAGTTTATTTAAAAGGACGATTACCGCGCTGGCCTTAGCAGATATTTCAAAATATTAACGCAAGCAGCAAGCACGCGGTCAAAAATATTATTAAATATTTATTCTTTAATTTGATGCAGTACAGCAAGTGAATTGTTCGCCCAGAAAAACAAGTAAAAATAACTACGAACTTGGAGTAGGCGAGTTCAGTAAAAGTCTACGGACTCAGATCAAGATTTTCTACGATGTAAATTTGGGCGGACGTTTGTCAGCTACAGCGCGTAACCGCGTAATATTCATTAACTGTCGACAGACAGCTAGTAGTATACTTTAGGATAAGGTGATACCATAGTAATCGCACAGATACGAACACTTTGGGAACGCTAGGACTCACTGATGAGCGACAAAACTTGTAGAAGCGCCTTGCAGCGGCAGAATATCGACAAAACACCCGTTTATGGGCGTTTGGTTAGTATCTATGCAGTGTTTATGATATCATCTTACCCTGAGTTAGACCTGTCTGAAAATTTCTTATCTTATTCAGAATGACAGAGAAGATTGGGGCTCGGACATTTTTTCCTCACAAATAGACGGACTAATTTGTTATCCCATGTAAAATTGTGGATTAGGGGTCGGAACAAGATACCGCACTTAAGTCTATTGTACACTGTAGGGTCACTTATGATTCCCTCGATGATGAGGCTTTTCACAATTGCGTAAAATCGGAAGCAACAGACTGAACCCTCAAGCTTTTCTCCAAGGCATTCGCGCGGATAGATGGTTTTACGATTTCCACGTTAATTACTCAAAAATACTAAGTGCTAATCTATAAGATCCTCGTTTTCAGAACTACGTTTGATTGGCATCAAGAGACTGAAACCTCAAAATTCGGTTCCAAGGCCTTTGTCCAGAGAAGTTTTTTTTCGATTTCGCACGCTAAGCATGCAATAATACACTAATTGAAATTCCCAAGATCCTCATTTGCCCGCTTATTTTCGGCGTCTCATTGGCCTTGCGCTTCACCAAAAATTCTGTTTGAGCAGCCAAAATGCAAAGCCGCACTGTCGGCTGGCTCGTCAATTAATAGTCTACGCATTGCCATTCGGGTAGAAGATCAAACTGCTGAGTTTTTGACGTAATCGGCTTAAAACATGCCAGACAAAATGCAGTCCAAGCATGCCAAGTCTGTTGCGCAGTTCAAGGGGCCTATATATGCAGACTAGCAACCAAGGATTTTCCTTGCTTATCGGCATCGCATATGCAATTCAGCAAACTTGACTGCTAAATCCCTACTGATTGCTATGACTTGGAAGGTTAAAAGTGTTCGAAAATGATTTTTTTTCGTGTATATTAATTTCGAAACCAGATTTATACGTCGAATCCTTTCATAATATTCTGGACATCATGTGATTTTACTTCTAAAACTCTGCTTAACATTGAAAACGTTTAGATTTTATGGAGCATCTCCTGCGCAGTTTACCGTGAAGATAGTCCAATAAATATTGTCTAAGAAAATCCCTGCGCTAGGAGGACTTGCCGACTCCAAGGAGTTTTTTACATACAAGTTCGTTAAAAATTTATCAGCCGTAAAGTGATAATTGATTAGGCTGCAAAAGTGCCAATTCAGAATGGACTTCTGAATGAGTACAAATATAAAAGTAACTATTTCGATGAAAAATGAATATTTCGTAAATTTCCCACGCTGGTTCTTCAGGTCGTCGTCAGATGTGTTGCAGTTGTGAAAACAACTAAAATCTATATATGCCTGAAAAATTGATCTGTATTTGTCAGTGTTGAGTGTAAGTCGTCGCTGTGGGCTGACTTCATGATTTACTTATCTACCACCTTTTTCATTTTTTAAGATATGTGTGTATGGTGTCCGGATCAATACGCCGATCAATGCATAAATCATCAGAGTAAATGGCCTCTAGGAATTCTCATCCTTTCTTATGTGGGCAGGAACCGATAATTTTTGCCCAGTTTCTAGAGTATGCATGGCGATGTGAGATAAGTGGTTCCGCCTCTTTACTGCTAATTGGTATTCATATAAGCGTGTGGAGGCGGATTTTCTGGTTCGACCCTAATATACCGCATTACAAATGCCACACTTAATCTTATAGACCATATCTTTTTTTCCAAAATGCCAACCCTATTCGTAGGGTGTGCAATCTTGTTGCGTAGCGTAGTCATTTGTTTGTGGGTGACTTGCAATTGGTGCTTCCTCAGGTGTCTTTTAACGATTACAGACACATTTCAATGTAGGGCAGCGTTCACTGATTTTTTGGTTTAGGATCCCAAACGGAACAATCTAGTTTCTTATCACTTTCTTTTGATTCTTGCTGTCTCGTTCATCGGCGTACAAAATCTCTAGGATAGTCGTTTTGGGAAAATAGATTTGAAAAATAACTGAGCTCCCTTTTGAATCCTTTGTTCTCAGAGCAGTGTGGCTTTGCGCGATTAAGTAGTGTGTCGACAGCACTGCGTTTGTGAGCAGTAGCGTAGTTGCTCACGTAATGTAGGATAACTTCCGCATAATTTAGCTTGCGGGACGCAAAGTTAATGCCCAATCTCCTAATCGCTTGTCAAAATGACCTACAACATCCGAAAAGAATATTCTTCGTACCATCAACACAAATCCTTTTAAGAACAGCATATATTATGTCGACTCGATGACATTTCCACGGGTCGTCAGTCGCTCTTAATCAGTTTTAGACCTACGCTATGGAGGCAGCCTGCATCTAAAGGTTCAAACGAAGATTGTTCATCAATCTGTCTTTTCCTTTGATAATTTTAAGAGCTTTCGCCCACACCTGCTTACTCGCCACGGGTTTGTGAGATCCTACAAGCCACTGTGGCAGTCCCGCGTTTTTTATGTGAGCAGTGATTAAACCATGTTTGGAGACACTATCTTGCTGTAATCTATATTGGTTTTTTGGTAATACAAACATATGCAATGACTGATGACGGCTACCAAGCCAGAAGTGGCCATTCCGGTCTCCCTTGTCTTTGTCGGTACCATCTCATCAATGTCTACTACTAGTCGCTGTACGACGCCTTTGAGGGGTCTAGTATAAACCCTATGGCACAACGGAACGAACACGTTCCGTAACCTGATCAGCAAGCGCCCTTCTACCAGTATATGCACAGTTACCATCCGAATGAATCTGATAGGCCATCATAAAGTTTTTTGCCGCCAATTTTTTTTGTCATTTGACGAAACATACGTTTCTTTATAGATGTCAACAAACTGTTTTTGTAAAAAAACGCAGGAGGCCCGGTGAAAGGCTAATTTGGACCTTTTACCTTTTATTTAACGAACAAGTAAAATGCAAAGGCAACCACGAAATGTTTGATTTCATGGCCTGTAAGTTATCGCAGTGGCTATTGAGTCAAACATTTGGCAAACTGCACAGAGTGGCCCAACATAGCACATTTTCTCTTTTGATTTAAAAACTGCTGAGTAAGTGAATATAGAAGCACAAATCTCAATTCACTTACGCTCGGCTCTGCCTCGGACACATTGATCTCTCCCGGATAAACAACGGCGATATGTTGCCAGACGTCTGGATAAATTGACGCCGTAAAAACTAACATGATTTCCTTAAAGGTGGCAGTCTCTGCATTCTGCACCCATCTGAGTAACACCTCAACGTTTTCCCTGTCTATGGCCACGCTAAAAACGTCGATGTTGTGACCTAAAAAAAGAAATATTCGCAGTTCCAACTCTGGAAACCTTCACGCTCAGGTTATTGTAAATTTTTAGTGATTATTCGTGGAAAACAATGAAATATCAAACGAATGTACAAGACGGTTCTGTTCATACACTTGTGGCAAGGGTATAGTTTATGGCCACGATTGCTTACTCCTGGGAGCCTTTGTGTCGAACGAAAGAGTTGAAAATCTACCTAGTCTCTCGTGTCCCCATTGTGATCCTCCATAATATCACCAACTAAAAAGGAATTCGGTTTTTATCATTTGCTGATGACAGTAATTGAATTTAATGCCCCTTTGCAGGCATTGCCAAGAATGTATCACATTGTCGTATTTTTACTTCGATGACAACCTTAAGGCATCTTAACTACCCTCACGCAACAGCCACCGTGAAGTATTTTTATTTTTTTCTCTGGTACATTTGATTCCCGGAATAAGGAACCTCTGTTATAACCGTTGCCCTTCCAGATGCGCGCCACATACAAACCCATATTCATCATTACAAAGTTGAAAATAAATCACAGATAGATAGATTACGATTAACTAACATCTCCCCCTTAAATAACACTTAGTCAACAGAACTCGGCTGTCAGATGTGCTTTGTAAAGGTAAAAAAAACAGCCTCTTATACCAACCAGTACATTTTCCCTGTAAGTGGCGAAGCCGTCCTGAACTTCCAGCCTGTGTGAATTGCCTTTCGAATTCGCAATAATTACGACATGCTCTGGAAGAAGTGATGCTTCCATACAAAGGATTTTTTAAACCCACCCACTCAAAAACCTGACTCACCTACAGCCTTTAAAGGATGGCTTAGACCACGTCTCCGCATGGTCTTCGAATAATGGACTCCTACTCAACAATCAGAAATCAGTACAGTGTGTGTTTCGATTGCGACCCTCTCCTGTTGCTGAACCTTTGGATATTCTTCCCAATGAGGTATCTTCTTTCCGGTACCTAGGTGTTACTTTATCCTCAAATCTCTCTTTCTCTCTTCATATGGAAACCCTTTTAACAAAAATTCAAAAACTTGTTTATTATATTCGTCGTCTACGTTCATATCACACACCCCAGTCCTTTATCTGGCGATTCATAGATGGCTGTATTCTTCCACTCATTCTTTATTGTTCTCCAGTTATTTTTCCAGCTTTAGTTAAATAAGATCTAATTATTTTTAAACGTGTCATTCGAATGCTCGCCTCTGCTGCTGGTGTTTCCTATCATCTTTTAGTTGATATCATCGTGCAGCGACATTTCAACTCGGTGGAGCAATTCGCTGACCGAATTCTGAATGACACCGTCCATCGCCTTCATAATGAGTTAATGGCTGCGAAATCCTTACGCCTCACGCGTCGATGCTTCCGCCACATCCCTTGCCGCACTTCGGCCTATCGGAATTCCATACTGCCATTTCTAGCCCGGTATCTCACCTGCAAAGATGTTGAAAAACAAAAACTAAAACTCGATCTTGCACCTTAAAGTCTTTTTTTCTTCATACATAATCATGTCCACCTGTCTGTCCAAAAACCTGTTAATCTCTATGGTAATCACTGTGTTCTGGAGAAACCGTTTTTGCTGAAAGTTTTGAAAGTTATTTTCAAAATAAAGCAGTCCTCTCTCTCCCAAACATTCCCGTTCACTTATACTTATGCGAATGTTCTCCGAATAGCAACGTATCCATGCTTTCCAAAAGCTCAGAGTTTCACCAGACGTCATAATGATGCTGTTGAGGGGGATTCATGATTAACAATCAGTCCTCAGGAGGACTGGCTCAATCTTTAATGCCTGCCCTTTATCATGAGTAACTGCCCCGCATGTTACGTAGGAAGTGAAGGCTGCTCCTGCGAATATGAGAAAACGTCATCTAGGCGGAACGTTTTTAAGCCTGCCAATGCACAGAAAATCGGGTGTTCCTGTAACGATTTTATAGAATCTGTCAAATGTCTTCTCCAAACCAACAAAGGTTGAAACGCGGCTGTTGCTAAGCGCACTCTGAATTTTTAATGCGGCAATTAAAGACTCAGCAATTGGAATGGTCTGTTGCTTACTGAAGTTCACACAATAGGAGGTGTAATGGTCTGACTTGCGAGTGGAATGTTTCTGTCGTGTTTAGGGCATCTGCTTCCCCAAAATATCGTAAAAGGTCAAGAGGTTTCGGTGAAAGAATGCAAACTTAGTGACGAAACCATAAAACATGTCGGACGGCCAATACTTCAAATGTGCCCCTAGGGTGAACTACACCAGTCCTATGTCTTAATGTGTAGGCTGAGCTCCGCCGGACAAAACATCATTGAAAGCATCGATACAACAATGTGGCGGCGTCATTTTCTATGTTAACACCGGCATCAAAACACAGAAAAGTGCATAAAGACGATGACATCAATGAACCAACGCTATTCGCTAACAGCGTCCTGAAAGCAGACCGATTTAAATGATCCACATAGACGTCAAATGCCTATAAAATATCCCGTAGGAGAAGATAAAGCGGTATTTCAATGACGCCATAATAACATTCAGCAAGAGAAGGTCACGTTTCTCAAGTGAAGGCAGTCACTGTGCTGTTGATTCCCTCGGCAGACCTATCACAAAACTGACGAACTTCATCAATGCCTCAAAAAGGTGCTCGTTAAGTTTCAAAAGGTGGTCATAATAATTTCATTTGACTGCGTGAACTTCAGTGCCATAACTTCATTAAAAAATCCCATGGCGTCCATGCTGGGTTTTGAGGCTGTACACAAACGTTGACTTACCAACTGGCAGGGTTGAATGAACGATGACATTCTTGGAGGTGTGATTTGAGGGGCGGACCCAGAAGAGAAGAGAGAATCGCGTTAGATAGTCCTTTCCTATGTCACGCAGCACATGCAGGGCGGTCAGATTCAAGTGTTGCGTGCCGTCGAAGTGAAAGTAGGTGTTAACTGGGGCGTCAGCGCTGTCGTCTACCTCGGCCAGAAGCCGGGGCCAGTTTTTTCGACCAATAGCGTCCTCATAACGAATGACTGTCGGTAGCAGGTTGTGCCAGGGTGTATTCGCCACTGAAATTCCTAAAAAGCAGCCAAATGAGGAAAGCAATTAAATCAATATTATAGATGCGCAACGCGATCCAAGAGTTTTAATGACAGCCGAAAGGTTTCTAAATTCTGATTTCTCCAAAATTGAATTTAAATAGTTAGGTCCTAAATATTTTTTGTGTAAACTCCACTGGTGTTCCAGTCATCCATTGTCAGACTCACCTGGATACATTGCCATTTAAGTAGCATATGCGTTTTCACCCTATAGATGCATGTTTATACGCGGTAAATCTTTTGCATTTAGTTGCGTTACCTTTCAGGCATCTGCATAAACAAGAGCTGTCCGTTCATTAACTTTCTAGTACTTTTTTAACATTAATTTTTCACCGCCCCTTCTACTCTGGGCGAGGCCACTAGGAAAGGTTTATATAATATCATATCATAATTGGTAGGGGGCGCTCACTGATCGTTCATACGGAACTCACTCGTTCCGTTGTGTCTTAAGGGCTCTCTCTCGAGCCCAACCAGCAGCCGAACAGCGGCGCATGATACATAGGCAGAATGGCATTGTCGACAAAGACAAGGTAGACGGGAATGGCAGAGCTCGGGTGTTCCACACTTTCGGCTTTGGTATGGCTGGCCGACGACAGTTAATAAGCCAGAAGTGGCCATTCCAGTCTCCCTTGTCTTTGTCGGTAATGCCATCATATCTAAAATTATTTGTCTGGCGTCAATACCCCAGGTTAATCAAAAATATCCACGAAGCTCAGAGTTTAACGTATATGACACAGAATTTTGCGTGCCACCGGAGGTCTACTGACAGCCCCGTGAAGAACTATATGTGCGGTTGTGTAAGACAAAATACATCACTCATGCTTTTAAGTTCTGCAAAGCGTTTTAAAATGTAGGTTATGCTTTAGAATGTATGATGCCCCATATATACCTTAATAACATTTGTAGTCTTGGTGACTAATCTGAAGTCATTTTGCCAGTCTTGTTTCACGTGCTAAAACCTCCTCCACTGGAGACTGACTGAGATGAAATTAACACGAGAGCAGCCCGTAAAAACCACCGGAATTTAGTTTGAAAATTATCCATCTTATTTTAATACATTAGAATTGCATACGTTCTTTTCATGCAAGAATTACTCCCAGGAATTCGGTAATACATCATTCGGTTCAACGTTTATAAAAGTAAGGGTCTGCTAGGGATATAGTAAGGATTGGAAGATCACGCTCGCTCCGTGAGCTAAAATGAACTGTGCGTGTGCAACAGAGCATTAGGAAGAAGTAGTAACTTCTTTTTAGAGACACCACGAACTTAATATCTCCCCAATGCGTTCTACTGCATGCAAGCAGGGTTACAAACTTGTTCCCACACGAAGCAGTTAGCACATAAATTACAGCAAGAGGTTTTTCAGCTGGAAAAAGATCGTGTATTTGAGAAACCGATAGTAAGTGAACTTTATTTGGCGTAGTTAATTTATTGACAGTTATAGCGCAATTAAAAAGACACTAAGAACGAAATCGGAATGTTTACCATTGGATACTTAAGCAACAGTTAAGTATGCCTGTGAGATACATTAGAGGCAAAGGGCGCATTTTCTGAAGGCGATTTTGCCACCAAGTCATTAGTTAAAGAAGGCAGAACATCTTGGGACAAAAAGACCTCTAATTCTGCTAATACACTGTTCTATGTTGCAGACTGATACCATCGGCTAGAGAAGCCATTTTTCCTGAGGTGAATGCTGGTCACTCCATTTTTAGTACCGGAATAACGTTTGTTCCGCAATGTAGGCTGTAGAGATAGTCAATTATGGAAGAATCTTTTTGCCAGCATCTAACATTTGGATTTTCATTCTCAGGAACTGTTACAGTCTGATAGTTTGGATGGCTATCAAACCTGGTAAACGGCCAAGCTGGCAATCAAAGGACATAATGGACATCAAGGTGCACAAGGATACCATAAAGCAAACCTTCAGTCACGTGGGCACTCAGTGACGCAGAATGAATAAAATATTTTTGGGATACATGCTAGTGTTAAGTATTCAAAGGAGGTGGTAATTTAGTAGCACATATGGCTATACCCTAACTATATAGATAATAACAAACCTAAGTGAAGATAAATACTCGAACACCTGAACAATTTGTTTATCAACATGAGCTTTCAGGACACGCCTGAAAGAAAATAGGCCGAGAATTGATTGAAGCCTGAGCCTCGGATGAGAACTCGGTCAATCGATTTATCGATCTGGCGCCGGCGTACAGAGCCCTGCGTAGTCACCTCAAGTCTTGCGCCATCGATCGATGATTGGGCTTACATGCCTTAAAACTGCCGCTTGTACTTTTCCCGCCACTACCTCTGATGATGGATCCCTGTACGAGGCTGAAAGCTCAAGAAAATAAACAAAGTGTTCCGGTGCTCAAATCTTCTTCATATATGCGTACACCTGGAACTCGAAATTTCGCCTTCATTTGTGAATAATCAACCTCCCTGCCGTTGGTCTTAAAATAATATTTGTTCCTGCGTAAAACACTAGGAACGCAAACTTAGTGGAGATATTTTCATGCCACCAAAAAAAAGCGTTGCATAGATAAGAAAAATTTTCTTTCAAAGGCTTTTGTATATTTGTCATTAATTACATAAACCAACTCGCCATCGGTTGTTTCCGTGCTAAAAGCGAGCAAGCAATTATCGATATTCCGTCATTAGTTTTGAGAAAAATTTCACTTATGCTTGCGTAAGCAGGAGAGCTGAATTCCTGATTTTTAGCAAAACCATATAAATCAGCTACTAGGCGACAAAGTCTTACTTTGGTTATGCCTTCTTATCACAAACGGTCGCTTTTGATGTCGTAAAATCTGAGGAGACACGGGTATCTTTCGCATCTCCGTGATATTTTGACACATTTCACGTCATTTCGAGGACACTCTATATGACATGACAGATAAGTTTTGTAAAACCTAACTTTCCCATTCTCTCAAACATACATTTGACAAACAAAATTACTTTCTACATGAACATGAGAATCAAACGATTTCGGTCAGGAGGCTACATATACACATCAACGGCCAAATGAAAGTAAAATTATTATCTGTGCAATGATTTTTCCAGGTAACCTGAACATAAATGATTAATAATATGTTTACTCAAATACATGCATCAAACGTTTTCCCACCAGTATATTGGTATTCATATTTTAACTCGCTACCACATTTTAAGGCGTAGAAAATACCGTCTGCAAATGTTTATGGACTAACGTACATAGTCTTGCGTGAACTTTCTTATCTGCAACTTTTGCTTTGGTGAAATAGCAAATGGATTGAAAACATCAATCGTGCCTCACTTGTGCAGTATAAGCAATGTTTCATCTGCAGGAACCAAATTAGAACCCTGTCTGTTTAAAGTGGAGATTTATTGTGAAAATAGAAACATTAAATTCCACAAATATCATCGCTTTTAAGGTGCCGTCTAAGAAATACAAATATATGCCAACTGCTTTATTTGGGATAAATTCAAGTGTCGTGCGCTAAAAACTGTTTATTATAACTGTTTTATGTTTTTATCAAAAAGGGCCTTTTGATTCCTCTAACAGGCTAATTTAGGATATCGATCATAATTTCGTATCATCGTAGAACCAGATTCTTCTTATACCGACCGCCGAATGAAGCTCATTTATATTGCCGATGCGTTATAAACCATCGTTAGAAGTCAAAGAATGCTTTAAATTCAGCGGAGTTAGTCGGTTTTTTGAAACGCTTTTGTATAAAATGGGCAAAAAGTTATTATCCAGCATTTTATTATAAATTATAAAAATTGTGGATATTTCCCAGGCATTTTTATCCTGTATATTTTATCAGAGCCGCATTACTTTGTTAGATTTCTCTGTTGGTTTTCAAAACGATCCACACGCCCGCTCTCAGTAGCCTTTATTTTGCCCGTATGAACAAGCAATCTGGCTCAGTAACTTACTGCTCTTCTCAATTTACGTAGTCTTTTGGATAGGTTGATTGCGTGCATTTGGCCTCTTAGGCCAAGACGTAAAGAAATCCAGGGTATATTTCTGGTATAGTCAAAAGTCCTTCGTTTATGTATTTGAGGGAGTTGACCTGGCTCGTATTAAATCACCTAGAGAAAAGCCAATCTTAATCTTAAGATATTCTTCGAAAAAAACTACCCGTCCAGAAGAGACACCTAGATGCCCAAATATATAGATGAGGTTTCCGAATCTGCTTCTTTGGCTGCCGTTCCCTGCTACAGTCCCCCCCCCTTCTCTATGTCTTTTCAGTGATGCCAATGTTGGCTTTCTTGAAACGCCCGACAAATTTTTATCAAAAAATCGACCGTAAATAATTGAAGGGTGCATATCTTAAAACGTACTTTCTCAATCATGCTAAACTAACGACAAACACCCAATCGTTATCATGTTCTCCGGTCTCCATGCGGCAGATGTTGCTCATAGGAAACGTACACAGTAAATCAGTCACTTTACCGGATTCGGAAACTTTTAAACTGTACCAATATCACCTTGAAGATTTCGAGTGATTTGATGTCAGGCCTCTATTTCTGCCTATGAAATCAGCATGAACGAATGCCTTTGTCAAATATTTACTACATGTGTTGCTGAAATGTCTTCTCTAGCAACTACGTTAAAACTCCCTACTTGCTGAAAAATCGAAACCCTGACAAGTTCCTTTTTACAAAATTCATATCCTGGATTCTCCTTGCGGGAGTCCACTCTCAGGCAGGAGTATTCACAACGCTTCTCCTCCCCGCTACGGCTGCTACCCATCTGGTCAAGACAGCTAGAGTAAGGAACAATAATCCGGCAAAATGATATCGAGAATGTTTATAGGCAAAGCAGTTGAGACCTGGTCGATAACTTCTGGGTTGCTCGTAGGCATTACCTAGCCTGGCTTGAATCTCTACACAAACGGCTAAGTCACGAGCTTACTCCTGGTCGATTGCAGTTGAAAGTCCCCTGTTTAGCTTCGCAACTGCCTTCACCGACCTGTTTTGACTACAAAACGGAATACGCGGGTTACGCATTGACTTAGAGATCCGGTCCGGAGCTGTCACAGGCAGTGGCATAGTTAAAGTGGCCTCAGCAATTCTACCGCCAACTTGAAAGTCAACCAGAGCTGCGGCATGTGAACAAAAATAAAAACCGATTAGCATAATTTTAGAGAGCCTTGCGTCCGTTTTTTCATCTTCCAGGATAAACACGAGGAAGAAGAGCGAGGCCGGATGTTGTTCTGTAATAGTAATCATCTCCGCCGGCTGCTTGGCATAAGATTTTATGAGGGAGCACATGTGGAAGCAGACACTTGCTAAATAGACAGAAAGACTAGATGTCGCTTAGGGTTAGAGCAAGGTTGCAGACACAACCGGCTGTATTTTAAGTAGGTTGTGCAGCATTGCCTTTTCTGACTTCACAGACGCATTTACAGCACATCGCATTTTGCTTGCGCCATCTGACTATTGGCACAACTTGAGATTTAAGTTTATAGTCTGTGCCAAGACGGAGACACTTTAGCCGGGTAGCATGTTACTTACTTCTTATTCATTTTGACCCGACTCTAAACAAGTTGGTAACCTCGGTGCTGTTCAAATACACGAAGGCAGGAGGAAGCTCTGAGCACAGCCAACGCTCAGCCACTTGAGCTACGAGGCCCAACCAGGTGCCGTGGGTCTAATAACATTTGAGTCAAATTACTCACCCAGCCTTCTGCAACGTCTGAGATCCGACATATCGGATACAGTAAGTTGATTGCCGAGACGGAATGGCCTTAGCAACCAATCTTGAATCCACCAGATGACTACCATGTTCATTTAGTTAATACAAGTCCCGCAGCTCAGACGGCCGGAGTGCTGGTTGTACTCAAGCCCAGACGATCTGCTTTTGTCTCTGATGGTGGGTTGGATCAGGAATCCAAAACGTCAGGCGAATAAAGCTATTGTCCAAGCGATCGCGTCTCCTTCATGACTGGTTCCCGGAAATCGTATCTTCGATCCTGTTGATTGGCTTCAGGCTAAATTTCGGCAAAACTAGGATTGGGTCTGAGGCCAGGGTTAGGGTTATATTCGTTCCCACGCAGGACTCGATTCAGACGTTATTGAAAACTGCTCAAATTGTGCTGATGCCAAAAACTACTTGCATGATGCTTTGCAATTTCGTCTAACAAACTTGAACAGTATTTGCCAGAGATATAGCGACAACTTTCACTGCGAGTATTTAGATATTACATTATGCAACGAAGCAAAATCCAAAGGCTCATGCGTACAAGTTTAACGGTAGTTTGGGCGTAGTGAGCACTTATATACACGTTTTTTGGATTTGAATTTGACGGTAATGTAAGTTAGGATTTAGGGCAGGGGTTAGTGTCGACTGCAGAGTTAGGGTTCAGAGTATGGTTGGTGTCAATATTAGAGCAATGGTCTAGTCTTCTAATACGACTGGGGTTAGGGTTAGGACAGGATAATATTTTCTCCCTTCTTAAATTATGTGTGAGTCCATCTAGGTCGGTCCCGCCCATTTCCAAAATTCTATCAATTGGACAAAAAGGATGAGTTAAGGAAATTATTGAATCCTCTCTAATAGGTAACTATCAACACTGGGGACTCTATCTTAAGCCCATTCGTCCGCTTGTTCCGATGGCTTGAAATGTGGCCTACCTATTCTCCTAGTCCAAATAAATTGAGTCAATCACTTCGCAGATTTTTAAAAATCCCAGTCACTTGGAGCAATGGATGGAGCGCTTTCTTGCTCACCAAAGTGTCCGGCCTCGAGATCCCAATTTGTCCGTTAATTTTTGACAATAATTATCAGTCGGTATTAAAATAACTGATAATTGTTGTTGGTATATAATTTTGTATGACCATATAATGCGCCAAACGGTCAGTTGCTGAATGACGCCTCGGGGGGGGGGGGAGAGCGGGACCATGTGCTCTTGGCTGGGGTGCAGATACGAGATCTGTCAACTCTGCGTCCCTGGCTGAATGCGCTCCTCTATGCGCCTGAGTGTTCAGGCTTATGCAACTGTATTTCCGATGGTCACGCGTGCTCTTATGTGCGAAAGGAATCCAGTGATCAGCAGTGCTCATGTTTTTCGTCAGAAAATATGTTTATATTAATCCCCCTGCCTAGTTAACTCTGATATACTGTAGGTGGGCTACCTCATGAAATGTCAACCAAAAATTCCGAAATGGGTTTTCATTTTGAAAAGATTAATTAAGTAGACTTGTAAAAGTAATCAGCCTGCAACATAATCCTTCAATATTTCAATTACCTTTGGATGCCGGCTTTTGAATGAACCTCCTTACGGCTGTTTGCAAAAACTACCCTCTGCAAAAATGACTACTCAAGTAGCATTAATTTTTCTCATTCATTTTCTATGCCCCTAAGTCTCCAATTACATTCCATGGAAAACATGCATAAAAATACTCATGTTTCGCTGATTCAGTAGATACTTACGTTTTCTTCTAAATTTATACGCAAAGGAGGGACAAAATTTTGTAACCGGGATATTATATTATAGAATTATGTTGCAGGCTGACTAATTTTACAAAACTTCTTAATTAATCTTTTCGAAACGAAAACGCATTTCCGAATTTCGGTTTAAATTTCATTAGTAAGCCTACCTACTGTACACAACCCCTCAGCAAAATCTTTATCAGTTCAGATCTAACCGGCCACGCTCTGCAAGGAGAATGCTGTGTGTGTTAAAAGTGCTCTTAAACTATTGCATAAATATTTGTAAAAAAATCTAATATCCCCATTATTTGCAAGCAGAAAAGAAAACTTAAATCTCCCGTTTCAGGACAAAATAAAAATGTACTATTAACTTATATTCGTTCCTACGCAGCACTCGATTAAGACGTTCTTGAAAACTGCTCAGATTATGCTGATGCCAAAGACTACTTGCATGATGCTTTGCAATTTCGTCTAACAAACTTGAAAAGTATTTGCCAGAGATATATCGACAACTGTCACTGCGAGTATTTAGATATTACATTATGCAACGAAGCAAAATCCAAAGGCTCATGCGTACAAGTGTGACAGTTGTTTGTGCGAAGTGAACACTTATATACACGTTTTTTGAGATTTCTTGGCAAGATCCCATTTCGTTGCCGTTAGGGCAAGGGATTGGGTTGGGGCTTGTCTACTGCAGGAACGGCTACGAAATAAGGTCCGAACAATTTCTGAGATTGGATGGCGACTGTGAAGGGTTCAGCGGATCTGCCCTCCTTCTCAGAGCTCTCCAGGTCATCTTTTCCAAATGCACATCGCCTGGTGCGCTCGCCTACAAAACTAATTTCTCCACTTTTTCATCCGCAACACACTTTCCTCGTCAGGCGGTCTTGTCAAATGCTACACATTTTAAGGGCTTATTATTTACACCTTTCAGACCGCAAATACTTTGGTTTCTTGATAGCACAGTGTTTAGCAGGGGATCCGGTCAAACAAACAATCCATCGACAGGGGAGCATTGCGTGACTGAACAGATCATCAGATAGAGGGGGAAAAATACAGGTGCAGCCGACAGGCCTGCTTATCAGCTTCTGTTCGTCTCAGTTTTCAGCAGCAGCATAAGCGGCTGGAAGGTGTGAAGCGAGATATGTGACAGTCCAGACTATTTCGCCAGGAATAGGGTGTAAGGGAAAAAACAGACACCTTTTGCTGGGCGACATTTGCGAAGTGTTCACGTCATTTTCCATAAGGGAAATTATGGATGGGAGCGCTGGAGTCTTGCACGCTTGTTGCCCACAAGTAATACGGCTTAACCGAGCAATGTGAAGATCACGTCATTCCGCATCACTGCTGTCGGCTATATGTCCGCCTGAGTGGGCTCCAGATTGAGGCCCAAGACGTGACAGGGTGAGAATGTTCCGAAGGCTGATTGGTATACGATTCGCCCTCTCTGATATCTGCATCTTCACCTATACCGTGCATATAATAGTACAATAAGTCCACGCCTATTGGTCAGGGCGTTGCACGCTCAATGACCAAAAGATGCCGTATTTGAACAGCTGTGCCGCTACATCTGGGGGGGGTTAGATTAAACAAGCTGACGGCGGCCAATGAGTTGGAAAAGACCATCCCGGTTTCACATTCTGGCGTAGGAGGGACGTTCACCGATCAGGTTATTGGACATGGTCGGCCCTAAGCGCCTTGACCTCAAGTCTATAGCCGTTATACACAGTCGCACAATGAGAAATAAATATCCAAAGCGTGGCGTTAAGGAGGAGGAAGACTGGGTCGTCATTTGCGGCCATCGTCGGTTGAACATACCCAACACTTAAGCGGCTATGTGATTGTCCGTAAAGGCTCTAGACTGAATCTCCAGGCACAGCCTGTACGCCCCGTTATCTGATCGTTGAACGCCTTTGCATTCTTCGTTATCATCCACGATCACAGGCGACGGTCCAAAAGACTAATAGCCTAATGGTAAGACGTTGAGGTACTCGACGATCAGGGGTCGGATAAACCGGGTTCGATTTTAAGGACATCCTGACCTGGAGTGGGGAATGGCGGACAGACGACGACTGGCAGGTCAAAACTGACATCGCGGCCTCCCTTGTCCTTATCGCGATCCTTCTACGCATAAATAGGTATGAACGAGAAAGGCTGACAAAATATTTGAGCAGATTATTAAAGACTTTACTCGGGCGTATTCAATCATCTTTTGTGATCGGATTCACAAACAAAGCAGACACGTAGCATAACATGAGCATCGAATAGAATGTGATTTGAGAGAGTGAATTGGTTTGGATAGAAAATAACCTTTAGTGCATAAGTTTTTGAGGCCAGTTCCCAAGAACATCATTAGACTTATAGTAGGTGGACTAAGTCATGGAATGTCAACCGAAATTCCTAAATGCATTTTGTCGAAAAGATTAAGACGGGGTGTAAAACTGGTCAATCTGCAACGTAATTCTATAATAATCCAGTTACCTCAGGATGCCGGCTTTCAAATAAGTTCCTTCCGGCCACATGCAAAAACTATACTCTGTAAAACTAGCTACTTATTTAGCATGAGATGTTCTCATTGAATTTCTATTCCCCTAAAAGTCCAATTGTATTTCATGGAAAAGATGCATAAAAATATTTATTTTTTTGCTCTCTCGGTAGAAAATGACGTCTTCTTTTAATTTTATACTCAAATAAGAGGCATTGTTCGGTCTTTGAAACGTGTTTCACTAAAGACTTTTAAATACCGCGACATGTCAATTCATAAACCGTCATGTTTTCGTATTTACCAATGTTGCTTTTAAAGTTAACTATATGGACCAAATCCACTGCTTAATTCTATGAACCCTATAAGATCCCTCTTTAATGCAGTAGTGAAATGTGTGGTTTACCGTACGCGGAAAATTTACAGCTTGAAGTTTTGAAACTTTGAATCCAAGTGTAACGGTAAAGCGAGTTTAAAATTATTCTGGAATGGGAAAAGCTTTTAATAACCGAATTATACCCTTTCCTCGGGAATAAAATTAGAATAAAACGTAATAAGCTATCGAATGATCAGAAGAATGAATATTTTATGCATGTTTTTGATAAAATATAATTGGACATTTAGGGGCATAGAAATTCAATGAGAGAATTTTATGCTAAATAAGTGGCTAGTTTTACAGAGTATAGTTTTTGCATGCGACCTGAAGGAAGTTTATTCGAAACCGGGCATCTTGAAGTAACTGATTTATTATAGAATGGTGTTGCAGGCTGACTATTTTTACACGCTTACTTAATTAATCTTTTCGAAACGAAGACGCATTTCGCAATTTCGGTTGACATTTTATGAGTTAGCCCACCTACTGTGTAAGTCACGTATGCAAACAGTTAGCCCTTAAACCGCGTTAAACTGAAGATTCTGCAGTTGGCTGAGGCTTGCGTTCACGCGCGCAGACTACGTATCGTCATTTTCGTCTCTCTTACGAGGTGTTCTGTCTACAGCCTGCTAAAACGAGCTAAGGTAAACTGCTCCGATAAAGGAGGTTGTTAACCAGAAATCAAATATTCCGTCAAATTATTTTTGCACAAGGGATGCCTGCGTGTTTTAATCCGTCAGTGCATGAAACATTATGAGTTCAAACAGAAAGGTATTTCAACCATTGCGGACATCCGAATACTAAAAGCGATCACCTGGTGAATTCTCTTATATTTGAAAAAGACGTCCGAGCCCGTCGAAAGACAGCTGAAAAAATATCAGATACAAGTAGCACACCAGCTGGAAACCACCTTGCCCACCCAGTGTGTACAACCTAAAAATAAGGTTTGAGAGCTCTATAGAAAAGGTGCTTATTGCAAGATCCCATGTGTCAGTTGTAATGCTGTTTACTGTGGAAAAACTGGAAAATCTATCTCAAAACATATAAATGAACATCAGTTAACAGTGAAGAGGCGAGATCATCTATCCCAGATAGCTATGCACATAATGGGTACTGCATATAAATATGCATTAGAGAATACTCTTACTGTTGGCGTCTAACCAGTAAGAAGACGCCATGAATTTCTGAAAGCGATACATTCTGATGAACGATTCTTTAATCGGCATAGTGATGTATACGCTACGTACGAATAACCCAACGACAAATAAAAGCCAGAGCAGCCAATATGCAGTTTTTGGTCAACCGGAGAATCATTCATTCAACATGGTTAAATAGCTAATTATACATGACCTATAAGTTTTAAAACGAGCTGGGGAACTAGTCTTGAAAATTTAAGAAAAAATGCTCACCTATATTATACGCATATATGAATGTATTTGCACAAAATTTGCCAACCTTCTTTAGAACCGCTATAAATGGTTAAATAGCATTTGGGAAAGAAATTTTATCACACTTACTTTTAGAGAAGCGTAATTTAATAATAAATCCATTGGTTTCTAGACTGTTAACTATAAGTCAGAGAATCATGGGATCTTTGATAGTCGGAAAGCCCGTTTCAGACAGAGTTTGTTTACGAACCTAGCATTATCTTGATGCCTCGAGCACAAAAACATTCCATAAATAGCTCGATAAATCGTACAGACATTCATCTGGAAATCTGTTAATCAAAACTGTTCGCAACAGGGACAAGAAAGAAAAAAATAAAACGAAACATCAGACCACAGTAGGGATGAAGTCTAACGCAGATAAGGCCCTTAAGTCTGTTTCGCTCAAGCTAACTGTTGCGAACCAACCATGAACCTAAAGTGTAAAAAATTAATAAATGTACTACAGGGTCATTAAAATAAACTTGATTGAAACTTTTAGAAGGAAGCTTCGTTTAAAAAACCTTAAGAATGACAAATAAATGCACCTTACCTGCTCACTAAAGTAATTATTGTTAATATTTTTACGTAGAAGTAACGTTCTCAGAACTAACCCAGTGACTACGTCATGTCTGACTTCTTTTTAAAGAGTAAAGAGGTCAATTGGCAATTTCCATTTTCAAAATACAATGCATGTCTTAACTCATGAACCTGGAAGCCTGAATTTTAAAGAAAATTGTTTTTGTTAGAGGAGGCTAGGTGAGTGAGTTTGCAGTACTGATTAGCGTGAAGTATGATAGTGACGTTATTCGAACACGCCAGGCTGCTGGGTAAGATGTGGTTATGGAGCCCCGCCTAATAGTCACGGTATTGTTGGCGCTCGGTTTAGGGGTTAGAATTAGGCGTTATGATTAGGGGTTAGGGCTCGGGGCTACAGTTAGCGGTTATGCTCAGGGGTTAGAGTTAGGGGCTAGATTTAGGGGTTAGGGTTAAAGGTTAGGGTTAGGCAGCTATATCTCGACCACCCAAAGTACAACCGCGCATTCCTATTAGCTGTTCTTTTGCATACAGCTACTTGACCGCATCGCCTGTGCGTTCCCCGGCCCCACCTGTAAAAACCCCTATTACCACCGATCCCGTATTACAGGTGGCTGGATTTTGTTTACGTGAGGTGGGGCTACATAACCACACCGGACCGGCTACTGTCTTTCTAATACGCATCCTAACGGTCATTGGCAAAATCCTCACCAGCCAAAAAAAATGGCCGATTATGTAGTAGGTAATTTTCCGTTGATTTTAGAGGCCTATTTAAGTTCACATCTGCCTGTTGGAAAGCATTTTCACTTACCCTCCTCCTAAGGAAAATAAAGTCCTCTTCAAACCCCGTATTTTGGGACAGTTTACTTCTAATGCTACGTGGTGTGAAATTAGAAGGTTGCAATTATTATTTTAAAAGCACGTTTATTAATACCGTTCGTGTAGTCTACCTGCTACCAAAACGGAATAGGCTGTGAGTGAGCTGGAAGGAAACTGAAACCAGACTGGCACAGCATTCGTTTATTGGGCTGCTCTATGTTCATGCGAGATTTAAGTACTATCGTACTATCGCATTCTCAAGCCGTTTCAATCACTTTGCTTATTTTACCCACAAGCTGCTTAACAGGTCCAAACAGTCACCTGATGCATGAGAAAGGAGAGAGAGAAAGGATGCGGCCGAATTTAGGAAAATTCTATTCAAGGCAGCGCATTACCCACTTTGTTTAAACTAAAGCGCTGGAGCCTATCTTGACACGTTGTGGATCGTTACCTGGAAGGTTGACAATTAACGTGACAGCTTGTGTCGCTCTCAGGACGTGGGATTTTATTAAAATGGCTCTTTCTTAACGCAAGCTTTATGGCACTCTCGGGAATGCAAGATCGAAGCTGCCTTCACAAGGCCTGACACACGCAGTGGGAAACAAATCGGATGCGCGGATCGCGTAGACGGGGTAAGTAGATTTGTCGGTCGCTGTATACGAAACCATCTTTAGTTCTCTTGACTTTCTCTTGTTGCCGGAATAAGGCGAGTAGGGGGAGAGAGGAAGTGCGCTAGTTACCGTACAAGTTTGTTTTACTATGAACTACTTCTCTGTCCTTAAAACAGGTCGCGCGGTAGATGCGCTGGAACAACACGAGGCAGAGATTGGAGTCCGCCAGGAGTTATCGAGAATGCGCTCCCATAACAAACTCCAAAATGTGGTATGTGGTGACACGCCTAGTTGCCGGTTTTCCTTGCGTCCCTATTTGTGTAATGGTACAAAATACTGGTCAAAGTCTGTTGTGAACTAGAGGACGTGGTACGCCTACATGCAGTCTTCACCGCGCCAGCAGTCTGCGACTCCTCATCCTACCACTATTTTGGACCCGGTCTTGACATTGGATCCATGTGGGAAAGGAGGAGAGAGCGCGGTAGGTGCTGCAACTCCCATACCGCACCAAACGCCGTCCGACCGCCCGCCTCTTCCTCGCCCTTTTTGCCGCCAACTAACTCTGACAATTCTTCTGAGCCACCGCCTCTATCCTCCACCTCTCCCTCTTCCTCTTTCTCCCCCTTCCTCCTTTTCCCCATCCACCTCCTCCTCTTCTTCCTCCTTCTCCTCCTCTTCCTCCGGCCTCTTCTCCTCCTGCCTCACTGCACCAACCACGGACACTCTGGTGGCCGTCACTCACATCAGCATCACACACATCCATGACATAACAACAGACACCATCCCTCCAACCTCCTACTCCAGGGGTAAGGACCAGGACTACACCTGCCCTCACTGCAACCGCACCTTCTCCTCACAAGTCGACTTGGTCAGTCACTTGCGAATCGATCGCCCAGAGACTGGCAAACCTGTGCCAGGAGCACCAGCCTACGCCCAAAGCACTCGCCTCCACTGTCCATACTGCCCTTGCTCCTTCACGCATCGCATGGGCCTATTCAGCCACATGCGCACCCACGACGACCTTCTTCACCACACCATAACACCCTCCCTCCCTGCCTCTACAATCACCATCACCCCACCACACATCAACACTCACCCACCACAAGCACCCAACTGTCACCTCCCACGCAAGTGGGAAGTCCGCATCTCGACTTGGTCCCCATGCGGCTTCGGCTGCACGGGTGACTTGAGTCTGAGACTATCCCGACACGTCAAACGTCGTGGGTAGGAAAGTTACTGATTGACGCACCAACTTGATCCACGCAGTTTGTCCCGTTGTGTATGTGTGTTGTGTGAATTGGCGGACTGGTGGGCTGAGGACGGGCTGAAACAGCACCTTCCACGGCCCTCTCACGTAAGCGAGAGACAAGCCCTTCAACCCCGTTGTGCGAAATCTTGGTGTGTGTGTGTATGGGGGGTAAGGTCGTACACGTGGCGCGCACAGTCATGGTCAGTCGACCACGCCAGCCACCGCTACCTTTCCCCACTCCGGTCTGCTGACCGGTTTGGACAGCGACTGAGATGTGGGAATGGGAAGGCAGAGTAAGCTCGACGACTCAGCGCACTTTCTCTTCACTTAAAACAATCTGACGCGTTTGAAGCTATCATGATGAGCCTAAAGCCGTGGCTTGGAAGGTTGCCACCTGACGTGATAACTTGGACCTCCTTGACTGAAGGTCTGAGAGTCAGGCTGAAATGGCTCCTTTTTAATGTGGCCTTTATGGCACTCCTACCATAGTATGGGATCCGAGCCAGGCGTCGGCGGCACTCCTAGGTGCGGCATCGGACGTGACAGCCTCCAAATCTCTGTTTTGTTGGTTGAAATCCTGGTTATTTGTTGTGTGGACCAGGGGGTGTGGTGGAACGCCAAGGTGAGGATCCGTCCGAGTCATCCACCTGCGGCTTCCCTCGTCTCCGGTCCTTTTGACTCTGTCTCGACACCGGGCTCGGGCGAGGGAGGAGGAGAGAGTGTAGGTAGATGCAGCGCAAGTCTACTGGAACTGTAAACCCCTGCGTAAGTCACCGTTTCTGCTCCCACTGCTGCTGCTGTTGTGGGGCTCACGGTGGACATCATTGAAATAGATGGTCGAACCATCAAGTGCCGCGCAAGTCCAATGTAATTAAAAGAAAAAATCACGCCTAAGAAATGTAAAGCAAAATTCCGAAATGCGTTTTCGTTTCAAAAAGATTTATTAAGTGAGCTTGTAAAACTAGTTAGCCTACAACATAATTCTATAATATTTCAATTACCTTAGGATGCCGGCATTCGAATGAACTTCCCTCCGGCTGCATGTCAAAACTACACTCTCTAAAAACAAACACTTATTTTGCATGGATTTTTTAATTGATTTTTGATGCCCTTAAAAATTTAATTATCTTTTATGGAAATCATGCGTAAAAATATTAATTCTATTGCTCATTCGATAGACAATAACGTCTTCTCTGATATTCTGCTCGAAGGAACGATGTAATTTGGTTTGTTAATTTTCTACCGAATGAGCCAAAAGATGAATATTTTTATGCATGTTTTCCATGAAAGCTAATTGGGCATTTAGCGGCATCAGAAATCACTAAGAACAATTCATGCTACATAAGTAGTCGTTTTTATACAGTAAATCTTCTTCATGCAGCCGGAAGGAGGTTCAGTCGAAAGTTGACATTCTGAGGTAGCTGAAATATTATAGAATTATGTTGCAAGCTGATTAGTTTTACAACCCTACTGAAGTAAATATTTCAAAACGAAAACGCATTTCAGAATTTCGGTTGACATTTCACATGTTTGTTCACCTACTGTATATGGCCAAATTATACGGGAAAGACGCAAACTGCAAAGCGAAGACTCATTCTCTGTATACAATTGCTATATGCCAATTAGTGTTACATCCCGAAAAAATATTTTTTTATTTTTGCCCAATGTTCCGTGGCATATGTTACCCACTGTAGGTGGAGTTGGCCTTCACCAGTCTATTTGCGACTGCTGAAGTGGATACAGGTGGCTATTTCGTCCTCTAGCCGGGGAAGGCTCATGTATGGTGGGTTTGCGCGTGCATATTAGAAATATACGCGATCATGATAAGGTCTGATATGTGATTTCTCCCCACAGCGCACTGATCTCCTTCCTGTCTTCTCCTAGAAAACTAACATTTCTTTTCGCTTTTTTGCAAGGAGCATTTTGATGTCCTTAAGCTGCTAAAATGGATATGGCTCTTTGTAAATGCCTTGAAGATGGCATTCACAAACGGACATCCATCGATCACATACATACACATAACGAATTCTGCAAAACTATGACAATGACAGACGTTTTAAGGCCGAATATTGCATAATCATTAGGTCTGCATATGCGGATTCTTCGAAGAGAATCACACTTTTCTCTCCGGATGTCATTAACCGACAGTTTAGTACCTCAATACAGGAATCTGCCTACTTCATTTTCGCACGCCTAGCCGAAGTCATTATTTATTTATGCCCGCGGATACCCCTCTCCCCAAGACGACAGCATTCACTAGCTGACTAAAAGAAAACTGGCATTTACGTAAGTTGCCGAACTCAATAGCAAGGAGAAGTGCATTTTCGCTTTTCTCCAGATCCAAAAGATTTAAAGTGTTCTGTAAGACTGACTTGCAAGGCCACCTAAACGGAACTTGAAAGCAGGAACCGCCGGCAACACGGCTGTCTTTAAGCCAAATTCCAGCAAAACTAGGGTTAGGTTGAGGGCAAGGGTGCCGCATCCTAGACCAAATCATTTTTCTGACATGAGATGGATGTAAACGATTTGTTTGATAGTTAAAACATCTCCATACCAGTTCCACACGCTGGATTCACTATGTGCAGTAGGTGAGCTAACTCATGAAATGTTTACTGAAATTTCGAAATGCGTTTTTGTTTCAGAAAAATTAATTAGAGAGGTTGTAAAACTAATCATCATGCAGCATGATTTTAAAATAATTCTAAATTTTAGACGATTTTCTTTCCGGCTTCATGTAATAGATATATTCTGCAATAAATAGCCACTTAAATAGCATGCGTTTCCCTCACTGATTTTCGATGCCCCTAAAAATTAAATTATAATTCATGGAAAACATGGATAAACTTTTTGTTTTTTTATTTATTCGGTAGTAAATGACGTCCTCCTACAATGTTATACTCGAAGGAAGGGTATAATTCAGTTTTAGAAACCTTTCTGCTAGTACAAATTTTAATACCGTGAAATGCTTATTCATAAATCGTTATACCTCTGCATTTACCATGTAAATGCATGTTAAGTTAACAATATGGATCAAATCCACTGCTAAATTTTATGAAACCTATTTAATCTTCTCTTAACACTGTAAAAAATTGCACTGCGTTCTGTACGCGGGAAACATACAGTTTTTAGTTTGAAAATCCTAAATGCAAGCGTAACGGCAGATCGCGTTCAAAATTATTCGGAAATTTGAAAAGTTCTTGAAAAGCGAATTATACTTTTTCTTCTAGTATAACATTGGATGAAAACGTCATTTTCTACCGAATGAAAAAAAGAACGAACTGTTTATCTATGGTTTTCAGGAAATATAATTAAATTTTTATGGATCTCGAAAGTTAATTAGAAAAACGCATGCTAATTAATTGATCATTTTTTACATATTGTAGCTTTTGCATGCAGCCACAAAGAAGTTTGTTTAAAAGCCGCCATCTTGGGGTGACCAAATTATTATAGGATTATGCTGCATGCTAATTAGTTCTACAACACCTTTAATTAATCTTTTCGAAAAGAAAACGCATTTTGGAGTTTCGGTTGACAATTCATGATTTAGCCTGCCTACAGTACAGGCGGCGTGAAGACACGCCAGTACTTTCTAAGACCGTTCCCGAAAGAGGGATAGAGGAGGTTCAATAAAATTGTCATCTTGCAATGGAAGCAAAGTGAACGAGCGTTCTCGTGCCATGCTGCCGCTGTTTCTCCTCATGTCTAACGCAATAGACGAATCTGAGTACTAAATTCTACTTTAAAATCTCACCACAAGTGCTGAATTTTGTTCTCATCAACTCCGGATCCACCATACATGCAAGGTTAGAAGACTCTGTCGCGGGCAACAGTTCCACAAAGGCGATCGTTCTGTCCGGCTTGCAGCCCACCGGCGTTTCAGTTCGTTTCGTGGGCTTTCCGTAGTTGTCCTCGTCCCAGACCTCGGGTTGCAGTGAGCAGTTCTCAAAGGTTGCATTTTCAAATACGTACTGTCCGCCACTGAAGGGCTGGTACCTCAGAATTTGAGGGATTTCTGGGGGAGGGGAGAGAAGGCAAGCGATGTCAGAAACCGTTGAGTATTATAACGCAAAAGCCAGCACAATTTCGCCTGGAAATTGTTGAATATTGGGTTAGGGCCGTATCTCTGGCAACAGTTTTATGAATGGTCTGCTGAGGTAATGCTAGCCACAGTGACTCAAGAAAACAAAATATCAGGCTTTGAGGGTTCGAAAATTAAACAAATGCCATGTACTTTGGCGTCCCCGGTCAACAGTGCGAAATATGAACAGAAAGGACAAAGAGGACTGAGAGGGATTATTTGAACTGGTTAGCCATCATTAACTAAATATACACAGCCGCGAGATGCGTAGCCCCGCAGATTAAACTTGCGACCTATTGCTAAGACGTCCAATGCACTGAATTACGGATTCGTTGTACGGTCGATTGCGATCGCACATTTTGACAAAAGTACAAAGTATTCTGGTGTGGCCATTCATTTCTCAGCACCAAGTGTGGTCACATTGTCTGCGCAAACGGATTAACATTTAATTAAGTTACGCTGAAACTAGCTAGACGCATATGACGTCCTTTTGGAGGACAACAATGAGTGCGTACACCCTCCACACCCCCTCAGCTAGCAGTCTGCATTATGAAAATAACGTCGGTTAAATCTTCCCAGATGGCGTTCCGTGTAGGCATCTGTCTCAGGAAAGTTCGTTTTTAAAATACAGGCTAGGTAAGAGCGGAAAGACGCAGAAAATTGTATGTGGTTATTCAACCTTTGACCACGGTAAGCGCGGAGCCTGAACGAGGTTCTTTTGGGTGCATAGGATCAGTTTTTTCTATCCTCATGGCGGCCAATTCTGCTGTTTTTAACAGATTCTGGCCCAATAGCTCAGGTTAGCTCGAGGGGACCTTATAAATCACACGGAATGCTTTAGCGGGGTCCACACGATGCTCTGAATCCACTGCAGGCGCAAGGATGGCGTTGTCTATTCTCCTTCTTTCACCTTTTGCCAGCCACGCGGGAAGATGTTCTCATTTTCTTTTGGAAAGATACCGACTCGTACAACCAATGTAATCTGCTCTACAGGAGCAAGTGAATGAATAGATGCACATTGAGGCAGTCTGCGGTGGCAGCTTATCCTTGCCTTCTCCGCGTAGAATAGGGTTAGTGGAGAATGATATGCGAACCCTTGCTGCTGGGAAGGTTCCCGAGGCAGCTTGGTCAAGGCGTCTTCTTAGGAGTTCACTTGAGCATCTTCTTGGAAAGCGACTTTGAGAAACAACGTTTTATTTCCGGCAGTAAGGGTGGTGGGTTCTTCGGGTTGTTCGGCAAGGCTCTTTGCAGTGAACCTGTCAGGATACCTGTTCTCGCGACGCAAGTCCTTTATCGATTTTCTTCCCTCACTCCACCCCTTTCCATAAATTTGTAATGGCCTGACGAGAAGTTATCGAAAGTAACGTTCGCTCGCCTGAATATAGCTATGGAGGTTTTCACAGGACAGTCTCTGTGAGAGGCGTCTTCATCTCTCTGTCTCCCATCTTATGGCCCTGTGACCTCAGTCACACTAGTGACAACTTGCTGGCTCATGGAAGCGGACCAGATGCATTTGTGCCCTCTCGTCTGCCATAGAAATCGGCAGCTGCGGTGGCAGTCTGAAATTTCAATTTGCCGATACTTAATTGGTTGGTCTAAATCTACAGAATAGGGGTTAATCTTAGTAACAGGCTTGAACTGTGGGAGTGGAAGTTAGAAAACCGAAGGTATGGCGGACTGCAACAGCTTTGCGAAGTTTTTTCACGCCATAGAGTGATTAAGGGAAAAAGGAAGGGCGGTTTTGCTTGCTGCGGGATCACTTTTGGCCGGTTATCGGTCATGGGGGATCGGGTTCAGGGAATCACTTCATCGGCAGAGAGAGTAAACGAACGCGTGACCATCGTCAGCACCGTAACAATGGATTGGCAGTCATACATGGCTAAAGAAAGCCACGGAGGTGCTTTGTTGCACACAGGACAGCATCCCATAGGCATGTTCGACCGCCTCCACCGTCACCAGTGTGTTTCGACGCAGCAGCCTCGATCAGTTCCCCAAGAACCCTGTGCATCATCCGGAAGGTTTCTCTCATGCTCGCCTGAGAGCCGGCGTCTACAAGATGAACCTGATCATGCCCCTTCTGGCAGCATTCAGTCTGTTTTGCAGGAACAAGCAAGCGAGCGATCACACACGGATCAGGTCTGGGAGCGCAGCTGTCAGCTGTGCGTGCGGTTTAACTGTCTTCATACGATAACCCAATACCTTGCATGACGAATCCTGTTAGACCGGATGTTTTATGAAGAAGTTTTTTTATTAGCCGTGATTGTCTCCATTTACGGAGAAACTCCGTAAGGCTTCACTTAACTCACTCCGCGTCACTGAGATTATCAACTCCTTTGCGCAAAAGAGTTGGCCACTGTAATCAGTCTTAGCTGCAGTTAGCCTCAGACCAACTCTCGTTTAAGAACTGTTGACTCAAACAGCTTTCAAGGACTTCCAAGTGTACTCATCCCTCTACGTAAATCCGATTAGGCGAAGTTTTATTCGCTGTCTTATCTCGAAAACACGAGATTGTATACGGATTTATGCATTCTTTATATAACTTTGTGCGATGTTTCATTGAAAAATGCGACAAAATTTAGGTAAGTTATCCTTTAATTTGCCACAAATGTAGATTTGACACACATTTTTTTATTTAACTAGTTAGCGCAGAAAGCATTTACACTGGTAGAACTCATGGCAGGACTAGGGAAAGTTTGACGAAAACGTTAATAAGTTGGCATTAAAACGCTGTTTTTGTTTGACTAGCAAAACACCTCGAACAGGCAACCATGCACAAGGGAAGAAGTTTTATTTCTGTTTTGATCTTAATTAAACCAGACACACATAGAATAAGCATTCATGTGCAAAAAAAATATTTTTTAACGGAAAACCTTTTGAATTCGCGTTTCCAATTTGGTAGGAAATAAAGTTCTTACAGCCCTTAGAGATGCGGTTCTTTTTCTTGTGAGACGATGTTTCGAACCCTTGGCTTGTGAGACAACATTTTCTGAGAAGCCCTTAAGTGGATAAAAGCTCTCAGGAACTGTCTACATTTGCTGAATCTGATTAGTATAAAATGCAGGTGTCCTCCTTTCTGCCTATCAACTGGACAAATAGAAAGCTGTAGTGTTTTCTGACAGCCCAAGGACGATTTCAGACATAACGGCCTCCATTATCATTGAAAATACTTGCCGTTTTACAGAAAAAACTTCGTGTCTGAAAACCAAACATTTTTCGCTGATGCCTGCGCCTGCTGAGTATCCTAGCGTGTTTAGGTCAGTCAGTAGACCATACAACAGCTCCCACTTCGACCATTATTTTGTACGTTATAGTTTAAATGGAATACAAACTGTCAACCTCAAAAAGAACGTTTATTCGAAGAAAATAGTTGCAGCTTGTAAATAATACTTTTTCACTTTCTAGCAAGCAAATTCTGTTCACAGTCACCCTGCTCTACTACGTTCAAGTATAGAAAATGGAAACAGATACAACTTACCTAATGATAGCATGTGTTTTGCTGTGGATTCTTTTATGTCAGCTTATATACTGTTACGACAAACCTGGTGTTTACAAAGTAATTCACGATACGCGGTTCTCAAATGTATGCTTCATGTAATAATTATAAGTTGCACACACTCTAATTAGGTTTTAATGTAAGTTTGTCTTCACATTTAGTCACTGCCTTTTTTGTATTTTTCGATTGGCGCGTTGACGACAAATCCTAAGTTATTCTTGAATTTTCGCACAAATCACGGGGACTTTGTGCGCGGCTCACGAGGGCTGGCTGTGCTAACATTCGACACTGAAGTCCTTATTTACAAAAAACCAAATATGCTTAACGCCTATTTGACAGACTTGTAGTAGATGAGCCGACTCATGAAATGTTCATCGGAATTTTGAAGTGCTTTTTCAACTGGAAAAGCTTACTTCAGATGAGTTTTGATAAATCATCAAGTATCGTCATCTATAGGTATTTCGATTACCACTGAATCCCAGCTTTTGAATGAAATTCTTTCCAGACGCATTTGAAGCTCCCGTCTGTAAAAACGCCACTACTTAAGTAATATGAATTTTAACAATTAATTCTCCATACTCTTCACACCCAACTATATTTGACAAAAAACATGCATAAATATATTTATCCTTTTGCTTATTTGGTATAAAATAATGTCTTGCTGCAATTTTAAACTTGAAAAAGGACATCTCTCGGTTTGAAAACACTTTCTCAACTCTTGAATAATTTCAAACCCGGCATGTCGTTACACTTGCATTTGGGGTTTTCAAACAACAAGTTGTATATTTTCCGTGCGCGAAAAATCATACATTTCTTACGCTGTTGAAAGGAAAATATATGGGGTTCGTAAAATGCAGTAGGGGGTTCGCGCTACATTGTATACTTAACAAGCAACGTTGGCAAATTTAACTGCATAACGCTTTATAAACGGGCACTTCTGGGTTTTACAAATTTTGCGATCAGAAACTGTGTTTAACCTAATTTTTGCCCTCTGTCAATAAAAATATTTAAAAAATATTTACTTTCCCACTAAATGAGTCAAAGAATGAACATTTTATGTATTATTTCCGCAACATATGTTTGAATTTATAAGAGCATTTAAAATCAACTAGAGAATTCAATCTACTTTGGCAGTCCTGTTCTGCAACGTGTATTTTTGCAGGCTGCCGGAAAGAATTTCACTCAAAAGCCGCTATTTCGAAGTGTATGTAATATTTTTGGATTATAGTGCACGGTAATCAATATTACCATTATTATGATGTCATAGTTATTGCTACCCGTATAGTATTGTATTGTTAAGTAATCTTTCGAGTTGAAAACGTATTTCAGAATTCAGGTTAACATTTCAAGATTATACACATTTACTGTACCTAAAAGGAGTTACTATTTAAAATTTAGCTTTGTTTTGTTAAAGCTGTCCCAGAATGCACAAAGCAAAATTTATTTTTGCGGTGCCAAAGTGAACTGCGAAAATTCCCAATATTCTGACAGTCGACTGAGAAATAAGGCATCAATCAATGGAAGTGAGGAAAAGTACCCATGCAAAAGTGCTTGCGGAATCTTTTCCGACAGAATAGTCGAGAAGTACTGGCAACACTTAAAACACTTCAGCCCTCTGAAAAGTTAATAGTCTCCTTTCCATGGACCATGCTAAATTTTAAAAATTGAGACATTTCGAATGTATAACAGATTGAGGCACATAGGCTTGCAAATAGCCGTCTGAATACATTGACCAAAATGAAGATCTGTGCGTTAAAGGATTATTTAAATTGTTATTCTTTTTATGTGTCTGTATTTTTATACGGTTTTTGATGTAAATATTGGCGCACAAAAACGTCTCTAGGCAAAGGCTTTTGCTTACGGAGAGATCTAGCTATACATATTGAGAAAGTGTCCATGATGATTTAGCACTCTGACACTATGAACGCGACAGACTTCTGCAAGACTGCGGTCTGGTGCACATTTGAAGCGCAAAAGACTTGGACGACAGCGAACTGGACAGCTTGAGAATTCTTTCGAATTTTGGACAGTTATCCTTTTTATCAAGTAACCTTACTGATATTAAGGCATCGGAGAGGCAGAAGTGTGCGAAGTTTGCGGATTGAAGATGCCAGGTTTTACCTGTCAAGCAATACTACGTTTACATATGCCCTGCCGCATAAACAAGAGGCGAGTCAGTGCTATTGCATCAAAGCCAAAGGCTGGAAGTTTAGTCGAAAAGTTGCCTGGGGTAGGCTGTAGGGGAGTTAGATGTTTACTCAGAGATAAAACGAGGGTCAGGCTTTGACTGCCCACCTCTCAGACCTATCGCCGACAGTTCTGTTGACCAAGTGCTCTATGCTGCTTTTTTTCGGCTCTTTAGACGGCAAATTTTCTAATTCCAGCAGAGCAGTTGGTTGGGGATACACATCCAGGATTCTGGGATCCCAGCCTATATTTGATGACTCCGTTTCACCGAAAGATAAGTCCCTAATACCTGAGGTCCGATGTAAAGACTTAAAAGATTCGACTGGATCACGTATTCAAATTTTAAAGTTGTGTTTCTCTTTAAGAGTTAGTTTGGTCGAGGGTCACATCGAGGTCCGCCATTTTTTCCAAAAACACAGATATGTAAATCCCTAAGATTGGTGACATCTGGCCTTCATTTTCATACAAAAATTGGATTAGTTTTGCCTGCTCTTCAGAAGGGACAATGAAACAACGGGTGGATTGCGGATACAGCATGTACGGCGGTAACTGCTTTTCAGAAAATTGAAAGAAGTCACTTTGTCTGCCAATTGTAGGGACGGGTGAGGTGAGAAACATTAGTCTGCAGGATCCGGCTTCTACTGCGGAAAAGGCCATAAGTGAAAGTTGAAGGCTGCTGTGGTGTGAACCTGATGCTGAAGATCTATTTTCTCTGATAAATCGCCTGTCTGATAGCTTAAGCCTTGTCAGTTGAAGGCCATTTTCTGCTTAAGAGAATAGTTTTTATGACCGACAGAGGCTTAATCTTCCTGTCTATCTCAGCGGTAAAATTTACCACCCCTAAAACTGTCCGATAAAGAGGGACTACGCAGTCGAGCGCATATCGAAATGACTCTGTGCGAACCGACGGTTCTTAGAAAGTGGCAGTTAAGTGTAAACAATGATTACTGCGTAGGATGCACGGAAATTCAAAGGTTTCGCTGAAATCCACCCCCAAAACGTCAATGTATTCTTTTACATCACCCCAGAGAGATTGTAACCGTAACGGTATTGGTAGAACTGTACTCCACAATATCCTCCCATCTAAATGCGCGCATTTTAAACGGTTTACTTCCTTCTAAGCCCTGAATTTTGTTCGTACAGATCTTTGAGGGCCAATTTGCTATTATATTATTAGAAGTAAGTCCTCACCGTATTATTGTATGAAGACAGCGTGATTCAGTTTTGAGACATATGCTGCCACTAACTGCATATAGTTGCATCCTTTTTAGGGCAGATAGTCAAACATCAGTGGAATCTCTTTAATCCCTAAAAGTATCATTTCCGAGGGCAATAACTAAGTGCAGACTCTATCCAACAAATTAAGCCAGAAACCATGTAAGCATGGATTTCCGGGAGAAGTGGTGGTAGTCCAGTCCTGCAATTGAATGTGTCCTGTAAAGCCTTTACACTACACTTGAAATAACCGCAACCGGTTGAACTTTGTCCGATAGATACACAACAACTTTCCACTCCAAACATAAGTGCTCACCAAAATTTTAAACAGACGTTCAATGAAAATTCGGAGGAGTGTCCTCCGCCGGGCTCCATGGAGTTTATGGCATTTTTCCAATTTTCAAAATGGACCTGGTTATTTCATCCGCAACAGTTGGATGACTAACATGCCCGGTTTTTATGAACAAGTTTTGGATGGAAGTATGAAGGTGATTTCTTACCTTTAAAGTACAAACTTGCCAAATTCCTCGGTGCTCTCACGGCTTAAAGCTGCATAACATGTGTTTTTATCCAAGTTAACAGTAAAATTTTCATGCTTCTACAGTTGGATAACTCATAGACTTGTTAAAAGAACTGGAACAGTTTTGAAATCGAAACTTTTTTCTCCGACTGAACGTTGATTTTTATAAATGTATGTTATCTCCGAATATTACAGTCAGCGAAAGCTATCTTCCATGAAGCATCGATATAAAGGTTCTTTTGTCCGTCCTGTCTATAAGAGAAACCTATATCGGCATGCATATGGAACTTATGCAAAAGTGCGCGTTAACTCAACGACCCGAATATCCGAACTCGTTAAATATCGATTCTTATACTCACAAGTGGTACAGAACTTGGAAGATATTTGCATGCGACTTCGAAAGTAGCACAAGCAAAACAATATTTTTATATCAGTTCAAAAACGCTGTTTTTCGCTGGAAATTATCTTAGTTCCGCAGAACAGCCTCTAAGTTGCTTACTTTCTAGAAACTTTTGGACTCGCATACGAAATCAATTATTTTAAAAAAGAGCTATTGATAATAAAAACCAGTTTGGAGTCAAATTAAATTGAGCTTGTGTAGAGGCTTGTGTGGAGAACCGTGAGTTCGTAATTTACGGTAAAAAACACCAATCTTGTGGAAAGAAGTGCGGGCCCTGGTGATTCAACTCATAAAACGCTAATAAAAATTTTGAAAAACGATTTTTGTCAGAAACGGCTACTTTATTACGGTAGTACGTCTACTGGAAATGCAGTCTAATCAAGGAATATTTCAGTCGCGTCTGGATGCTAGCTCTTAATAGTTCGTCTTTTCGGCCGCCTGCAAACGTTAAATTTTTTGAACAATGACTGCTTAAGAAGCATGCGATTCCTTCTTGGTTTCCGATTACATTGGTAATTCAAACATATCTTCAAACAAGCTTACACATAAAGGTACTCTCGTGTACTGATCTTGTAGTAAACTACGTCTTTTTCGCAGTACCATTTTACGGCAATGTATCCATTAGTTTAAAAAAGTGTGAACTAATGGTATTTTTAAACTGTTAAAAGTATATGGAAATAACATCCTATCTGTCGCTTATTACCGTTTCTTTTGAGGTAAGAAACCTAATAAACTTATAATGAATCATGTTGCTATTTCTACATGAAACCGTCTTTGTAGTGCAGAAAAACCTGTGATGTTCCCTTAATGAAATGTATGTTGGGTTTGAACCCATCCAGAATAGGAAAATTTGGAGAAAATTGAAAGATATTGTTTGTCTAAGTATAAACTTTAAGGTACACCAGCTCCACCGAAAATGGGTCTAAAAGGATATTTCCGTTCATCTTCAAGTTCATGAAATTTTGATCAACACAAGTGATTAATTTATCAAGTGGGATTTTATGAGGCATTCGAAAATACGCCTATTTCAAAACTGGCGTCTTGCCGTGACTGAAATAATTTGGCATAGAACTGTATGTTGTGTCAATATCACAGGTCTGTCTAAGCAAAGATTACCAATAAATGCTTTATTTCAGAATTTAATCTATTTTTACATAAAACTTAGTTTGCATGTAGTACATCCAAAATCCCTTGCTATTTTATTACGAAAGCTACAATCGGCATCGAACATTCTTTTGCGCAAAACCAGCATTCGCGTTAAATTGAGGAAGCCGACAACTGGAAGATGACCCCCTCTTTTGAAAACAAATTGGCAATTATTGACGAGCGCTCACTGATCATTACTTTACGATTATTAATATACGCGATCGCAACCGACAGGACAAAGAGCTCATGACTCAATAGTTACTGCGTTGTTCTACTTACCAACGTGTCGAGGGATCAAGCTTCAAGGGTAGGTATGGCTAACTGACAACAGCCATTAAGCCAGAAATGATCATTTCAGTCCCCTTGCCTTTGTCGATAGTGTTAGGCATTAATCTGACTTTTCCATGGGACATTTTGGATCTTCCTTTTCCGCCACTTTACAGTTTTCAAACCTCTTAGCGTCATCTTTTTCTTCTCCTCTTCCCTTCTAAAGACTGTACGTCACTTTCTGCGATCTTTAACTTTATTATCCTACAAGTCCTTGAAAATAAACCTGATCTACTAGGCTTCATTGGTTGAACATGGGTTTTCTGTCCTAGTTCTATGTCGATCCTATGAATTCATTTCAGTTTCGTGTGCCTTTCCATTCGCCTTTTCTGTTGGCTAATCGACTAGTAGTTAAGACATTGGTCGCTAACTCCTAGAATATTGGTGAATTCTGTCCTCTATATTGATTTATTTTAGTTTCAGGCAGTTGTTGTCAGGTAACTCATGATACTACACAAGCAGTATTTATGTTTACACTGAGTTAAATGTTCACTATGCACCGCCGTCCCGTCCAGCAGGCATTTGTTTTCGCACCTCCCACGGCCGCACAAAATTCCAGCGATGTGCTCTGTTTTTCAGCATGACCGGCAGTCATCGTCGGATCCAAGGCCATCCACATCACTGCCGCAGGCAGTCCACTAGATGGGCGCGCGACGATAACGGTGTAATATTTCATGGCTGCGCGGCCATTAAAAGCAAACTCAAATGAGAGGACAGGCGCGAAATCAAAATGAGTCAGGAATAGCCTCCCCCTCTCACAGGTAAGGCAAGGCTTTAAAATGCTGTCAGGTAAGGGCTCTTTGGGTATTACCGGACCAGTATGGCGAACAGAAGGTGACCAGTACAATTGCGGGCACGGACATGATTGGAGGTTGACTGCAGGTGGCGGCTTGAACCGACAGGAAGTGTGTTCGGCCAGAGATGTACGGGATGTCTCGCGTGGTGGTTAGGAGACCTGACGGAAGAGATATCATCGGGATTAACATGAGTATAAAACGTTTTAACTCAGGCCACAAAAGACGCATAATGTGCAAGGCTTTTTTACTGAACATATTCCGTTGTTTTAAAGGGAAAAATCAAAATACCTCCCACTCACCCCCAATGAAGCCTACGTTAGTTTTCTTAAGTTTCATGCTACTGAATTGCTTGGTTCTCAGCTATATGAAAAGAGTTATTCAAACCGATTTTGTCTAGTGCAAGTGTCAAAAAATAGCAAAGCCAAACGTTCGTGCTGCGTTAATTATTTTAGAACGAAATTTTGTTTATTTGTAATTATTAGCAAAGGAGGCGGAAGAGAGAATCTGCCCAAATGCCAGGGTTGGACAGAGCTCAAAAAAAATCGCATGATTTCGTCGTCATAATCACTCTATTGGTAGCCCAGCAATCAAAACACTAGTAGCTAGAAAAGTTATAGAAATTCTTACATTTTAAATACATATGGTTTGAATGTTGCACACCTTTGCGGGTTGGGGTAAGACTCAAAATGATTAGAAACTCATCGTTGACCCATTACGGATAATTAACGAAACTGTTGAAACAATGTTTCATTATAAATCCTCTTTACCCTCATGCTAATGAGGTAGTATTTGATGCTCGCTTGTGACTTTTTAATTATGTAATTTTATTTTAAGAAGGATAAGTGTGAACTTCATTCAGTTTCTAAAATTTTCCCGACATGACTTCTTTTTTCGAACAAATGTTGCTCACGCCGGCTAATTGGCCTGACGTGTCAAGCACAAAAGGCACAACGACTTGATTACACTTTATTTCAAAGTGTCGTAGGGAAAAGTGCTTATTTTTGGAAGGCTTTTGTTGCTGTAGATGAAAAGACGGCTAGGTTCGGTTCTGCAGCCCTACCTGATTGATATCATATGGTTGACTAACCTAAATAATATTAGTTTACATAGCTAACTTAACCACTCGCTGGATTAGGAAGGGAAACAAAGCCCAGATAGAGCTCGAAGCACGCGCAGGGTAGCTCCTGAAGTTTCCATATACACTTTTCCCCCGTCACACAACCCACTCACTCGATTAGTAGAATAATGAGGGTGCAATCACAATGGGAAGGCCGCGGAGGTGACCGCGAGGTTATTCATAGTGCGTGACCACTGTGGTGAAACCGATGGAGCTGTAAGCCGTCCGAACAATTCCCTTAGCATGTCTACATACGAAGCCGCTCGCTGGATTAAGATATTGAAATGGGCACAAGCAGGGCTCGAAGCACGCGCAGGGAGGCAACTGTGAACCGATATCTGAAGCAACCGTGGCTAGCACAGTCAGTCGTTGGATTAAAATGGCAAGGAAGATGCAAACACACTACATTTGTAAAGTTTACTTAATCCCATTTATAAAAATTCTCTTATAAATTTAACCATATGATTTAAATCAAGTTGGACTGCAAAATCAAACCTCGCCGTAAAGGTTTTGCGAGAAATGTCTCCACATGCATTCCTCTCATAACAGAAGTCTGCTCACTTTAAGATCTCCGTTAAATACTTCCGACAGAGTTAAAGAGGAGGTTGAAGTTTTTTAAAAATTGCCTTTAAAAGGCTGTCTTTCGCGTACAACTATCCTGCACAAATCAATGTTTTTGACGTTTTCTGACAAATTAGAAGATAGGACATTAAAGGCAAGCATAGGGCCTTGCAGATTAGCCACATAAGGATGCCCATGAAGTAAATCACCAAGTCCTCCCTGTTCTTAAAGTTCTAACAGCCAGATCAATAATACTTAGTCAAAATCTGCCAAAGCATCCATGAGCGTGGATAATAGTCAAAACCATTTCTTCTGCTCCTCGGGTTTCTTGCATAATCAAGCATTTTCATGTACCAGACTTAAAAGAGGAAATGCCGCATGCAGGACGGCGGCCATTTTCGACATCTGCTTCCAGTCACCTTTTATCGAGGTCCCAACATACCAGCGTCACTCTCGAAGTCCATACTTTGTATGGAGAGGACGCTATGCCTAAAGAAACTCAGTATTGGTGCACCAAAGTCAAAAACGGCAAGTTTAAAATCGAAGACGCGCCCCGTTCCTTGTGACTGACTGGCTTTGATGAAAACCGTCTGAATGCACTTTTAATGTAAGTGGTTGGCAAACCAGCATACAATCGAAAAAGGAATTGCAATGGTGCCCCTAGACTGCCCTCAGTCATTTGGAATTGATATAGGAAGTTCAAAAAATTGGAGGGTGGATGCTGCGTTACACCTGTTCTTCACCATTGTTATCGAGTTGCTTACGCAGCAGAAAAGCACATGCGAATACTACTCCATCCAGTACTTTCGGACTGAAAAGGCATAATACACCACGAGCAAAACTAGACAGTGAAGACGAATCCATATGCTTCGCTTAACTAAATTTATCGAGCAAAAATGACCCGGCCCTCAAGGCTAAGTGACTCTGCAGCAAGACAAGACAATAAGTGGCCGATTCCATTAAATGTTAGCCCAAATTCTGAAGTGCACTTTTGATTAGGAAGGGTTACTGAATTTGACTTATAATAGTGATTAAATATTAACGGAATTCCATGACATTTTGGACTCACCAGGATAACGACTTTTGAATGCACTGCCTTTTGGCCTTCTGAAAAAAACTATAGTCGGACAAAATTAATTACATAGGTGGCATGCGGTTTTCACATCGATTTTGATGCTTTGATAAATCCAAAGGTATTTTACAGAAATCACGCACAATGATGTGCTTTCTTTAACTCATTTGGTAAAAAATTACGTCACTGTTAAGGTTTATATTTGAGTGAAAGGTGTGCTGAGGTTTCTAAATCGTTCTTCGGTTTGCGAATAAATTTGAGCTTAATTGTCATTTCGTTGGCGTTGTCGATTTTAGTCTACAATATGTCTACATTCTGCTTAAAGAAACTGATACATTCCTCTATTATATCTACATGGTGTCTTCTTAAAGGTCTGAAATTTTTCGGTAGATGTGAACTACGTTGTATATTTCATGGGGATCATCAACGAACAACCAGATACGATGCCGTACGAATGGACATTGAACGGAATTGAAAATCCCAAAATCACAAACTTTTTGTGGTACCAGTTGGGAGATGGCACCCAAATATCCGTTGCTTAGAAATAATACCTACTATATCTAGTTGAATAGGTTATAGCCCTACATATTTGTTGCTTCATCCGGCCTCAGTTCCATCTGGCCTTGAGTCCACATGCTGCCTTACTTAGATTATCATAGTCTCCATGAGTTGAGAAGCGATCGCTTTAGACCCAGCCATGGTTAATCAACCTTGACCTAGCTTACACGGCTGACAAGTGGCAGCAGAAGTGGGGTGGCGGCTAAATCTAACCATAACTAAGGAAGTTAGAGAAGTGATCGCCGTAGACCTAGCATTATCATTCTTAACCAATGCTTCCAGAGGTGAGGAGCAACCACATTTGTCGGTATCCGACTTAATCTACGACAACATACCTTATGATATGTTGGCGTTCACATCTAAACCTGCATAGTTTAGGATAGTTGCGGAACAATATCTGCGGACCAACCCTACTGTGACATAAACTATTCTAGACAGACTGTTTTGCTTGGGCGGATTTTTTGGGTGCCATCCCCGATTGCTACCCTTTTTGAAACTGAAAGGTACTCTTTTTTGAGCATAAAATTCGAAGAAAGCATAATTAGCTACCAAATGAGTAGAAGACAGGATATTTTGTGCATGCTTTCAAAAAAATATATTTCACTTTATAAAAGCATTGAGAATCAGCATGAAAAATACATGCTATTTAAAAAGTCGCTTTTTACCAAGTTCCAATTGTAATCATCCTGGCGAGTGCGAAATATCATGGGCTTATGCCGCAATTAATAGTGCAACACCACCTCAGAAAACATTCGTAATCGGAAACGCATTTCAGAGCTTCAGCTAATCCTTCACGACATATATCACTGACTGTACCTAACCGGTCAAACTAGTCAAGATGACAGTCGAAGAGCCCAACCAAAAGGTCCTACCACATTGACCCCACAGCCCCGATCTTTTTCCGTCAGACTATTACTCTTTCCGGTCGCTTCCAAAGCAAACGAATGATTTCATATTATACAACTGTCGAGACTGCAGAAATGGCTCACGGACTGCCTTGACGTCAGATCGAACGCCGTTTATAGAAATGGCATCAACACAGGGTTTAGAACATGGGAGAAGTTTAGAGGTGTAATGGAGATCTTTTGCTTGAAATCTTGGCTTAATGAATAAACACGGAAAACTACAAGGCGTCATTAGACAGCTCAGTAAAATTCTAAACAATAAAAACAGAGCGAGAGCGAGGAAGGGAGACGGTGTTGTCCGCCTTCTTAATGTAAACACAATCGTCGGCGTATGTTAGTCCGACCGTTAAGTGGTAACAGCTTTGGAGAGCCGTAGAGGGAATTAAGGCATTCGAAAGAGTCAGTTTTTACGTCGAGTTTCGAGACATACCGAATCTCATAAAACTTCGGCAGCAAATAATTCGGTCCTGACTATCAGCAGCCCAATGCTATATTCCCAGACGAAGTGGGACAATGTTAACAGAGATTTATCCTGTACGGAACTCGGTAAACGTCAGTTATCGGTACGTACTCGCAAGAGCATATACATATTTCACTGGCTTATCGACCAGCTGAGCTAGCTTGATTGATGCAAATTAACAATTTCGGAGAAAAGTCATTTAACAGCAACGACGGCCGTATATTTGTTAATTGAATGCAAATTTTGAGCTAGTAGAAAAAGGGAAGGCCTATAGGTCAGTAGAGTATTTTAACATTTACAAATATTGTATGAAAAAGGTGAAGTTTATCAAATATTTTCGCAAAATTTGTATCAGTACCTTTTAAAGTCACATGTACAAAAAGCGTTCGGAGTGGGCTGCACGACTCAATGGTTGAACGCTTACATAGACTTTGTACACAATTCAAAACTTCTTCATATCATTTGTATCATTCAAACCGCTCATTAAAAACCCGACAAGTCTAT